TTTCTCTTTACAGATGATGAGACATTGTTCTGCTGGCCTCCTCTTTGTGATAGAGGAGATTCATAAAAATTTTTTATTGTCACCATCTTGTTACTCAGTTTTGTACCTCTTGGTTCAAAACCCTTCAACAAAAACAAGTAAAAGAGAGAAACAATCAATCATACATGCAAAGTAAAAACAAAAGGGCTACAGTCACAAAGTGACACATAATGACTGACCAAACTTATCCTATAACCTATAAAAGTGACTGGCTTCTTATTTCTCCTTATAGTGTTACTCTTGAATCCAACATAAAGGCCATGAGAAAAGAAAATGATCACCAATTCAAGTAACTCCTGATTGTCAAACAAATGTGCCTTGTAAGCACCATAGGTGATGTAAAGAGACATGGATATTAAAATTTGGGTGTATAGGGTTAATAAAAACTTATGTGAGACAAAATTAATACATTTTTTAAGATTTTAACTGCCAGATAATTTGTTCCTACCTTTGTTGGGCTGCTAAAGTCAGGCAATGGACTGCCTCCCAGTGATGGAAAAACTGACACCGAAATAAGGATAATAACAGTGAATGGAATAAACAGCGCCAGGCACAGAGCTATGGCATCGTGCTTTGTAAACTTGGGTCTGAAAAACAAAACTAAGTCACTAAAGTATTTGGAAGTATTAACCCTTTCAATCCCATAAGTGACCAAGACAGAATTTTTCCTAACAATATCAATACAAAATCAAGCAGAAAACATCAATTAGGTGATTATTACATGATCCAATTGCAAATTCTCAGAACATCTTAATATTGGATGCCACAGTCAGTAAAGAGAATCACTGACAAGATCTTGAGATTGAAAAGGTTAAACAGGAAGTGTTGTGAAGATTGCCAATTGGAATATATAACTAGACACAACAATTTTGTCCCTTCTCCTACTTATCAGAAAGAAAGTATGAAACAGAAATATTAAAAAAATATTAATTTATAGTAATGAGATTCCTTTTCCACAACAAAGAATCTACAAAAATTTGCCTTGCTCACTACATGAGGGTCCCCAATAGGTTTTTCAGGACCTGGGATCAGGCTTATTTGAAGGCAGGGATCCGGGAACTTAGAGGAAGAAGGGAGCAAGATGTGGTGTTGTTAATAATAATAATAATAATAATACAAAAACTTCTATAGCACCCTATTCTAGAGCTCTAAGGCACTTTACAATAAAATGTTTAAATTTGAAAAATACTAGAGCAAAACTACAAATTAAAATATCGCTTAAAAATATAAGTTTTAAGATTGCTCTTAAAAGATGTAAGATTTTAATTACATTTTATATTCTCTGGAAGATTATTTCAAAGTTTAGGGGGTGCAGACCAAAAAAGCATGATCACCATAAAATTTTTAACCTCGATCTAGGTGTTACTAACAAGTTCCTGGCTGATGATTATAAATTCCTAGGTGGCTTGTAAGTTTGCAACAAATCACAAATATAGCTAGGACCTAAATCATTTAAAGATTTGTTATAATGAATGGGACACATGAATTGACAATTTTGAGGGGTGCGATTTGGCTTACAATTATTTAAATGCCATTAGAACCAGTAAGTCTGTTGGCAAGAATTTATGAAGAAATTGATCTACACAAAAGTCCAAAAAAACCTAGCCATTTATCGGGGATCATGTTTCTGTCCCCACAAAACGTAATGCACTCCCCTAGAAACTCCTGTGTGGGAGGCTAAAAAGAGCCACACAAAGCTTTGTCATGACAGTCTTATCTGCACACATGACATGTCATGCACTTTTGCTCTCATTGCAACCCATAGGTGATATCTGGACATTCTGAGCCTTTCCCTGTCCTCTGGAAGTGACCTTTTATTTCTTGGTGACCGACCATTGTAACAATCAGAAAAAAATAAGAATATTTTGCTCTGTGAAGATGTTGGCTTCTCTCTAAAGCGATGAATCAAATGACGTTGACAAAATGCCTTATGGTAAGAAAATATTTCAATAAATCAATGCTGGTTGAGAGAATTATTGCCCATCAAAAAGGGCCTTTTTTAAGTTGAGGCAATGGACTAGGAATAAATTTTATGATTGGAATCGAGATTTGATTGAGAGAAAATTTAAGTCGGTATTCTGGGATCGAAGAACCCCATTGGGAACCCTCATACATGTGCTATGTAACTCAGTTGGTAGAAACTGAAAAGCACAGGTTCAACGTCTGCTAAAGACTAAATTGCTTCAAGCCTCTATTTTGTTTCCTCTTTAACCAATCGCCAACAAGTTTAAGTTCAAGCTTACGCTCAACTTCACATAATTTACAAAGATTAGGTCATGATTATACAGTACAGGAACCAGAAATATAGACTCGTATTTCAAAAAGGCAATATTATTAAAGTAACTTACAGTAAAACCAATGTTGACAAACGACAGTGTTCTACTATTGTTAGTTCAGCTTGTAATCGACAAAATATACTCAAAGCTGAACTAGCTGTTGGGCAACATTATGGCGCTTCTTGAGTTAATGGGTATTTTTTTTAATCAACAGTTTGAATTCGCGAATTTATAGCAAATGCTCTGTGGGATTCAGCAATTGACGATCGATTCTCATCGATTTCAGTCCAATATTAAGCGCCTTGACTTACAAACAAGTCTTACACGATAATACTTGGATAATATTGTAAAATAAACCAAATAAAAAACTTTCCTAAACCGTATTTTCGAGAAAAATAAACCTCCATTGCTAGAACGAATCATAATGAGAAAGTATTAGTATTAGTATAGTTGTTGTGAGCGATATCGGCCAACGAATGCTTGCCAAACTAATAAAAATTCGAAAGAACAGGAAAACCCGCTGAAGCATAAACTTGTTCTTCGTATATCAAACCAAAACTCAAGTAGAACTTTACCTTGAATTGGACGAACAAGCAACTTTGACCATTTTGTTCAAAGTCTCGTATTAATTAAAATCCGAGGAGTTCTTCCGCAAATAGATCAGGCCCTCTGTTCGTTTTACTGCTTGATGCGTTGTTGCACCGAAGTGAGAACCTACGTCTCGGGGACTGGGGCGAGGAAATGCTCAAAACCACCTTTCCGCCGCAAATTCTTGCGTTTCCATGTGAGACACTAGCCACCCACGCGATTTTTCTGTTATTTTTTTCTGTTTTATGTAATGAAGATTTCAATTTTGATTTCGCAATTTCGAACGCTAAAGTAAAGCAAACCTTAATCACGGAGATATTAGTTTCTAAACCTTTGTTGAGCTGTTCTCGGGAGACCGACGGAAGTTGAGCCTAAAATGCCAGGCACATATTACAAACAAATCAAACAATAAAAAGGCATTCATTTACATGCACAGTTCAGTCAGTTGCGTTCCTCGGCTGGTTACCAAATTAAAAAAGGAAGTATAAAACATGAGTGATAGAAAGTCCAGTATTCAGAATTATCCGCGGAGAGGTAAGAGGAATGGTATGAACACGTTCGTATGCATTTAAGACGAGAAATTTTATATTTTTACTTATTCCTAGGAATGGACGACAAAAAATTATAGTACAAAGAAAGTGCGACGAAACATAGAGATGTCATTTGCCAGGTGTGTTTAATGAAATTTGAATTTGCACTCTTCTCCTTCTCAAAAATACACTTACAAAAACAAACAAAAAAACAAACATCAGTTTTACATGGGTTTGGAAGAAACACTGGACGATTTTTGTGATTCTCAGTGAAAAATGTTAAAAAAAAACATAATAATTCGCTCAAAATACTTCGCTTCAATTATTATTAATGACTGTAATTTACTGGGATTAAAGGATTATTGCAACTTATGAATTTCAGTGGATTCGGTTGGACGAACAATAAAACAAACTCTATGCCAGACTCTTTGATCTATCGTGATAACAGCATTTCAGAAAGAGATTTCGAAAACAAAGTTTGTAAGTTAATTACTCCATGAGCTAACATCTTCTAAGACGGGTAACTGAGTTATCAGTTTGTGAAACTATGATAGTTTCAAGTCCTGAACAGGCTAAATAAATTATCAACCGCTATAAGGAAAGTGGTAACTAGAACTTTTAGGTTCATCTTTGGTCAACAGCCAGAAGTCCGGTTTTTCTCTCTCTTTTCATCTTTGTCTTATTTATTGCTGAGAAACTTGAAGCAGCCACTTGTCATTTCATACGTGACAGTTTTCAAATATGTCATTGCATCATTGTTTCCAGAATGTGATTGCACAATATGTATGTTAATTAGTTGACAGATAGCTTAGTAGCAACAATACCAATGGAACGAAAAAAAGAATTGAACACCAACGTTTTGGTTTTCTTCCAAGTTCTTTTCGTATGCTGCGTAACGTGCTTCTCGTCGAGTGACGCTTCAAATCTGCTATATCTCTCAGTTAGTAAGTACTCCATAATTGGTCAACTTAGCGGGCAATTCTTAACTCCTGTCTACGGTCGCGCTCAGAAGTCCCTGCATTCACCGGGGCACGCGAAAAAAATGAAACAACAGGCTATTGTTATGCTACATGAATGTTTCTCATTTCCGGCCAAAGAGAAAAGTTTTTTATTTTCAGCGAGGTGTACAAGGTCGTTTACTTAATATTGTTTCATATCGATACTCTATTTAGCAGGTTGTGCTTTTAGAAGTGAACCCAGAAACGACTTTAAGAAATTCCTTGATTTTCAAGCAATGTTTTACAGCATACTATATTTATTTGTCTTCATTCAACTTTCGCTCGGTTATTATGTTTGCTTTTTGTGAAATTTCTTTTAATGCATAGGGGAAGCTATTTTAAAAATAAAATAAAAATTATTCAGTCAGGATAAAAAAGTGAACTCAAGACATGTAACGATGACCCTGAATTGAGATTTATAGCATCGAAGAACAACTGCACATTAAAATTCACATAAACAAAAAGAGTTGGGCAAATTACACAGGAAACCATCGTTAACGACAATTAGTTGTATAGGGAGAGCGCAGGTGTTCTTAACGTCATATGAGTTTTATTTGAACGAGGAATAAGGATTTTCACTGCCCGGCTGCATTTCATTTCACTCCAAATGTTATGCTCATTGTCGGTCATTAACATTTTCAATTGTGTGGGAACACAAGTGTCACCAATGCATCGAGAAAGTCAACAATTCTTAGCTCTACGCGATGATAGGTAACTAGAAATAATTGCATCTGCGCCTGGACACGATATTTCAATTACCGACCAGTGCATGGGATTCGCCGAAGAGGCATCTTTTGAACTTATATCCGACAGGAAAAAATGACCGGCATAACTTGTCAGAGGAATACCCAAGTCAGGTAGATAATACATTAACAATTTTTGTTCTAGATTCAGTCGTTATCGGAAAATGTACCATTTTGGGCTGAGGAAAATTCCATGTTGACATAATTTCGATGAGGATTCCGACTTTGAGAGGGAAAACTCTTATGCAAAACGTAATCCCGAAAAATTCCCAGCTTTTCATCGTGTTAGGTGATAAAATATTCAAACTACGCATAATAGAAAGCTTGAGCGAAAATATCAGTGAAGTCTTGAATGTACCAAGCATTTGTTTATACGACAAATGAATAAAAATTGAACCATATTTTAAAGTTCTGTGTGTGAAAGGCACAAATGTGCACCTGTAAAACTCTAAATTTAATATTTAAAATATCCCATGTCCCAGAACAATCTTCTTTCGATAAAAAAAGAATCGATTTTAATTTAAAATAAAAAACCATTGAGATATGCGCTGAATTGACGGCATTGAATTTCGCCCTAAACAGTTAAAGCAAATAACGAAATAGTATGCAGTTCGGTATGAAGAATAAACTTCTTAATTACAAGTGTAGTCAAAAATCATTAGGGTAATTTTAAGAAGAGGTTTCTATGCTTATGTAACAAAGTAAAACTGGTCTGGTCTAAGACTTTTTGACAAATGTAGTCATTCAATGGAAAAAAAGGCACATGCATCCCAGGTTGCGAAGCTTTGAATATACAGATCTAGAAAAGTAGAATATTCGAGAATTTTGCGATGTACTCGATCTAAGGTGTTTTGTTTATTTTATTTAAGTCAATTTTATTTTTTCTTTATCTAAACGCCTCGTACTGCAAACAGGAAAATCAAAAAACAAAACGCTGTGCAATTATTAGATGTTATTTCGGGTTTTTACCTCGGTCAGACATTTCAAAAGACGAGCGATCCGTTAAGATCATCTTTGCCACAAAACCCTATCGTGCCTCGAAAACATTATGATTATCCACAGAAAAGCGTTAATTTAATGTACGACTTCTGATGACTCAATTGCATTTACTTTGTAGATTTACAAAGCATGACACCATAGCAGTATGCCTGGCTATATTCCTTCCGTTGACTGCCATAGTACTTACAATGGTGTCAATTCTGCCAGCATTAGGGGCTCCACCGTTGCCTGACTTCTCAAATCCTGTCAAGGTATGGTGCATTATTGATTCGTGGCCCCACGCATGCGCGGTGTACTTGGCGGCCATTCAGGCTGGAAGAGATAGAACCCTGATGCATCACTTAAAGATGGAACCGCAGACCATCCTATTAATTCCGCGCCATATGTCTCGATAATTATGCTTGATCAAAACAACTGGTGGAGTTTCAAAGCAGTTGACATCGATCGAAAAATATACACACAAACAATACTAATCTTAAAAAAAAATGGTATTCTTCGCTTGAACAAGTGGAATCTTCTACACATGTATTCCACGGGAAATTCCGCCCTGGGTCACAAAGATCAAGGATGGTATCTGAACAATTACGCACCTACTCCTCCCCTGACCCAACAAAAGTCAACTGATAACAAGTTAAGGTTAATGTTGGTTTATGGGAAGGGGTAGGTATGCAGTTGCTCAGATACTAACATTGATGTAAATAAATGTCCGCAGTTAATCCATGACTCGCTCTAGAAGACACGAATGTACATATAACACCCTTCTTGGTTTTAATGATTTCAGGGCTTTGAGCCAAGAGGCACAGTTTTAAGTGATCAGATTGTGACCCTGGGAAACTACCATCGGGCACTCCGCTCTCGCACTCTTTTTACGCAGATATCCAACACCTCACAACTCTACAACGAGGCCAACAGATCGGCGCAACAGACTCCTAGTACTCCATTCCCTCTCCTTTCTAGAATCGACGATGACGTAATATTTGTTTTTGAGGCTACTGACTCCAGTCAGAGCATGTTTGAAGCAACTAAACTGAAGGCCGCCTGTTCCATTGAGAATGAAATTCTAAGTTCTAGTTCCCATTTCTCTCAATACTGCTCTCGTATTCGTGATACAGAATCTGGTCAAACACGATGTTTCCCAAACCCATCTCTTGGAAATTACGTAGCCCTACTGAATAACCGCACAACATGTCGAGACATAACTGATCAGGATGTTTCATACGTCAAGAATTTGTTACTTCACTGCCACCCTTACTTTGTGAAACAAACTTTAAAGGAGGACTGTGCCACTTCCAACTGTGAGGGCGTCCCGGCTAATTGCACTAAATACAACGCTGTGTATAACATTTTCCAGTTTCTAACAGACAATGAGATGAGTCCATCCAATGGCATGTTTCTGAAATATACTACATCATTCCCAGTATTGTACTCGTATGACTATGATAGTTTATACAAAGAACATTTAAAAGATGGAGTTCCCGAAAAAGAAGGGGTAAAATTAGCATCTTTCAAGTTCTCCAGCTATAAGTTAGACCAATTCAGTGAGAAGCTTCTTGCTGAAGTCATATTCCCTGCTCTTGCTATGATTTTTGTTTTTCTTATTATGTGGTTTTTCTTGGGTTCTTTCATTCTCACTTTCACTGGCCTTTTTTGCATTATTTATGCAATTGGTCTTTCATATTTTCTTTACACAATGGTCTTCAAAATAGACTTCTTTCCATTTCTGAACGTTACCACGCTGGTGTTTTTGGTGGGCATTGGAGCAGATGATGCTTTTGTGTACTACGACATATGGAGACAGACACTTGCTGCTAACCCTTGTGCAAACATCATGCAGCTGACATTGAAGACCTTGCGTTATGCTGCCCTCTCCATGCTTGTCACAAGCTTGACAACAGCATCAGCATTTTTCGCAGGAGTATCTTCCTCCATCACCGCCATTAGGTTGTTTGGACTGTTTGCTGGTACATCCATCTTGACAAATTACCTGCTGATGATAACATATTTCCCAGCTGTTGTGGCTTTGCATGAGAAGTGGGTGTTGAAGTACGTAGATGGACATTCAAGCTTGGAGGGGGTCCCAGCGGAATCAAGTGATCCCGAGAAGACTGACTCGGTTCAGAATGCACCTGTAGCACAGGATATGTCACAAAGTATCGCCGCTAAATTAGAGGAAAATAGTGGTGTCAAAGAAAAGAAACGAAGCTTTTGTTTTTTGCAAGTCATAGACTTTCCATGTTCTTCGTTAATATCAGCCACAAGTTTTTTCAAAACAATCAGCTCAAAAATGTTCGAAGATTGGTTGCCAAAAGCAGTGATCAAGTTACGTTATGTATGGATTACCCTGTTAGTGTGTCTTACAGCTGGATTTCTGTGCGTTAATTTTGTTAAACCAGGTCTGCGGCCACCAGACTCCAAGGATTTCCAAATGTTTGCTTCATCGCATCCATTGGAAAACTATTACTTAAACTATAAAAGCTACTTCAGATTTGAACAAAAAAATCGAGGCATGTGGGTAGAATTACTCTGGGGAATAAAACCAGAAGATAATGGTAATAAATTCAACCCAGATGACAAAGGAACTCTTCAAATGGATGAAAACTTTGATAAATCGAGTCTTTTCAGTCCATCAGGCCAAAGTTTCCTTCGTTCCTTGTGTCAGTCCATCGGAGAACAATCTTTTTTCATGGCATTCAGCTCACAGGGTCAGCAGTGCCCCTTCGAAAAATTTATTGAAACTTGTACCTCTCCAGGCACAGGATGTTGTGGGGTCAATGCTTCTTTTCCATTTCCAGCTGATATCGCAGAGAAATGTGTGAGAGAAACTTCGACCTATAATGACACAGGTGTTTTGTTTGATGAACAGGGAAAAATAGTTGGTTTTCATTTGGAAATACTCACAGATCAATCATTTACCACCAGCTTTGCCGTTATGGACGACTTCTGGAAGAAAGTGAAATCTTGGTTTGACAAAGAAATGGCTGAAGCCCCAACAGGACTGAAGAATGGGTGGTTAGGATTCTTGAACCTCGATTTCTTCGCTCTTCAGATTGGATTGTCTGAAGGAACGTTTTCTTCGCTGGGAATCTCAGTTGCTGTGTCATTTACAGTCATGCTGCTTACAACCCTCAACATCTTAATCAGCATCTACGCAATCATTACCATCATTGGAATTATTTCCATAACCATTGGGTGTCTTGTGCTGGCTGGCTGGCAATTGAATATTTTAGAGTCCATTGTGGTGTCAGTTGCAGTGGGTCTGTCCATTGATTTCACAATGCATTATGGTGTGGCTTACAGACTTGCACCAGACAAAAGTCAGAGAAATAGCAGGGTGCGTTACTCTTTGAAGCACATTGGATCTGCCATAACAATGGCCGCTCTTACAACGTTTTTCACAGGTAGGGGAATTTATAATTTTAATAAATTAATTATTAGCAAAAATTACGCGATTTCCTTGGAATTTTCACTGGATGATGGAAGCATTGCGGTCTGGTTAGAAGCTTGTCCGACTAGATAGGAAAATTCCGTCATTAATTTTCAACTTCTACTTAGACTGTGAGCTATATATATACATGTCACAGAGACTCCTAACTTTTCTTTTGATAGATTCTTACGTTTATTCCAATTGGGTTCAACCAATACTTAATCTCGATGTTGACAAATGGTTAGCTTCGACATTCAAAACATTCGAAAAAGTCTGTCTTAATGAAATATTGTTTGCTTTAAAAGCCTGCAATGTTCTTTTGATTGAGGTATACTTGAGCAATAATTGATAGCTAATGTCATCACTTTGTTTCCATGCAGGTTTGATGATGATGCCAGCTACAGTCTTGGCGTACTATCAGCTTGGACAATTCTTGATGCTGGTTATGGTCTTTAGCTGGCTCTATTCCACGTTTGGCTTCCTGTCAATCTGCTCAATGGTTGGCCCAAAGAACAATTTTGGACAGTTAAGCATCACTCGTATCTTCAGGAAGTGTGGACTTTACAGAACCGAACCAGTGCGCAAAATCGAAATTAATACAAGTAAAACCATAAATAACGAGGTTATAAACTTGAATGAGAATGTCCCCGAAAAGCCGCCACCAGAGAGGCATGATGACGTCACCTCCCCCTTGCCTGAAAATCCAGATTGTGCGTAGTTTCTCACACAAGAAACATTGCTTGAAAAAAAACCATTCAATTTTAACTTTTATTTTACTCGTCACAAAACATTACGAGAGTAAGCAAATAGTATCCTTAAAAACGCCAATTCTGGATGAGATTACGACGAAAACTTGTATCAAGTAATTTAAGAATTTTTGGACCTATTGTAAATACTTATATCTGAGTTTTCATTGGGACGAATGACAAGTGACGGTCGCATATCAAACTAAAAAGAACAACGTTCATTTCGATTCACTTTTGGTCATTTGTTTGCTCGTTCTCTTTGCCAATCATCTACGAGTGATAAGTCTGCTGTATCATTGCCAGTAAATGTAACTATCACAACCCGCGCCTATAGGATAAAATGAGGATGCCTGTTTGATTTTCCAATAAAATGGAACACAGTTTGCTTGTAGCAGCTTCTCACAAGTATTCAAGAATTAGTCTCCATGTTACCGTGCGTCTGTTTAGTTTTATATAAAAAGCTCAGTTATGCACGCATTCTGATTGGTTCTCACTTATGATCTATAGGAGGACAGACGCATAGATGACGTCATCATTAAAACTTTTAAAAATTCTTTATTATATAAAACAAATAGATTCCAAGTTGCCGTGCGTCTGTTCAGTAATAGATCACAGAGGACGTCAAAATGTGATAAGAACATCAGTGATTCACTCGGCTGCGCCTCGTGTGCCACTTTTTTGTTCTTACCACATTTTGACGTCATCTGTGATCTATTACTGAACAGACGCACGGCAACTTGGAATCTATTTCTTAAATAGATCAAAGATGACGACAATTTGTGGTTAGAAGAAAAAAGTGGCACACAAGGCGCAGCGGAGTAAATTATTAAATGAAACGTTCTTGTCACATTTTGACGTCTTTTGTGGTCTACTACTGAACTGACCCGCGGCGATATGGAATTTGTTTGCTTTATGTAATAAAGAACCAAAAACTTTTGATGGTGTCGTCATTTATGCGTCTGTCCTTCACTAGCGAGTCCAGGTAAGAACCAATCAAAGTGCGTGCGTGTTCCCTGTTGCCAAACGCAGTACCCAGTCTCCTTGCGATGAGTAATGAAGGGTGCAGGTTTGAATCTCAAAAAGATTCAAAAGCTCGGGTCTTTTCTCTGCTCAACAGCAACGAAGAAAAAAAATTAAGTTCCTTTGTCTGTTGAATAACCTGTCTAAAAGTCACGTTTATAGTTTAACCACTTTGTTTTAAAACGAACTGAATAACAACACGCATATTGTCTGTTTCTGGCGTGTCTAACATAGCACTACACTGTGAACTTTATACTACAGGGATAATGACAGATAAAGGTACAATTTCCGCACAGCCCCATACTACATTATGCATTCAGTTCTTGACTAGAGAAAACAGTGAAAAAAACAATACATTTCCATTGAGAAAACAGATTTGTTTTACAATAGTATGGGACTGTGCGGAAACTTTTCCCAGATAAGCAGCAGTCATGCAACTTATCTTACAGAAGTCCTGGCGATGCGCTTTTTAAGAGACGATGAATAACCGGGAACCACAGATCAACAAGCAAAAGATAAAGAGGCCGACCAAAAGTAACGACGAGGAGAGAGAAGGAAAAGTCGCACAGGTAAGTAAGACAGTAAGGGACAAGGTACTATTATGCCGGAAACAAAACAAACTGTCCTCAAGTATAATTAAATACCACACAGTCTACTGTCCCGGAAGGCAAAATGGCTCTCGTTGAAGGATTGTATAACACACACCACAGGCTGCCCAATCAAATTATACAACAATAACACCATTGGGACGACCAAACTTCTTCTTCCACGACTGAACCTGTACTCAGTACATTGATTATACATTATAGATAATTTCATACAAAAAGCGGCTGCCACTTTTGTTGAAGGGAGGTATGCCCCTCTGGATGACGTCTCGTATAGATGGCGTCTTGTCCTCAAAGTCTCGTAAAGACCATTCTCGCCTTAGTGCTTAGTGTTTTTGGTTCTAGAAATGTCACCAACGAGCTAATATGATCATTATCATTAATTCACTCATATGACATAGAGCTAGCTACCTACATCAGTGATTACCATTGTCCTAAATCATAACTTCTACATTACTTAAAATTGAAAAATTGTATCATTTTTGGCTAAATATACACATTCACTTGCCATACACAGGTTTTCACCAGACTATAAAATGGTGACATATATAACCTTAATTAACAATCTGACTGTCACTAGGTTTCTTGTACCACACATATTTACAGGAATTACACTCAAAGACTTTTTCTTCACCCACAGCATTGAAGAACCATTTCAAAGTTTCAAATAAATGCATATTAGACAATTTAAGTGTATAAATTATCTTTTAAAATGATACATTTTGATGTCAATTGTGCAAACTCACTATTTGTTACATATTTGTATTAAAAAGAGAGAACAAGCAAACAGGTTTGTGAATTGTATTGATGGCCAGAAAGATAATTGGGTGTTATCCCCCTCAAATAACAATCATAAATATATTGATCTTCCTTAACCCTTTAACTACCAGATCAAATTTGTAATTCTCCTTACTGTCAACAATACAATTCTCATAATATTAGCTTAGAGAATTTAGTATTGAATCAACTAATTATCCCCAAATTGATATTTTTTTTATTCTCATCACTCTTATCTGGTTGATATTGTATTGATATTGTAAGGAGAAATTCTTTCTTGGTCACTCATGAGAGTTAAAGGGTTGTGTTAGTCACAAAAAGCCTTGACAATTTAGGAAAAACTCCACACCATATGATAATCCTTTTGATTATTTTCAGTTGTGAAATAATTTCTTTAATTTTGGAGCATTTTGTGTTGTTCTCCAGTCTCCATGTCTAGTCATTTGTTTACTCTTTCTCTTTCACTCTCATCCAAGCTTGCCGTGTTGATACATGCCACAGTGAGCTGAATCACACTGATGGACTGCTTCAGTATGCAGATAGGATGAGTCAGCCAAGCTAGAGCTACCCACAGACCAAATGTGCTGCCAGCAACAGACACTTTGACAAAAACAGTATCTCTCAGTTAGTGTGTATGCTATGATTGGTCAATTAAATGGGCTGTATTTCACTGTATGGCTTGCTGAATTTAAAAGTTTGTTTTAATTGAAATCTCCCCCCTCCATTTGACCCCAGGGTTGTAAAAAGCATCTTATTAATCTTGTTTTCTCAGTCCATATCATAAATTACTAAACTTAATTTTTTACACTCTGATTTATGGCCAGTGTGCTTTGCACCCAGGCCATGATTCCAAGTAGAAAAACTTGATCTGTAACTTACCTCAAACCTGATAAGAAAGAGGTACTGATGAATAAAAAAAACAGACCTGAACTGCTTTTTCAATGAAATAAACATTTGGTGTATAATTATCTCAAAAGCTGCCATTTCACTGTGTCAAATTTAAAAAAAGCATGTTTTCTTGAAATACAAATGTATCTGTACATGAGTACTAAAGAATTGTACTTACAGACTGGCCCACTTGTGAAATGAACCAAATACAACATACAGAAAAAGAGTTCATTACCAGCACACATGATGGACAGTACCACCTGAAAATTAGTAAATAAAGCCTACAGTTTGAGAACTGAAATACAAAGAATTCTTCAAGTTGAACACACAGCATTAAGTTGGTTTCTCACTGGTTTCCCCAGAAAAAGACTGCCTTATTTTTTGGAAATTTACTGTGTTTCTCAAAGCATTTATATTGTAGATGTAAGAAGGGGTTCTTCACAGCTGAGTTTGTTACTGATCTCCCTGTGACAGCTATGAGATCTCTATGAGATCGAGAGATTATTTACTGATAAACATCAGTATATATATTCTCCATACTGTTCTCTACACATTTCCAAAGGTGCTGACAAGGAGAATTAATTTTTTTATAATATTGAGAGCTTCTTTAGGTGGTGATTATTTCCTTTATTCTTGTGACCCTAATAGATGATTCAGGGGTGATATTGTGAGGAGAAATTAGATGCTAATCACTCTTAGAGGGTTAAAGGGTTTAACACAGTGGGAGGTTTAAATTTTGTCTTTTGGCAACACACAGGAGAACTGCCATCTTGATATTATTCCTGTGTATTCTCTGCATGAGTAGAAAAATTATCAAAAATTGGTTACCCTAGAGTGATAGTAAATCCGCAGGAAGAAGTTGCCTGATAAATCAATTTTCTTGTGACTAGCTCCTCCTTTTAATAATGAACTAACGATTGAGAAAGACAGAAAATTGTTATATTTTGAGAAAATAATTGTTCATGAAAACAACAACATCATAAGGCCAACAACAGAACATTCATCAATAATTTGTGATAATTAATTATAATTAATTAATTATTAGTTAATTATAATAGAAATGTAACTTTTTTACCTTTGTACATGAATCCAATGACTGGAAATATCCAAACATATCAACAATTGGAAGACAAATGTGAATCTTGGATAAAACACTGCTAACATCACAAGAAGTGCTGAGGTAACACATCTATTGAAAATGTTAACAAAAATTGGCCCTGTCAGAGATTTGAAAGGTTATTAAATTATAAAATAAATATTCTCACATCCCTTTTTTCCAGTCCTCATTTCAACAAAATTAACCATACAAAATACTTCACCTGTCTGTGAGCATATCTAGCATGGCACCAAACATTGTACCTAAGAAGTTAAAAAACATTTGAAAGTTTTGAGTGGAATAAAATAATAACTATTTATTAAAGACAACTAGACCATTGGAATATTTGCTACATTTCTGGAAAGAGGTGTTAAAGCTGGCCAAATCTATTAATGGAGTATCTATGTTTGAGAGCTTGCCTATCACATACCCACCCCAAATACGCATGTGTATCCCCCCCAAGATGGTAAAACGCACTGGAAAGAATTTACGGTGGTGTTAATGTAACTTGCACAAGTGGGTAAGAAGACAGTGGAAACGAGGTACCTACAATTAATTTTCCCACCTAGCTATTTTGAAAAAATGTGATTCGTGATCACCATCCATTCTGCCATTTTGTTAATCACATGAGGAAGAGGAGTCATTGGACTTTCTCCTGGTCACGCAAACTGAAAACAAGACTCTTTGCGACACATTAAAAGAGTCAAATATCCTGGCGATGGGAAATTACAGCTCTTAATGATCGAACTCACTTTGATTAAAGTATCGTGCTGCATACCCATCAAATTCATCTAACAGGACACTCAGAAGATACGAGGATGCCGCCACGACACAGTTCGTCGGCATGAAGTAGAAGGATAATATGGCTAACACGATCCGTGCATAACCTGTCAGATCAGTAAAGTACCATTTGCTATTTGAAATCTCCGAGACTGAAAACGACTCTGGTATTACAACATTATTGAAAATTCTACGTGAAACATGCTATTTCCACAATAAAACAGCTGTTACGAGGTAAAAAGTGCCAAGAAAAAAAGTTACTCACCTATGATATTTGGAATAAATAGAAACACATTTTCAGCCATTGTTCGCAAAGGAAAGATCTAAAATATAGGTTAACTTGAACCAAATCTTCAACTGTACTCGGTCACGCTTTAGAACGCTTTCGGTCTGTTTTTTAGTTTCTCTAAGGGGTAGGGTAATGAGAGGCGGTCGATGTTACTGATTTAATACGACTCTTTTCAAGAAATTCAGAATTTAATTTTCTCGTCTCATTCAGAAAATAAAAAAAATGTATTTCTGGTATTTCAGTTACAAAAATAAAAAAAGGAAATAAAGAAAGATAAGCACAATGTTGTTGGGGAGGTAGGTAAGGCGAGGAATCTGGTGACGGATCGGGTGGATTGTCAATGAGGGAGTCACCCTAGCAACCTTTGTATTAAAAGAATAAAGGGGTAAGTTTCTAAAGAAACTGTGGTGCCTTGTCGGTGGGAGAGTATAGCAGGTAATTTAATGTTAACAACTAGGTTGAAAACGTAAATTAGCCACCGTAAAGGGTAAAAAAGCTGACGTTTCGAGCGTTAGCCCTTCCTATCGCTCTGACGAAGGGCTAACGCTCGAAACGTCAACTTTTTTACCCTTTACGGTGGCTAATTTACGTTTTCAACCTAGTTGTTAACACTAAATTACTTTGTATTAAAAAGGCCTGGGGACGAGCCCAAACGACACGTCGCGTCTCTTTGAATGTGGAGGAAAACTTTGCGCAATAAATTATTTCCGTATCGAGTTTTATTGAACTGACTTGTAATATGCATGACCAAAATATGGAATACGACGATGAAAACCATCACGAACAAAAACGCCGCAAACAGATCAAAATAGACTTCTTTCCATTTCTGAACGTTACCACGCTGGTGTTTTTGGTGGGCATTGGAGCAGATGATGCCTTTGTGTACTACGACATATAGAGACAGACACTTGATGCTAACCCTTGTGCAAACATCATGCAGCTGACATTGAAGACCTTGCGTTATGCTGCCCTCTCCATGCTTGTCACAAGCTTGACAACAGCATCAGCATTTTTCGCAGGAGTATCTTCCTCCATCACCGCCATTAGGTTGTTTGGACTGTTTGCTGGTACATCCATCTTGACAAATTACCTGCTGATGATAACATATTTCCCAGCTGTTGTGGCTTTGCATGAGAAGTGGGTGTTGAAGTACGTAGATGGACATTCAAGCTTGGAGGGGGTCCCAGCGGAATCAAGTGATCCCGAGAAGACTGACCCGGTTCAGCTTGCATCTGTAGCACAGGATATGTCACAAAGTATCGCCGCTAAATTATAGGAGAATAGTGGTGTCAAAGAAAAGGAACGAAGCTTCTGTTTTTTGCAAGTCATAGACTTTCCATGTTCTTCGTTAATATCAGCCACAAGTTTTTCAAAACAACCAGCTCAAAGATGTTCGAAGATTGGTTGCCAAAAGCAGTGATCAAGTTACGTTATGTATGGATTGCCCTGTTAGTGTGTCTTACAGCTGGATTTCTGTGCGTTAATGTTGTTAAACCAGGTTTGCGGCCACCAGACTCCAAGGATTTCCAAATGTTTGCTTCATCGCATCCATTGGAAAATTATTACTTAAACTATAAAAGCTACTTTAGATTTGAACAAAAAAATCGAGGCATGTGGGCAGAATTACTCTGGGGAATAAAACCTGAAGATAATGGTAATAAATTTAACCCAGATGACAAAGGAACTCTTCAAATGGATGAAAACTTTGATAAATCGAGTCTTTTCAGTCTATCAGGTCAAAAGTTTCTTCGTTCCCTGTGTCAGTCCATCGGAGAGCAATCTTTTTTCATGGCATTCGGCTCACAGGGTCAGCAGTGCCCCTTCGAAACATTCATTGAAACTTGTACCTCTCCAGGCACAGGATGTTGTGGGGTCAATGCTTCTTTTCCATTTCCAGCTCATATCGCAGAGAAATGTGTGAGAGAAACTTCAACCTATAATGACACAGGTGTTTTGTTTGATGAACAGGGAAAAATAGTTGGTTTTCATTTGGAAATACTCACAGATCAATCATTTACCACCAGCTTTACCGTTATGGACGACTTCTGGAAGAAAGTGAAATCTTGGTTTGACAAAGAAATGGCTCAAGCTCCAACAGGACTGAAGAATGGGTGGTTAGGATTCTTGAACCTCGATTTCTTCGCTCTTCAGATTGGATTGTCTGAAGGAACGTTTTCTTCGCTGGGAATCTCAGTTGCTGTGTCATTTACAGTCATGCTGCTTACAACCCTCAACATCTTAATCAGCATCTACGCAATCATTACCATCATTGGAATTATTTCCATAACCATTGGGTGTCTTGTGCTGGCTGGCTGGCAGTTGAATATTTTAGAGTCCATTGTGGTGTCAGTTGCAGTGGGTCTGTCCATTGACTTCACAATGCATTATGGCGTGGCTTACACACTTGCACCAGACAAAAGTCAGAGAGATAGCAGGGTGCGTTACTCTTTGAAGCACATTGGATCTGCCATAACAATGGCCGCTCTTACAACGTTTTTCACAGGTAGGGGAATTTATAATTTTAATAAATTAATTATTAGCAAAAATTACGCGATTTCCTTGGAATTTTCACTGGATGATGGAAGCATTGCGGTCTGGTTAGAAGCTTGTCCGACTAGATAGGAAAATTCCGTCATTGATTTTCAACTTCTATTAAGACTGTGAGCTATATATATACATGTCACAGAGATTCCTAACTTTTCTTTTGATAGATTCTTACGTTAATTCCAATTGGGTTCAACCAATACTTAATCTCAATGTTGTTGACAAATGGTTAGCTGCGACATTCAAAACATTCGAAAAAGTCTGTCTTAATGAAATATTGTTTGCTTTAAAAGCCTGCAATGTTCTTTTGATTGAGGTATACTTGAGCAATAATTGATAGCTAATGTCATCACTTTGTTTCCATGCAGGTTTGATGATGATGCCAGCTACAGTCTTGGCATACTATCAGCTTGGACAATTCTTGATGCTGGTTATGGTCTTTAGCTGGCTCTATTCCACGTTTGGCTTCCTGTCAATCTGCTCAATGGTTGGCCCAAAGAACAATTTTGGACAGTTAAGCATCACTCGTGTCTTCAGGAAGTGTGGACTTTACAGAACCGAACCAGTGCGCAAAATTGAAATTAATACAAGTAAAACCATAAATAACGAGGTTATAAACTTGAATGAGCATGTCTCCGAAAAGCCGCCACCAGAGAGGTATGATGACGTCACCTCCCCTTTGCCTGAAAATCCAGATTGTGCGTAGTTTCTCACACAAGAAACATTGCTTGAAAAAAAACCATTCAATTTTAACTTTTATTTTACTTATCACAAAACATTACGAGAGTAAGCAAATAGTATCCTTAAAAACGCCAATTCTGGATGAGATTACGACGAAAACTTGTATCAAGTAATTTAAGAATTTTGGACCTGTTGTAAATACTTATATCTGAGTTTTCATTGGGACGAATGACAAGTGACGGTCGCATATCAAACTGAAAAGAACAACGTTCATTTCAACTCACTTTTGGTCATTTGTTCGCTCGTTCTCTTTGCCACTTATCTACGAGTGATAAGTCTTCTGTATCATTGCCAGTAAATGTAAACATCACAACCCGCGCCTATAGAATAAAATGAGGATGCCTGTTTGATTTTCCAATAAAATGGAACACAGTTTGCTTGTAGCAGCTTCTCACGAGTATTCAAGAATTAGTCTCCATGTTACCGTGCATCTGTTTTGTTTTATATAATAAGCTCAGTTATGCACGCATTCTGATTGGTTCTCACTTATGATCTATTGGAGGACAGACGTATAGATGACGTCGTCATTGAAACTTTTTATAATTCTTTATTATATAAAACAAATAGATTCCAAGTTGCCGTGCGTCTGTTCAGTAATAGATCACAGAGGTCGTCAAAATGTGATAAGAACATCAGTGATTCACTCGGCTGCGCCTCGTGTGCCACTTTTTTGTTCTTACCACATTTTGACGTCATCTGTTATCTATTACTGAACAGACGCACGGCAACTTGGAATCTACTTGTTAAATAGATCAAAGATGACGACAATTTGTGGTCAGAAGAAAAAAGTGGCACACAAGGCGCAGCGAAGTAAATTACTAAATGTAACGTTCTTGTCACATTTTGACGTCTTTTGTGGTCTACTATTGAACTGACCCACGGCGATATGGAATTTGTTTGCTTTATGTAATAAAGAACCAAAAACTTTTGATGGTGTCGTCATTTATGCGTCTGTCCTTCACTAGCGAGTCCAGGTAAGAACCAATCAAAGTGCGTGCGTGTTCCCTGTTGCTAAACGCAGTACCCAGTCTCCCTGCGATGAGTAATGAAGGGTGCAGGTTTGAATCTCATCAAAAGCTCGGGTCTTTTCTCTGCTCAACAGCAACGAAGAAAAAAATTAAGTTGCTTTGTCTATTGAATAACCTGTCTACAAGTCACGTTTATAGTTTAACCACTTTGTTTTAAAACGAACTGAATAACAACACGCATATTGTCTGTTTCTGGCGTGTCTAACATAGCACTACACTGCGAACTTTATACTACAGGGATAATGACAGATAAAGGTACAATTTCCGCACAGCCCCATACTACATTATGCATTCAGTTCTTGACTAGAGAAAACAGTGAAAAAAACAATACATTTCCATTGGGAAAACAGATTTGTTTTACCATAGTATGGGGCTGAGCAGAAACTTTTCCTAGATAAGCAGCAGTCATACAACTTATCTTACAGAAGTCCTGGCGATGCGCTTTTTTAGAGACGATGAGAAACCGAGAACCACAGATCAACATGCAAAAGATAAAGAGGCCGACCAAAAGTAACGACGAGGAGAGAGAAGGAAAAGTCGCACAGGTAAGTAAGACAGTAAGGGACAAGGTACTATTATGCCGGAAACAAAACAAACTGTCCTCAGGTTTAATCAAAAACCATACAGTCTACTGTCCCGGAAGGCAAAATGGCTCTTGTTGAAGGATTGTACAACACACACCACAGGCTGCCCAACCAAATTATACAACAATAACACCATTGGGGCGACCAAACTTCCTCTTCCACGACTGAACCTGTACTCAGTACATTGATTATATATTATAGATAATTTCATACAAATAGCGGCTGCCACTTTTGTTGTAGGGAGGTACGCCCCTCTGGATGATGTCTCATATAGATGTCGTCTTGTCCTCAAAGTCTCGTAAAGCCCATTTTCGCTTTAGTGTTTGCGCCTAAATATTCATAAACCATCTAGGGACTTCAGATTCAGCAGTGGCACTCAAATAGAAATCCCATCAGTGACAAATACTATCCAAGATCATGCTGCTTTTCTCTTTAATAAGCTTCTGGGAAAACCTTAGAAATACTGTAAGTCATAATGTCTTGAGCTGGGAAGTTAAACACTTCCTTCTTGACAAAACTAAGGCCACTAGATCAAGTTAACCTCTTCACTCTGTAAGTAAACTTCCTTTAGTTGTTATTATTTGTTAATTGAATCCAGGCCAATACCAAGTTAATTACAATGAAGATTATATAGTATAATGTGTAGTATATATTACATAGTATGGTCTGTAACAGCTGTTTTTAAAATATTTTTCTTTCTTTTCAATTGGTTCTATAACATCATTTTTGTTTGTTTGGTTCTAGAAATGTCACCAACGAGCTAATATGATCATTATCATTTATTCACTCATATGACATAGAGCTAGCTACCTACATCAGTGATTACCATTGTCCTAAATCATAACTTCTACATTACTTAAAATTGAAAAATTGTATCATTTTTGGCTAAATATACATATTCACTTGCCATACACAGGTTTTCACCAGACTATAGAATGGTGACATATATAACCTTAATTAACAATCTGACTGTCACTAGGTTTCTTGTACCACACATATTTACAGGAATTACGCTCAAAGACTTTTTCTTCACCCACAGCATTGAAGAACCATTTCAAAGTTTTAAATAAATGCATATTAGACAATTTAAGTGTATAAATTATTTTTTAAATGATACATTTTGATGTCAATTGTGCAAACTCACTATTTGTTACATATTTGCATTAAAAAGAGAGAACAAGCAAACAGGTTTGTGAATTGTATTGACGGCCAGAAAGATAATTGGGTGTTATCTCCCTCAAATAACAATCATAAATATATTGATCTTCCTTAACCCTTTAACTACCAGATCAAATTTGTAATTCTCCTTATCATAATATTAGCTTAGAGAATTTAGTATTGAATCAACTAATTATCCCCAAATTGATATTTTCTTTATTCTCATCACTCTTCTGGTTGATATTGTATTGATATTGTAAGGAGAAATTCTTTCTTGGTCACTCATGAGAGTTAAAGGGTTAAGTGTTAGTCACAAAAAGCCTTGACAATTTAGGAAAAACTTCACACCATATGATAATCCTTTTGATTATTTTCAGCTGTGAAATAATTGCTTTAATTTTGGAGCATTTTGTGTTGTTCTCCAGTCTCCATGTCTAGTCATTTGTTTACTCTTTCTCTTTCACTTTCATCCAAGCTTGCCGTGTTGATACATGCCACAGTGAGCTGAATCACACTGATGGACTGCTTCAGTATGCAGATAGGAAGAGTCAGCCAAGCTAGAGCTACCCACAGACCAAATGTGCTGCCAGCAACAGACACTTTGACAAAAACAGTATCTCCCAGTTAGTGTGTATGCTATGATTGGTCAATTAAATGGGCTGTATGTCATTGTATGGCTGGCTTAATTTAAAAGTTTGTTTGAACTGAAACCTTCCCCCTCTGTTTGACCCCAGGGATATAAAGACCATCTTATTAATCTTGTTTTCTCAGTCCATATCATAAGTTACTGAACTTAATTTTTTACGCTCTGATTTATGGCCAGTGTGCTTTGCGCCCAGGCCATGATTCCAAGTAGAAAAACTTGATCTGTAACTTACCTCAAACCTGATTAGAAAGAGGTACTGATGAATAAAAAAAACAGACCTGAACTGCTTTTTCAATGAAATAAACATTTGGTGTATAATTATCTCAAAAGCTGCCATTTCACTGTGTTGAGTTTAAAAAAAGCATGTTTTCTTAAAAAACAAATGTATCTGTACATGAGTGCTAAAGAATTGTACTTACAGACTGGCCCACTTGTGAAATGAACCAAATACAACATACAGAAAAAGAGTTCATTACCAGCACACATGATGAACAGTACCACCTGAAAATTAGTAAATAAAGCCTAGAGTTTGAGAACTGAAATACAAAGAATTCTTCAAGTTGAACACACAGCATTAAGTTGGTTTCTCACTGGTTTCCCCAGAAAAAGACTGCCTTATTTTTTGGAAATTTACTGTGTTTCTCAAAGCATTTATCTTGTAGATGGAAGAAGGGGTTCTTCACAGCTGAGCTTGTTACTGGTCTCCCTGTGACAGCTACAAGATCACAACTGAACCCCTTACACATAAACATCAGTATATATATTCTCCATACTGTTCTCTACACATTTCCTAAGGTGCTGACAAGGTGAATTTATTTTTTTATAATATTGAGAGCTTCTTTAGTTGGTGATCATTTCCTTTATTCTTGTGACCTTAATGGATGATTCAGGGGTGATACTGTGAGGAGAAATTAGATGCTAATCACTCTTAGGGGTTAAAGGGTTTGACACAGTGGGAGGTTTAAATTTTGTCTTTTGGCAACACACAGGAGAACTGCCATCTTGATATTAACCCTGTGTATTCTCTGCATAAGAAGAAAAATTATCAAAAATTGGTTACCCTAGAGTGATAGTAAATCCGTAGGAAGAAGTTGCCTGATAAATCAATTTTCTTGTGACTAGCTCCTCCTTTTAATAATGAACTAACGATTGAGAAAGACAGAAAATTGTTATATTTTGAGAAAATAATTGCTCATGAAAACAACAACATCATAAGGCCAACAACAGAACATTCATCAATAATTTGTGATAATTAATGATATTAATTAGTTAATTATAATAGAAATGTAACTTTTTTACCTTTGTACATGAATCCAATGACTGGCAATATCCAAACATATCAACAATTGGAAGACAAATGTGAATCTTGGATAAAACACTGCTAACATCACAAGAAGTGCTGTGGTAACACATCTATGGAAAATGTTAACAAAAATTGGCCCTGTCAGAGATTTGAAAGGTTATTAAATTATAAAGTAAATATTCTCAAATCTCTCTTTTCCAGTCCTCATTTCAAAAAAATTTACCATACAAGATACTTCACCTGTCTGTGAGCATATCTAGCATGGCACCAAACATTGTACCTAAGAAGTTAAAAAACATTTTAAAGTTTTGAGTTGAATTAACAAATAACTATTTATTAAAAACAACTAGATCATCGGAATATTTGCTACATTTCTGGACAGAGGTTGTTAAAACTGGCCAAATCTATTGACGGAGTATCTATGTTTGAGAGCTTGCCTGTCACATACCCACCCCAAATATGCATGTGTACCCCCCCCCCCACCCACCCCCCAAGATGGTAAAACGCACTGGTCGGAATTAACGGTGGCGTTAATGCAACTTGCACAAGTGGGTAAGAAGACAGTGGAAACGAGGTACCCACAATTAATTTTCCCACCTACTATTTTGAAACAAAGTGATTCGTGATCACCATGCATCCTGCCATTCTGTTAATCACATGAGGAAGAGGAGTCCTTGGACTTTCCCCTGGTCACGCCAACTGAAAACAAGACTCTTTGCAACACATTAAAAGAGTCAAAATATCCTGGCGATGGGAAATTACAGCTCTTAATGGTCGAACTCACTTTGATTAAAGTATCGTGCTGCATGGCCATCAAATGCATCTAACAGGCCACTCAGAAGATACATGGATGCTGCCACGACACAGTTCGTCGGCATGAAGTAGAAGGATAATATGGCTAACACGATCCGTGCATAACCTGTCAGATCAGTAAAGTACCATTTGCGATTTGAAATCTCCGAGACTGAAAACGACTCTGGTATTACAACATTATTGAACATTCTACGTGAAACATGCTATTTCCACAATAAAACAGCTGTTACGAGGTAAAAAAGTGCCAAGAAAAAAATTTACTCACCTATGATATTTGGAATAAATAGAAACACATTTTCAGCCATTGTTCGCAAAGGAAAGATCTAAAATATAGGTTAACTTGAACCAAATCTTCAACTGTACTCTGTCTCGCTTTAGAATGCTTTCGGTCTGTTTTTTAGTTTCTCTCAGGGGTAGGGTAGTGAGAGGCGGTCGATGTTACTGATTTAATATGACTCTTTTCAAGAAATTCAGAATTTAATTTTCTCGTCTCATTCAGAAAATAAAAAGAATTATGTATTTCTGGTATTTCAGTTACACAAATAAAAAAAGGAAATAAAGAAAGATAAGCACAATGTTGTTGGGGAGGTAGGTAAGGCGAGGAATCTGGTGACGGATCGGGTGGATTGTCAATGAGGGAGTCACCCTAGCAACCTTTGTATTATAGGGCCTGGGGACGAGCCCAAACGACACGTCGCGTCTCTTTGAATGAGGAGGAAAACTTTGCGCAGTAAATTATTTCCGTATCGAGTTTTATTGAACTGATTTATAATATACATGACCATAATATGGAATACGACGATGAAAACCATCACGAACAAAAACGCCGCAAACAGATCCGTGTTTGGACCGATGGTTGCTTCGATATGGTTCACTTCGGTCACGCAAATGCGCTTCGACAAGCGAAAGCAATGGGCGACGTTCTTCTTGTAGGCGTTCACTCCGATGCAGAAATCACCTTACATAAAGGACCGCCCGTATTCACCCAGGAAGAAAGGTACAAGATGGTTCAAGCTATTAAATGGGTCGATGAAGTGGTGATGGGCGCTCCATATGTAACTACGGTTGAAACCCTTGACGAGTACAACTGCGATTTCTGTGTTCATGGTGATGACATCACCTTGAGTGCAGATGGAAAGGATACTTATGAAGAAGTTAAGAGTGCAGGCCGATATAAAGAGTGCAAGCGAACAGCTGGGGTATCAACCACAAATCTTGTAGGAAGGATGCTTCTCATGACCAAGGAACACTTTGATAGGGCACCATCGCCAATAGGAAATTTGGACCCTACTCAGGTCAATAGGGCCAGTTCTGATCCATCCGCTAAGAGCCCTTGGACATGTGTATCCCATTTTTTGCCCACCTCTCAGAGGATTGTCCAGTTCTCAGATGGAAAGGAGCCTAATCCTGGGGACAAAATAGTGTATGCTGCTGGAGCATTTGACCTCTTCCATGTTGGTTTGCTAGATTTCCTTGAAACTGCCAAGAATGAAGGTAACTATCTTATTGTTGGCCTTCACACAGATCAGGTTGTCAACCGTTACAAGGGAAGTAACTATCCCATCATGAGTTTACATCAAAGAGTACTTAGTGTCCTGGCCTGTCGTCATGTTGATCAGGTGATTATTGGTGCACCCTACAGAGTAACTTCAGAGTTGCTGGAACAGTTCAAGGTACTACATTCTTTACATAATTATTGTTGCTGTGGTTTAAGGCCTGCAGCTGTTTTGTGATTTTTTTTTTAAACAATATCATGACAGTAATAATAATAATATTGCTACTACTAATAATAATAATGTAATAATAGTTATCATTTTAACAGATGTGTTTTAAAAGGATTTTCAATTGAACCCAGAAGAGAAATTGTCATATGTATTATTCTCTATTTATGTGCATTCTTGAGGTGGATTGGTGAGCATAGTCTATGTGTTGATATATTTGGCTAACACAGGCTTGAAAAAATTAATAAACTTAATTTGCTCTTTCCTAACAGTCAGCAGTGAGAACAAACTGTATGGATTCTTGGAGAATCTTCACAGTAGATATTTCCTGTTGAACATGCACCAATCAGTGAAATTGTTACTTTTCTTATTCGTTTTTCAGGTGGACATGGTTGTCCATGGTGAAACAAATGTCATGGAGGATGTAGATGGTACAGATCCTTATGAAATTCCCAAACAAAAAGGAATGTTCAAAGTCATTAGCAGTGGTTGCCCGCTCACAACAGCTGACATTGTTGACAGAATAATTAAACACAGGTTTGTAGCTATCCATTGCTGGACAACATTTAACCCTTTAACTCCCAAGATCTGATTGTTAATTCTCCCCTCTAGCTGCTACACATTTCCTAGTAAATTAGTTATGAGAACTTGATGCTAGATCAAGATAGCAGCTTCTACTTGATAAGTTTGAATGTTCTCATGACCTGTTTGCTGAAGAATGTATGGATATTGTAGAGAAAAGTTTTATGTTAACACTTCTTGGAGTTATAGGGTTAATAATAGTACCAGCTCCCAGTTGGCTTGTTAGCTCAATTGTTAGAGCGCTGCACCAGTATCGCAGAGGTCATGGGTTCAAATCCCGTACGGGCCTGAATTTTTTTCAGGTCGTATTTACAACTACTCGTTTCAGTAGTGTTCTTAGCTGCAAGGATCTCTAAATTTCAAGTAAATAATTTGTTGTTTAAATTAATCAGAGTCATTCATATATCATCTGCTTTGTACTTGATGTTTGAAGATTACAACTTTTTTCTCCCAGTTCAGCTTGAGCAAATTATTGTGCAACTATTTTAACATGGCCTCCTGAAAATTTTCTGTTAACCAACTGAAATGTGATGCTCTACCCACCTCCCCTCCCCTCCCCCCAGTTTGTCAGTTGACTAGCAGATCCTATTCTCTCTCAACAAACTGAAAGTTGTTGGAAGAGAAGATAACAACTTATAGGTTGACTTGTTTTCTCCTCTTAAATCACAACCCTGTAACTCAAAAGATCTGACTGTTAATTCTCCCCTCCAGCTGCTACACATTTCCTTGTAAATTGTTAACGAGAATTTGCTGTTAGTTCATGATAACAACTTTTTCTACTTGTTAGGTTTGATTATTCTCAGTACCTATTTGCTGGATTAAGTATGGATATTTGAGTGAGAAGTTACATGTTAATCAGTACTGGGAGCTAAAGGGTTAAAATATCCGAGTTTTAATAACTTAATGGAAGGCAGAAGGGTTGGCTGATTGCTTTCAAGCTGTTGCTTCTGACCAATACAGGCCTGGTAAACATTTGTAAGAAATTTTTGCAGTAATATGTAGTATTTAATAGTTGATTCATGTTTCTTTAGAATGCTGTATGAGGAGAGGAACAAAAAGAAAGAAAAGAAAGAAGCCGATGTTTTTGCTGCCATGGAAAGGAGAAAGTCACAAAATCAGGAGAAGTCTTGAAGAAATAGTTAAACCATGAACTGCTCTGTTTTTAGTTAGTTGTTCAAATGATTTTTACTTAGGTCTTAGTTCATAAGAAAATTTTTTGCATTTGCATGACTGTTTGGAAAAATAGTTTGGTAATATTTATGTTAACTAACTTAAATGTTTACTTTAAAATTTTCATTTGTCAATTCTTTAAGGCTCTTTATTTTTTCTCAACACAGCTTCATGATAATGCGGTTTTAGGTTCTTAATAAAAAGAAGTAACTACCTTTACATAACCTAATATCTTATTTGCACTTATAATAACACAATTGAAAACCACAAATTGGCATTATAAACAAACCATTAATTGCTGTAGTTAAAATGTCATAATGGATTTTGTTGCTTTCAGAGACAATTTCTCACAATTACAGTACCTACAAATTAATTTGTTTCAAGCTCTGAGTCAGCAAAGGGGAACAAAGAATGGTATTAACCACACTTGACCGTTGTCAGGGACAACGTCTCCAGCCTCTTTAAACCTGTAACTCCCATAAGTAATTCACATGTAACTTCTCCTACAATATCCATCCACTATCCAACAAACAGGTAATGAGAGTACTCAAATATATCAGGTAGAAGTTATCTTGATCAAACACCAAATTCTTGCAGCTAATATACAAGGAAATGTGTAGCAGCTAGAGGGGAGTATTAACAATCAGATCTTGGGAGTTAAAGGGTTAAGCCCATTCATTGTTTAGTTTGTCTCCTCTTACAGTGAGCTTGGCACAACCTATGTACAAGTTGTATATGTATTAAGATCAAACACATTCCCTATACAGGAGTTTTCATTTGGTCCTTTTGCAAGAGCATAGTTACACATTTGTAACTCAGAGAGGTATGAAGACAAAGGACACTCTTGCACCCAAATCTAGTTGGGAGTTTTAACAGTAGCATTTTTTTGTAGTATTACTACAACAGTCTGGAGATAACTGTCTTTAAATAATTATTCAATGGATTGTTAAGTGACTAAAGGTGCAGTCAGTTTTGAATTTTGAAGACTGGGTTGTTGTGGACATTAATTTTAGTCAGTCAGTTTTGAATTTTGAAGACTGGGTTGTTGTGGACATTAATTTTAGTCAGTCAGTTTTGACTTTTGAAGACTGGGTGGTTGTAGACATTAATTTTACTATAACTGAATTATTGAAGGATGTTTTAGGTGCTCTACATTGTTCTAGAGACTAACCAAGTATTTTCACACATTCACGTGGTGTCACATGTTTTAACAGAATAGAGACCATTCTAATGTATAGAGATTACACAAAGTGTCAGTACTTAAATATTGTATTGGCATAAATGATTGTTGCATTAAGTGGCTTCCAGTGTTACTAAAGATGGTTGTTCTCGTCACTTTCCTCTTAATGCAAACAGTTTTAAAATTCAAATAAAATTGATGGCAAGGGAATGTTGTTGTGTTAGTGAATGTGTTGAGGGTGTGGTTTCATAAATTGCATGAAAGTTAGTTTTAAATACCAGTAGTAACAACACATTTCCCCCAATTCAGAGCAGCAAATTGCACATTTGATTTTGTACTTTTTTATTCATTTTCTCATTTCCATTTGTTTCAGTATTTTCCATTTCATCCAAGGTAATAATATGTATTATAAAAAAAAAATGACTTCTTATTTCTCCTAATGATCTTATTGCTTTCTTGCACATCAGATCTGAGAAATTCAAATCATTTTCATAGATTCCTATCACTACATTAGCATACAGTGTGATGATACTGCATGGAGTGGTTATGCATCATTCAGTTCTGACAGCTAAAGGTTATTAAATTAACAAGTATTGATTACAAAATAATAATTTGTCAAATGAATGTATATATACCTTCATATGCCAAACAGGTGTCAGTATAATAAATTCTCAAGTTGTGATCCTACATCAAGTGGCGAAACTTTAACATGATTTTCACAAGAAAGTATGTCTTCAAAAATGACCATTGCTTAATGACGGGATAATACAAGGCAACGTTAACACACAAAGGACTATGAAAAATGATTTTCCTTGTTACTTTGATGCCATCAATCTACTTAACTGCTTTGCCATTTTTCATGTTTTCTACCTGCAATGTAGTGTGTCTAAGATGAAAATCATTAAATAAGCAATTCAAAAAAAATTATGGTAATAATCAGAAAAACTATCCCTTTGTTTGAGACTTATTCCCTTGAAACAATCTTCACACGGATTCCGTTCTTTGGCGCCATTGTGATTGTTGCCTTGAGCTCAAGAGGTACCTAAAAAAAATTAGAAAACATTATAGCTACTAGGCATTAATAAAATCTTGCAAAGAAAACTGAGAAAGGAATGTTCTGCGAGGCACCACAAGACACCACTAGCAGTTATCTATATCTACAATGAGGTTACACAGAGGGGTGAAAAGTTATTTCAAACTCTTGCTTTTAAATATCTTAGTCTTTCAAAATTTTGGAGCTTAAATTCTAATTTTTATTACCAAAGATGTCAAACCTTGGAGAGTAACCCTTGAGCTGCAGGCCACTGGAAGTCTGCCATCACAGAGGGTTTTGCTCAATTACAAAGAACACTTCAAGAACTTTCAATGAAACCTACAGCCTTCACATTAGAATTAACAACCAAAAATTGGTGGGGTGAGGTGAAATTTACTAGGCTCCTAGGTGACACTGCATTGGGTTGCTCCTGTGAGTCTCACCTTCACTGCTGTAACCTTGAACAATCTAATGCAAAATTTATGAGTCCTTAGCTGATATAAATCAAAGTTTTACATTAAAAACAGATACCTCAGTTTCTGCAGAGCGCTCAAACTTAAACCTCTTAAGAATGTGAACCAGAGCCATCTTAGCTTCCATGAGCGCAAATCTCATCCCAATGCATGAGCGTGGCCCTGTGCCAAATGGAAGGAAGCAATATGGGCTGCGCTGCTGTTTAGCCTCCTGGGAAAACCTACAAATAAACATAAAAACATAGCTATGATAAATAATGTGAAAACTCCTGGTTCTTGTCTGATCCTGTCACTTAAGCTCTTGCAAGTGACTGTAAATGCATTTGTCTATTAAATAGTCATCCATAAGAAATCAGAGTTGATGAGGAGAAAGAAAAATATAAACTAAGGAACATTCAGATTTCATGGAACAGTAACTTCTCCACGATAAAATTGTATGAAACGCATCACAAACATTGTGAAGGATTACTGTTTAAATCTTGGGCATGAGAGGCTTAGTTGACTTGTTTGTAAATAACTATCAGTCAGAGTACCTTTCAGGATCAAAGGTTTCTGGATCTGGCCAGTATTCTGGGTCACGGTGCAAATGATAAACAGGAAAAATCACCACTGAACCTTTAACAAACTGCACACCATTTAAGGTACAACTTTCTTTAACAGCACGGCCGAACCTGAATAAAAAAAAAAATTAAAGAAAATATGTGGTACTTTGGTTTGGAAATTCCCTTTTAAAAGTTATTTTAAGTTCTTGCAAGGAGAGGTTTCTTTGTAGTTTCCAACAACTAAGCTAAACCTGTCCAGTTCTTAACACTTTTTTTTTATAACAAGAAGTTGTGAATAATTCCCATCAGCAAAGCATTCAAATGATTCATAACAGAAAATACACAACATACACTGACTGTTTTAACAGTAACAAAACATGATTAAAGGACAATTTAAGTCTGAATGATACATTTTAAATGGAAATGGAAAGGAAGTTTTCAGTTGAAATCTGTTCTGATTACATGTAATACAGTTGGTAGTTACAACTGTCTGTGACAGTCATGATAACAAATTCAAACTCAAGACTATGAACCTGAAAGCGGGAGGAAAGAGACGCAATGCTTCATTTAACACCATGTCCAAGTACTCTAAGTTCTGAACTGTGTCATAAGCAGCATTTTCCTGAAATTAAAAGATCCAAGCAGCTTTTCAGTGAATCACTAGTTTGATGCTTGACAAATAAATTCCATGTTGCCATTCGTATGTTCAGTCAGTGATCATGTGTCACAAAAATGTGGTAAGAACAAAAAAAATTGGCAGACAACATGCAGCTGAGCGTCACTCATATTATCACATTTTGACATCTTCTGTGATCTGTAAGTAAAAATACCCAAGGCAACATGGACTCTATTTGTTTAATGATTACAAAAGAGAAGCAAGATGTTGTTACTAGACAGTGACATCACCTATGTGTCCATTTATAATCCATCCTATACAAGAACCAATCAAGACAAAAACTAGTATAATTTAGCTAATTATGTAAGAGAGAACAGAATAAAATTTTTGGCTTGATAAAATTTTTGTCACAGGCTTGAAAATCAGTTCTCTCAAACTTGCTTTCGAAAGAAGATATTTTTTTCACAGGTTGTTGAGGCCAGGAAGGCTATAATTTTTAAAAATGTATCTTGAAGATAGGAGATAGAGGTAGGTGAGTAGTCCTGATTATCAGTAATTTGTGGCTGATAACAATAAGACAGTTCATTAAAAAAATAACAATTTTTTTGTAAAAATTTTCTATAAAAGTGTCAGATTGCACAAGTGAAGCCTACTTTAGATATTGTGCTTGAATGGAGGCAAATGAAAGTTAATGAATAAATTCCATGTGTTCAGCCTGGCTCATATTTTCTAACCTCAAAATGTTTTTCACACGAACAGGACAAGTCATTAATTAAATTTGATCTTAACTGCTCATGTTACATACTGCATCTGAGCTAGACCTTAATACAGTAATCATGAAATGTGGGAGACTTACATCATCTCCAACAGCCCCATCAATTTCTTCAATCAGTTTCTCTTGCACTTCAGGGTTCAGTGCCAGACAGTAAGTCGTGTAGGCTAAAGCATTGCTTGTTGTTTCATATCCAGCCAAGATGAAGGTGAAAGATTGTGACAGAACTTCACCATCAGTCAGTTTACTAACTTTCTTCCCTTCACTGTCTGTGACCTCTGCTTTCATCATCAACTCCAATACGTCTTTCCTCTACAACAAAGTTCAAAAGCCAAGGGCAATTCCCTCATCAATACACCTCTTTTTCTTGGTTTTCTCTTGGCTCCATTTTTGATGTGATGTTGAGGTTCAATTTCATATACATTGTATGTTTCATATCTAATTTATCTTCATTTGAAACTCATTATCTAGAATTATTACTGCCTAAAAACAAACAGAAAGTATTATGAGAACTAAAGATAAATTGAAGCACTTCAAAACAACTCTGGATCACACTTGCAATTCTAATAACAAGATAGTAGCCTCAAGGAACCCATCATTTTCAAGTCTACCTGTGCAGCTCCAGACTCTCTCCTCATTCTCATCACTTCTTGTGCAGCTTTAGTTAAAAACATTGCTGACTTTGATCGTTCAGTACTTTCCGACCTCAGTATCAGCTTCATCACCAACCGAAACAACCGTGCCATAAATGGAAACACCACTGCCAAAAAATTAACATTTACAAGAAATTGTACGAAAGGAAAGGAAAACACAGCATCAAATACATGCAGTCCCTATCCAATTTAACTAATCTAAAATTTTCTCATAATTGCAACTGTTAAAACAAAATATAAGCAGAATGTTAAGTGTCTTATGATCAATCAAACTGGAGATCAGGACAAACGGGCAATCCTCAAAATGACAGACTAGTTCTCTCCCTACTGACTGGTTTGTTCTTCTTTATACAGTAACTTTCCAGTCTGAAATAATTCTGATGTCCATAGTTTCTTGGGTTTCACAATCAACACTTATTGTAATAGTTCTTAGTCTGATAACAGTTCATCATTTACTGACAAGATTAATTACAGGTAATTTTTCATTCATGTTCCTGACTGCATCCATAGATTATTTGATAACAAATTGTTTGCTGATCACTGGACTAAAGCAACACACAAATGATCAACTTACTTAAAATAAATGAAAGAGGAGGCTGTTTAAAAAGAACCTCTGCATTTGGAGTGTACTGCTCATTGGCATCATTCTGTATGTCTGCCTGGACACCAAATGCTGTAGCCAAGATTACTTCCATGGTGAATTTTCCATAAGTCCTTCAAGACATATTTATTTGCTGCTTAGAAGCTTAGACTTACTGTCAAAAAATGGTGACTGTTAAAAAAAAACCACTCTTATTAACCCTCATATTCACTTAAAAGGACCCTTTTTTCAACACCTTTTTGTGGGGCCTTAGTAAGGAAGGGCAGTTTAACACCTTAATTAAACACTGGATCATAGGCTGCTATATTTTGGCTAAACAAACTTACTTACAAAACAACTAAAAAGTGAGTTTTCCACCAGAATGCTCTTGCTTTACCTAACTAAGAAATCACTTTTATAAAATCTATAGCTCATCCCTAATTAAATCTCAGTTAGCCTTGCTTTCTTAAAGTAACAACAGTAGTAATGCAATAAAGAGAAAAAGTAATCACAGCAGTAAAACAAATAAAATTATGTGAACCTTTCTGCAGCAGGGTATTCAACAAGAGAGAGAGAAGAGTAAATAAATTTTGACAAGTCATTAGGAGGGTGCAAGCCCCTAAGCAAAAGAAGGAATGCTTAAAGAGCGATGAACATATTCAAGTCATTTATAACACCCAGTGACTCCCATCAGGAGAAGGGGTAATTTGTTTTAATGATCATGGCCTATTATCAAGACATACTGCTGCACAGCTTGATAGTGTGATGATTTCATTTGAGCTTGTCTACAACAGAGTGCTGCATGTACATGTACCTCCACATGTCCACTATCTCTCCTGTCTTAGCAATTTGTTCAAGTTTTTTGCCCAGTGTCTTTGCTGACTGGTGAACCAAAGGGGTAATCTGTAAAGAAAAAGACGACAGTCAATGTCCAAGTTCAGCACAAGATACAGCCTGGTGTTCATGTACCAATAAAAAGAATTCTAGATTCTGAAATGATCTTAACATCAGTATTATTTGAAGGATATTCTTCATTGTTCTTTCATGAACATAAAAAAGATGAAACTAAATAAAATATCCTTTTTTGCCTTCCAACTAAAGATGACACAAACCTGTTTAAGTTTCAGTGCACTGAATGTTGGAGTGATTGTAACACGGATTCTTCTCCATTCTTCATCTTCAAGTGTTAACAAGCTCTTGTTATCAAATATAGACTGACTTCCAATACTCTGTAAACACATTTCAACACAGAACATCACATCAATCACAACTAAGAAAAACATTATTGACTGATAGAATGTTCAGTGAAGATAAAGAGCAGACCAAAATAGACACTTGATGTATTACACTGTCTTCACTATGACCATAAATGTGTTTATCATGTACTTACAGAAAGTGGTCTGTTTGGGAATTTACTAAATTCTTTCACAGTGATCTGCTTGATTAGATCAACATCCGAGATCACATAAGTTGGTTTACGACCAAGATAAACCCTACAATTATAGACAAGAAATATTTTAATGCTTGACTGCATCTGTCCTCGACTGGCCAGACTTGTAACTTAATGGTTGACTGCCTTATGTTATCCCCAACTTTTTTCTGTGAAAACTTCATCTTAATTCTAATGATAAAGCCAACCATATCGTTTTCCTTAGCCTTTGACAAAATCTATTAATTTGAAATATAACACTTCTTTATCCAGGAACTCTAAACCAGACAGTGCTATGACAACATTTCCTCCAAATTAGTTTAAGAAATAATAATAACAATTTGAATTCATAAAGTGCAAATCACATGAATGTATGATCAAATGCACTGTTAACTTGGTCAAATATAATTTACAACATATCAATATGTCTAACACAAGGATTATATCAGCTACTTGCTATGTTTACAAACAAAGAAAATTCTTATTCATTTTCAGCCTGTTAAAACAGGTCCTGGTATTTTTACTCAGGAAAGTTTAGGGTTTTTTTATGCAGGTAGCATAGGAAAAAGGTGCCCCTAGAATATTTGGGCCCAACCCTAGATCCATGACATCATTGTCCCCAAACCCTGTAAAATTTGACTAACCCTGCTACTCTTCCATACTTCTCAGCCACTTCTTTGTCAAACAAAAACATTTGATGGGGCTGAAATCAAAGCACATGATAAATAACCAATTAATGCTGAAAATGCAAAGAATTATTTTTTTGAGGCAAGTTACATGTTATTGGTACCATTCATCAAACAGGGTTCAGGGATATTAACATGTTAATCAAAACTATAACAAGATTCTTGAACATGATTGGTTTTTACCAGCCTGATTTGAGCACTAATAGGACAGTGTAGTCATGTCATGCTTGTAAATGGACGGTGTAATAGGACAGTTAAAGGGACATTCATGGTCATCTGATTTTGTTAATCACTTGCATGATTACAGGCCAAATCAGACTCCACTCAGTCCTATAACCGTTATTAATCTTACTACCCACAAACTCAAATAAAAGTCCTCAAACTCAAAAGACAAAATGAACTATTAACTGTTAGCTGTTTGGGAATTAATGAATTATTTTCTAAAGCACTTATCACCTTGCTCATTATCTGAGGAAGATTTCCCAAAAATGGCCATGGTGTAGGACCAGGTATGCCCAGGTTTTTGAAGAAGGAAAAAGGTGCCATGCCATACCTACAAGACAAACATTATCTCAATACTGTGCCCTAAGAATTGGAGAAAAACTTGCAATTTTGTTTCATGTAACTATCTATCATTCTAACAGGAAAGAAAGTGAAAATAAAGTGAAGCCCATCCTGCTTATCCAAGTTTACATAACATGAGGTGACCCCACACTGATGTTTTTTGTTAAAGACATTTGTTGTATTATCAGTGATGGCTTACGTCCTCCCTTGCATCTCCTATTCACATTCTCAGGTAAGTAACCCTCCCAAAACAGTGGATGAGATTCAGGTAGATGCTGATAGAAGCACAGCATAGCATTTACAAAATACAGGTTCTTCTCGTTTGTAGGGCGTCGTGTGACATTTGCAATCCTGGTTCCTGGACGATCACTGCAGCTTGATCAAAAGCCATTTTAAAAACGACCGCATTAATACATTTAAAAGATGTTGAACAATCTTACCGTACGCATATTCAGCAAAGACATAAAACGATAGCCTTTACGATCAAAACTCTTGGTCTCCTAATCAGTTTTAAATTGAGGGGAGGGGCAATCAGTTCAAGAGTAGTACGCATTTGTATAATTTACTTGAAGAAATTAAGCAAGACCTAGAGCGAATATAAATTAAGCTAGCCTGATTCCCCGGTGAAAACGGTCAATAAACAAGCACGGCCCTTTGTTAGCATCCGAACTGGGTAAATAATAGCAACAACGGTTTTGCAACACTCTGCGAAACATGTGCGTCGAAACTCGGTAATTTGGAATTGTTACGTTACACATCATATGTCCCTCAAAACATTTTGCGCAAACGTTTTTTAAACTTTCTCTTAGGAGGATTTCAGCTGCCGAAAGAGACTGAAAACAATTCGAGCGCCGAACTTTGTAGGGCAAACAAAGTTCAGTGAGGTCAATACAAAATCAAAGTCTTCGTAAGAGAAGTGCAGGCCTTCAATTTTTCAAGTGGGTAGCGGGAAAATGATGCTTAACATGTATAGCTACTGATTCAATCGATTTAAAATTTTCAATTTCGCTCTAATTAGCCACATCATTAATTGCTTTTACGTGTAGCTCGAAAGGTCAACGAAGCAAACCAATAACCTGTGTACAGATTTATGCAAGACCCAGATAAGCGAGTAACTTACCAAGCGACCAGCAAAACGATTCCAATGACTAATGCAATCCATAAATGTTCAAATTCTGCAGCATTTTTAACAAAATCCATCGTCAGAAAATAGGCTAGCTCGACCAAACCAACTTAACCAATATGTAGAACGACCCTGCGCTTGGTTATAGAGTTATGCTAATAAGTCTTCCTCGCACTGGGACCACAGGCGTGAGAGCGTGACGTTTTCAAAAACAGCTGTGGGTCACGCGTGCCTAGCTCGCGAGATGGTCTGAAAGAAGCTACTTTGCGAGACCAGAGGTAATTCGCGCGCGATACCTTGAAAAAAGCCGCAAACCAATTTTCCAGTGATAAAATGGATGATCCATCGCAGTCCTCAAAGTAGAGGATATATTCTTTCCGTACGACCGTGCCAAGGGATGTGTGACGAAAGACGCGAGTAAACGTATTTACCCGCGTTGGTATCTGAATGATTATTCTGTCCATTTCATTTCTGTGCGGAAGCAGAGATTCTAGCAAAATATTATTTTGATCCTTTCTCAGCCACCTGTAAGGCTGCTTTAAACACCTATTGGATTGTCACGCAATATTCACAAGGAAGAACCGCGTGACGAGTGTTTCAATCTGGCCGTAAACCTAAAGTATTTTAAGTTAATTGATTACCTCTTCAAGGCAAATTATTCTTCGGAAACGATTCTGATCTGCGATCGGTGACGCTGCTAAGGTATGGAACAGTGAAGTATCGTTGACTATTTTTTGAATAAGTGATTCAAACAGTTGAAGTTGTTTCAGTAGCAGGTACCTTGGCCCAATTCCAAAAGAAAACTATTTGCAAAGCTAAGCGATTTCTAAACACTTACTAATGGCACGGCAAAATATCAAAACCTGTAAACAAGCAAAAAAACTGAATAAAATATAAGCCTGAAAAATTGAATACTGAATACTAAGAACAAGTCAGCTACCTTTTCTGTGCAAAATGATTTCCTGAACAAAATTGAGTTTACAATACTCGCTGGTAATGCACTTTAAACGTCTTTCACAAACGAACCTATAAATAACTTATTCCGAAGGATAAATAAGACGGCATTAATTTTTAAAAAGCCTCAAAGTTGTAGCGTCTTTCACGTACTTCAAGAAGATCCACGGCAATGGACGCACAACTTGAAGACGAAACGCCCTCAAAGGGTTGTATTACCGTGTGCTTTGAACGCATATTTCAAAAGTTGATTGAGTGCACACCAAAATACATGTACTTCATCTTGGCAGCTGATGGTTGAACTGTAGGGAAATCACCTTCGTTTTGTTTTTTGTTTAATTTGCGTTCAAAGAAACCTTTGGAACTGTATTCGGCGCTGGCGTCTGAACTGTACAACAAAAATCGCTATCAAAAATGGCCTTACGACTTCACAACACCAGACTAGTTGATGGCGGAATCTGTTGTTTTAATTTTATCTTTGAGGAGTTTTCCAGTATTGGAGAGAAAGTCTACTCAAGGCCTTTCTTTTTTGCCGGCTCTCGATGGCGTTTACAAGGTGGAGTGAAAGGAGGACAGTTTGGTGTATTTCTCCGCTGGCTTGGAGGTGGGCAGCATACTGATAAAGTTAAATGCAATATCCGTTTCTCTGTGGAAGTTATCAACAACAGAGACCCTTCAAGCTCTGTACGGGTTGGAAATATGACAGAACCAGATGAGTTCCCAAGAGTAGCCTTCGGCATCGGCTGGAGCAAGTTACTGTCTGTGGAGGAAATCGAGAGGCCCAATTCGGGCTTTCTGGACGATAACTCTTTGTTCCTGGAAGTCAAATGTTGCATGGTGCACTTTTTATTTGAGGATAAGCTGGTGATTAATTTGTCATCTCGTACTAGTTACGTGTCCAGTTCAAAGTTTTCTCTGTTCGGCGAAGAATGGTACCTTGTATTGTATCCTAGAGGAGAACCCAAGAGTGACAATTCTGAAAGCCAAAAACAAGAGCACGCTGCCGTGTATCTTCACAGAGAAGAACCAGGCGTGTTAAGATTCAAGGCCACTTACTCCATATTTGTGCGAGGAGGCCGCGAGACGCAAGTCAGTCATCATTTCTGCAACAACAACGCCAGCACAGCATTTGGCATTGAGAAGTTTGCACGCACCAAAGATCTTAAGGCTGTCTCCAAAGGAGGCTTGGTTTCCATTGGGGTCAAAATCACCAGCATCGAGCCTTACTATTACTTTGGGTTTGACACACAGGGTTGGTCGCCTCCCAACAAACTTGGAGAAGGATGTTCTATAAATGACGTGTTCCCTTTGTTGCTAAAGCCGTGCTCGAATGACAAGAAAATGTTGGATTTTAGTCTGATGTTGGACCCTGGGCCAAAATTTGAACATGCAGAACTGGAGGATAGTGCTTACTACATGAAGATCCTTTGGAGTGTCAATGTGGTGTGTGTTAAAGATTTTAACAGAAGTGTAACCGTCAACTCTTGGGATGTCGTTGGTAAGAGCGCTTTCTGTCACAGCCAGGATGAAATGACAATGAATACAACTCTGGAGCTAAACGAGGTACTCTTCTATTCATTTAATAATCATAAATGTTTAAGCCACCCTACCTTGTACTCCTTCTACAAATCGTTTCAGCGGTACTGGACGTTTAGGCATTTCGATTCCAACATTTCTATTCCTGCCACTTAATCTTTCGTGTATTGGAAACGGTTTTACTCTAACTATCCCTTATTTGACTTTGTTTCATTGTAGTAGACTTTTCGCAACCCTCTACTTCACTGCATCTCTTTTACATCTTTTGAGCGTTCTTATTATTAAACTTCATAAAATCAGGAATTTGGGGGGGCGGGGGTCAGTCCAAAATTAGCGAAGAGTACGATCTCTAGACGGTTGAGACATTTTGTTATTGTTTACAGCGAATGGTTTTGCCAAGGTATTCAGACAGTTCAGCCCCTTTATCCCCGAAGCAAAATGCAGCGAGACGATTCCATCAAATAAGAAATATAATCCCATCCAAATTAAGGATATTGAGACAAAAACGCAATGTACAGTACTACGACAAACAAATCATTGAATGTTTTATTGCTCCTTCCCCAAGGTGTTGAACCCGCATAGCCCCTACTTGGATGACGAGAAGAATTTGGGAGTTCGCCTTGTCATGGCAAATGCAAATGAAGTTTATGATCCACTCCTGATCAACTCTGACAAACACAGCGTGGCAAAGTTGAGAGAAATGAACGCTCAGACAAAAGCTGCTGTGGAAAATTTCTGGTAAGATTAGTGTTGCAAGAAAAGCCTTTACAAAGAGGCAATCGACTTTTTTTCCTCACGAAAACTTGTAAAAAAAAAATTAGAGAATCGCATGTTTTGAAATTCATTTATCTAAAAACAACGCAGCCGAGGTGGAAACGCATAATCAAATAAATATTTAATTGTTTGTCAGTTAGGGTATCAGGTGGATTAGATAAAGATCATTACCATCCACTTGTTTCATAGGAAGGATCAATTAGACGAAATTTATTCTGAGAAAGATAGAATAATAGCTGACAAAGAAGAAGAAATCGCAGCAAAAGAAGAGGAACTAAACCAGAAAGAGGCTGCTATTCAGGCACTGGAGAACGAGATTACTGAGAGCAATGAGTATCTGGCAGAAATTGAGAGCACTGTTGATGAGGTATGACAAGCATCTATACTGTGAGCTAAGGACATCAAAGAAAAATAACAAAAATCCCACTCTTTAGGAGCCCAAAGAATATTCCACTCCACTTCCTACAAAATGTTTAAGGGAAATATTGCTGGTTTATGCTCAAACGAAAACACATGCGAACCCGCGCACAGGTAGCATGATCACACAGCCACGGAACAACCTAAAAGATAAGTTAACATTGCTTCCTCTTCTGAAAATGTTTCTATGTTATGATCTCTTGGTTTTTCCTCTGTACAGATTGACGGCAAGAAAGTGAGCAGTATAAAGGATCTCGTACAGGAAGCTCAACCAGATGAAGAAGAACTTACTAAGCAACAAGAAGTTGGAGAAAAATTGAAGGCATTTTTAATGGCGAGTGTTCATTAACATTGCCTTAACACTTAATATTTGAAACACTCAATGTGACTTAATTCCAGTTTTCTTAAGCACTAGCGAAAAAATTCCCCACGTGAAGGACTAAAGAATTGATTTATTTTTGTATGACCTAACAGGATCGCCTCCCATTCAGCGTCAGCCGTATTTCAGTTGTTGGAGCTGCAGGACAAGGAACTACTATCAAAGGCAACAAGGAATTAGAACTGGCCGTGTTTGTCAAAGGTTTAATACATGTTTAAATTCTCCCTTTGCCATCAAGGAGTCTATTGTTTGAAAATTTTAAAATCTGACCACTGATCCCTTATCAGTGATAAAAAACTAAGCTATTTACAAATTCCTAACAGCAAACCTTAGCTAAGCATGAGGTCAAGAAGACTGTTGTTACATAACTGTGACAAAGCAACAGCCATGTGAAAAGAACTGACAAAGTCCCATTTGTTCATTAGATCTTCCTAGAACTGAGCATAAAAGTTGGTTGCCAGCCATAGTTTTCACTATCAAGACCCTGCTGAAACAAGAAGGATCTAAACCAACAGAGAGCACAGATGACAACCAAATGACTTCAACACTGCCACCATGTTCAGACTTTGTGACTACCTCAACATCTGTCAAGTTCAAATGTGATAGTGTGGATGTAACAATTGACCCAATGAATGACTGGGAGCAAATGGGAGGATTCGTTGGTTTATATAAACAATGCCTTTCCCAACCAGCAGATGCTCAGCCATTGTAAGTGCACCCACAAGACATTTAAAAGAGGCCCCTCCCATTTGAGTAACACCATGGCAACTATAGAAAGGCCACTGAACTGAGATATCGTAAGAACTGATGAAAGTAACTTAATCAAAGGTTATACAGTGCAATTTTCATCTAGGGGACTCACTGAAAACTAGAAAAATTGACCCCATACATTTAGGGGACACACTCAGGACTTGAAAAATTGAGCACCTCTTTCTATCTATTTTCATCTTTATCTAGCTACTTATAAGAGAATCAAAGATTCAGGAGAATTACATTCTCCATCACATCACACTATAAATTGTAAAAATGTTTGCAGACTTGATCGTAATTCAAGGCACTCAAGAACACTGAGCTGATTAAAAATTTGTGTGGAAACTTTCGTAAAGTTCAGCATACTCAACAGCTTATGCATATGTCAGAAATCATTTTTTCCTTTCTCTTGTTTTAGTTATAACATCTGCGCCTGTGAAAGACAGACAGAATTTATTTCTATACAGAATCCAAAGGTATTGTTTGGACTGTGATTCTATGCAGGGTTTTTCTTTATCTCTCTGACTTTTTCTCAATATTCAGACAACTCAACACTCTTTGGGAAGGTATGTGAACATGGTATCTCTACAAAAACTGTATAGATTTTGTTTATCCCTTTTTTTTTTGCATCACTGAAACTTGAAAATAAATTTTATTTAGATAAAAGAACCTCTACCCTGATACCAAAAAGGTTTCACTTGAAAAAAAAAAATCAGAACAATGTTTCTATTTCTACATTAGTGCAAGGAGCTGATCCGTATTGTCAAGGTGTGGAGTAACAGCGTTGCCTGGCGGAATACCTCATCCACACCCAGTCAGTACCTGTTGTGTCTGCTGGTGACTGCAGCTTATCAAGTGGTTCACGAGTAAGTATTTTACAAGTTCAAAATCACGCTTGTTTCTGGTATTAACAACATGCAAAATACTTTTCACAAAAATGTATATTTTGTGGTGTTTTGGGGTTAAGAGATCAATCAATATGGAATGATACAAATATACAAACTCTCGAATGAGAAATTTTCCAAGTTACTGTATAAGAGTTCCTGTAAAAGAAAATTTGCCAATTCTTTCCTTAGAGTCATCAGTTTTCTAAAAGAAAATTATCAAAAAGTGATTGTGCAATGGCTGCTTAAACATCTTAGTAAACACAAGCTTAAAGTTTGTTCCTTTTTCATTCCATACAAATATTAAAATGCAAAGCGGTTGTGAACACCTTTATATATCTACATACCATGTGCTTCAATGTGTTATTATGCAATGGTTGAATTCTAAAGGGGAGGTGATCAGTCCCAAGCAGTAAGAGCAGACAAAGATGTTTTCTTGGAACTTGCTGACATGGTTGGAGATGAATCTTTAGAGTAAGTTTAATAGATACCAGTACACACAACTTTTTTAAAAAAAAAAGTATTTCATATTGCATGATATTTAGAGAAGACAGCAACAGCATTTCTAAAAGTTGATAAATCTATCTATAAAATATTTCAAATTATTAGATACAGACAATACACATCTTTAGAAATGTGGCTTCCCTTTATCTAACTATGAAAATGGATGAATTTTTAAGCAGAGCTTATTTACAAGGGCACCACTAAACTTCAGCTCTCTAAGCTGAAGTTTATCATGCTTTAACAGTGTATACAATAATTTTTGTCACCTTAGTTGAACATTATTTGGTTATATAAATCTCTTCCACTAGATTCAGAGCAACACCTAGACTCTGAAGTGTTTTTATCTAAAAAAATTTAGGCTGAAGGGATTTACACTTGGGTCACCACATGACATAACATTTCATTCCTCCATTTGTTAAGTTAAGTTGGTCAGTCAGTTGGCAGTTAGCTGGCAGTGAGTTGATCAGTGACTCAGAAACTCATTGATATTCATTCAGTTTTCCCATTACTCTGTCACCCATCCATCTATCCAGCCATTCATTCAATAATTGACTCTTTAATTTAGAGATATTTCTGACACAATAGTTTTCATCTCATTTTATCCAGAGTCTACTGGAATGAATATTACCTGGTAGAAGACTATCCCAGGGAAAATTTTCCAGTTCTATTTCAACTTCCCATTGTTCAAGACCCTGCCATTCCAACACATAATGTGGCATCTGATGGACTAGAGGACTGGGCACAATTCAGGAGAGAACTGTCAAAATGGGTTGCAAAATTAACTCTTTGATACACTACATTGATATGTTGTAACATCATTCAGTTAATAAGCTCTGTAAATGTTTTTTGTAAGCATAAATCTTCAGAAATGTAAGTTGGAAAACTGTAGTAATGCTGAGTTGATATGAGAAAAAAATGCAAAAAATTCACCTTTGAAGGTACATTGTATCCTTAAGAGATAAGAGAACAGCTGCCATGAAGGATATAATTCGCTTTAAAAATCTTTGCCATAGTACTTTCTTAAATAGTGTTAGAATAAAAACACTTAAGAGACAATAGCTACGATGACTAGCACTAAAAAATATTTTAAGTGATTTAACCTGTGGATTTCATTCAAAGATAGTTCAATATTTATGATGTAACCTAAAAATTTACACATTGAACATAGGGGTAAAAACTTTAAATAAGCAAGTAGCCAGTGACTCAGTATTTAGTTCAATGAATTGCTTTTACCATTGGTATTTAGGGCCTTCTTCTAGTTATTAAATTATTTTCTTTTTGTCATGTGGATGCAGAAGGAAGAAATCTGTAAATCAACAGCACAAACAATTTTTTTGTTTTTATAAAGACGTGCGTCTATATGATAAAATTGTGATTCCTATGTAGATTAAGTATCGTAATAGTTGTGAAATTTAACTGCCTCATCACTATTTTAATTTTTTAAGTATGAGCATTTTGATGGATGATTTCTTTAATAAATGGTTTATCTACTGCTGGTAAACAGGTTTTATACTTGTGAACTTACATAAAACTCCATGAATTATGTAATTATTGAGTAGCAAAACAGTATTATAATTTATTACATTCCCATCAACATCATTGCCTATACTGACCACATCTCGATCAAACATATTTTTCCAAATGGATGGAACTCAAAATTTTCTCCCTCTTGAAAAAAACATTTAAATTTGAAGACATTTGTCTAAACCAGAGTATATACTTAAAAGTGGAATAGCATATAGTCGCAATTTCTGATACTCCATTAACACCATAATTAAACATAACCACTTTTATATAAATTTCTGTCTTCCACACTCAGACTGTACACAGCACATAAAACAACCTGCCCTATCTACAGTAGATACAACTTTCTACTTTTTTCTTCAGTAGATACAGCTACAAAGAGCTTTACCTACTGCAGATAGTGAAAATAGCTCTATCCAATGTAGACAGTGTAGATAGCTGTATCTCCTGTTGTGAGTATAGGTTAAACGAAGTATCTGGCAGTGACTACCTGTACCAGTATATGCTCTCCTAGCCTGAGCACGGGATTGAATGGATGAAAATATCTTGATAACATGTTCCCATATTCCTTCGTCTTTTTCCTGTAATGTATAATTTGGCTGATGTACCATTTTTCGGCACTGTCCTTCTGTCAGCAAAACTTAACCATGTTCAAGAACCGCTATACGCGAAATTCAGCTATCTATCAAGTGGTTTCGCGTTAGCTTTATATGAAGTTACCCTAATCCGCTGACATTACCCTCAGGTTGCAGGTGATGTTCACCAATCAGAGGCTTTGTTAGAAGACGCGTGCTTTTCAAACCGAACTCTTTCGACAACAAGCAACACATCCAGTCAAAACAGAACTCGTTACAACCGAAAACATGTTTAGTCCACTTGAAGATCAGGAAAACCTGCCTGTTGGGGTAATCTCATACCCTTAATGTTTCGTATTGAGGTTATTTTTAGGTCTTTTTTTTTTAGGTTGAGCATGTGGCGATCTGTGTGACCACGTTCTGTAAACGGAATTTAGATCGAAACGTTCTGTGTGAACGAATTTAATCATGGCGTAGATCATTAGGCTGTATGAGAGATCTTGAATTGAAACGGTCATAGGGTTACTTTGTAATACACCAACGATTAATCTAAAATTTATTTCAGACGGTCTCATTCGCAAAAATCCTTATGAGATGAAAATCTCAAGACTTCGTTCGAACTGATGTGAACGCCAGCTAAAAACTGCCTTTTGGCCTCTTTTTTGCAGTCTCGTTTGTTCCATTTCTCCCTCGAGTCTACATGTTCAGTTTTTATCCCTTTTCAAAGCGAGTGTTTTGTCTGACGATGGTAGTTGTCCGTTTGCTGATGGTTGCTGGTGGTTAACAGAACATTCAACCACACTGAACAGGCGGGGGTTCAAGTTTTTACAAGGGAATAGGATTTTTTATTGTACCGTGTTTCTGCACTTGAAATTTTACACGTTAAGAATAGAACTGCATATGTCTTATAGCATAAACACAACATTTAACCTGGATGATCATTGATTGACAGGTGGCGGCCTTGGTTACTCCTGCCAGACGACCGCTTAAGAGTGTTTTTGACAGTCGTGTGAACCATGGTACCCCAACCAGACAGCAACGTTCAGATCTGTCTAAAAAGTTTCTTTTTAAACATAAACAGAAATCAAAGAGGCGCAGTGCCCCTGTGCATAACTTGTATCAGTTGATACCTGCACTGGTCAAGTCAAGAATACTAACAGCTTCTCCAGTTCAAGAGCAAAGTCCAATAGGGAAGGAGATAAGCGGTTGTAATATGTTGTCTTTGAGTGATAAAGGAAAAGAATCTTTGGCTGAGAAAGTTGTTGGAGAAATCATAAAAGAAGTAGATAAGGTTTGAATTGACCGCACATAGTCATGGCATCATTTCTACAATGTGCAAAGACCTACTTGCACAACATTTCGATGTTGCACTTTTTGAATAAGGACACTTTGACCTTTTCGTAACAAAGCACAATGTCTATAATTTCTAAAAAGAGGTATGAGGTATCAAATCAGGTATTTTAGTCCGCAACTAGAAACAGAAGACAGCTTAAAAAATCCCTTCCACCCATCTCACTTGTTTTGTTTTGTTTTGTTTTGTTTTTTTCTCCTCAAAGACTGTTATCTTAATTTCTTAATATGATGTATAATGTTTCATGTATTTCATGGTGAAAGATTTTGAGTATATTTTTGCAAGGCTCTGATTTGGCCAATATAGGTTATTATGTTAACAGTCTAAAAAAACAATTCAGTTTTTTATGACAAATAAATGAACTATTCCAAATAATCTTTGAACACCTGTGCAAAGGTCACCACAGAACTTAATAATTAATAAGTATTTTGAATGAGCATAAATTAATCCAAAGATGTTCCATAATGCATGACCATAAACAAATTGATTAATACTTTCTTTTAACAGAGTGAATCCAAAGTGAAAGAGGAATCCATGCCAAGGAAGATGGATTCAAATGAGCTAATTATTCTGCAGATGAATAAAGAAAGATTGAGGCTTGAGAAACAATTGTCCCAATTGATGAAGGTAAACTTCTCCCAGACATCTTTCTAAAATCCTTCTTTTTTTTATCTTGAATAAAATAATTTTACCTGTAATTTTTTTTTGAAGTTGTTAGTTTGGAATTTTCCTATCTGAATGCCAGGTTCCAAAAAGTGAAATTTTAAATGGATTAGTTTAGAAATCAGCAATCTAAAATATATTTGCAGGTAGCAAAATTTACATATTTATCAAATCATAATGATGACATTGAATGAAATATCTGGGTTTAGAAATAAATGAGCTCATGCTAAATGCAAATATTTCAATGACATGGAACAAAAGAGAGAATTTTAGAATACTGTTGTTATATTTAAATGTAAATATTTGAATGTAAATATGTTATGTTAGAACAACATTTTTTTATGTTTAATGGGTCTTCTCGAATGATGCAGGATTACTATGTAGAAATTGTTTGTTTAATATTCAAAATACAAGTTTCAAGTTAAACTGAGTGATATGAACAGATTTTCTTCTATGTTTAGTTAACAATATCATGACAAGTCTTGACTAAATTTTCAACTTGTGCAGACTGTCTAGGTAAAGATTTTTTTTTCTGTCCTACAGATCATTTCACTCCATCTATATCTCTGATTATTAATAACAGTTTCATTAATTAAGGGCTGTGCTTCAGCTAATAGTCCAGGTATCACACCTGACCAATTTATGCTTTTGTGGAACTTGTAGTACTTTTGGGTTATGAATCCAAAGCTTTTAAGAGCTTGGCAACCCAGATGTCTGAAGCATGAGCTTTCAGGTTGCCAGTGATTCCTCTTAGAGCACTGTTTGATTAATTTGAATTGGTATTTGTATATTTCAGGAGCAGTCAAGAACAAAGAAAGTACCCAATGGTACTTCTAATTCCAATGCAACAAATACCAATGGATTGGAAAGGGAATTAGCAAGGAAAACAAAGGAACTTTTTGAATTGAAACAGCAATTTGATCAGTTACAAGAAATGTTGTTGGAAGTTCCTGAATTGAAAAAAGACTTACATAAAAGTAAGCAAGAAACCAAGGGACTTGGTGAAGTACTTTTTGCAAGTCGGAAAAAGACTGTCCAACTAGAAGATCTCGTTAAGAAACTAAACAAACAAATCAAAGACAAGGAAAAGCTGAGTGAACACTGCATGCAACTTCAAAATAGTTTGGAGAGTATAACACAAGAAAGGGATCAAAATGGCACTGAAGTGGAGAGACTTAGGAAGGACTTAGAGCACAAGGAAAGTGAAGTCCAAAGAAATAGAGATCACTGCATTACATTGAAAGAACTTGTAGATAGGCTTGAGGTGAGAAATTTCAAATATATTTTTATCACCAGGGTTTGTTTTTGCATAAGCATTGTCAGGGAAAATTGCTTCTTTTTGCAAGTAAAGAACAGGAACCTTGGAAGTAAAGTTGACATGAAGGTCACTATATCTTGAAATGCTGACAAAAAGTGTCCCTTTTCTAATCTCTATTGACAAATTCTTTCTATATAACATTTAATCTCTCTGGCATTTCCTTGCTGCTAAACAGATTCAGTTTCTTTGTTGTGTTTACCCTCACACAACTTGTCAGGCATGGCATGCTCAAGGTTATTACTACTAACAAAGATGTGTTTTGATGAAAGAGTTATTTTCAAGATAAGTCTTTGCCTTATTGAGCTGATCTGTCCAATTATCCATTAAAATTATTTGCCAGAATGCTTCTTCAGATGCAGAGCACTATGTGGCCTCCAGTAAGGAAAATGAAACAATACTGCAATATCAGGTAAAGTATCAATTTAAGCTGTGTCCTGAGTACAATGTTGCCCAACCATGTTCTACTATTTATCGAGGTAGATTTGTCTCAACTAATTGTGAATTACACCTTTTTCTCTCCCCATTATCAGATAGATGAACTTAGTTTATCTTTGGAGTCAAATTTGCTTGCTTTAGAGGAGGGAAAGAAACTCATTATGGAGAGAGAAGATGAGCTGAAAAAATCAAGGTAATGAATTGATAAAAACAATAATTGTTTTGAAATTAGTTTTGTCCAAGAGCTTCCTTGTAAGCATAGTCCGATGAACCCTTTAACTCACAAGATCTACTTGTTAATTCTCCTCTCTAGCTGATATACATTTCCTTGTAAATAAGTCACAAGAATTTGGTGTTAACTCAAGACTACTAACTTCTACCTGATAAGTTTGGGTATTCTCATCACATGTTGGTTGGATTATGTGTGGATGTTATAGGGAGAAGTTACATGTTAGTCACCTATGGGAGTTAAAGGGTTTACTGGATGACAAAAAGTCAGCTCATGAAAAAGTGAACAATTTTTTCAAAGGAACTGTAGATTATTGGAGAAAAGATGACACCAGAATTTGTTCAGCTCTAAGTATTATATGGAATAGTTCATCACACATTTTACCCTATGAAACTGTGAACACTTGAATATGTAACTCACAATTTTTTTGTACCAAAAAATGGAAAAAGTACAAAACTGTTTTGTTTTTTTCAATTTTAGAGAAAGTGAAAAGGAACTACGAGACCAGTATGAGAAGCAAAGTGGACAATTGAATCATTTGACAGCAGAAATTGACACAGCCAAAATGGAAATCTCAAGGCAGAAGGATGTTATAATCAGACAACAAAGGGAGATGGAAGATCTGAGAGTAAAACTTGCAAATTCCATGGAGCAAATAGAGGTACGTCATAAATCAAGAGAACCTAGTTTTCAAGTCAAATATTTCTTTTAAATTAGGATACTGAGACTGTTGTTTGTGAACGCTTGTTTTCTCCAAAACAGTGTACATTAATCTGTCAATTTCCCAGTTCACATCTCAATTCTTGAGTTGTTTTCAGTGAGAATCATGACGTGCACCAGCTGTTCCTATATATTCTTATGCTTGAATTTGCACTTACAGAAATGCTACAGATGCTGGATTTATGGACTGTCACCGTGACTTGTTTTGGGGTGAAATTCTGTTGCTTCTGTTAGCTCAACATTTTCCCTTTTTTTGTTTTGTTTTTGTCATTTTCAGTACATACAGCTGCAACAACAAGAGATGAATGAATTCACGGAAGACGAACGAAGAAATCTAGAAGTTACAGTGTGTGAAATGGAAAACGAGGTACGTACGATATGAATACATTTTTTAGTCCAAAATCATTGGCCAACATCTGTGCTGGCACTCGACAGAAAAGTCTTGTCTTTCTTTTGTTTGTAGTTGAAGCTGACCAAACAAGAAAGAACACAAATAAATGCTTCTTTGAGGCGGAAGTCTGAGAAGTATGATGAACTTGTTCAAGAGGTGAAACAATCTAGGTAAGGACTTCAATCACATGACTGTATTGTAAGAATAAAGTATGTACTCGGCGTAGATTCCCCGTGTGCTGTTTTTTTGGCAAACTAAATCATGTTGCCTCGTTGGTTTTTAAAGAGGCCTTGTTTTAGGCAAATAGTAGGTTATACAGCCACACCACAACTTTCCAATTTGTATCTCTACTTTTCTAGGGATCTGTTGCAAGATAAGCAGGAGGAATTGGATGCCACGCAGTCCCAGGCTCACTGGATTGTCTTACAGCAAGAAGCAATGATAACAGACACCACAAAAGAGCTGAGCGAAATCTGGGATCTTGTTAATGATCTGCTCGTGGAATTCAACAAGGAAGCGTTTGCGATACAGGTAAATCCGAATTACTGTATTCGTGTTAACTTAGGTATCAATTGCTACTGTTCTCTTATTCATCGAATTTTTTGGACGGATTGTTTAGCTCTTTATTTCTACCTCTAGGTCGACGATGACGAGAAGGCAAAACTGGATGAGCTTACGTCAAGTACCCCAGAATATGACCCAAGCAAGAAGTACTCAGTGCCTCCGAATAAGTCTCTTGTGCAGAGTATTTTAGAAGCAACAGCAGTGAGGGATAGAAACCTGGAATTTAAAACGGTGAAAACATCTCAGCTTAAAATAGTTTGAAATTTTATGAGCTCCTTTCTCTGAAGGCCTTAAAGTTTTGCCTGCTTATGTTGCTATTCAAAATGCATACTCATAGTATCGAAGATTTCGTTGATTTTTAAAGCAAGTTTGTGGCGACTTTACTCATATGGAAGTTGTTTGATTTACTTCTCAGCCAGAGAAACGTTGTCACAAGTTAAGCCCCATTCCTGAAGTAATCGAGGAAGATCAAGACTGTTCTCAAATTTCTGAAGAAGAAGAGAAACTACCTTCACTCACAGCGCAAGCGGTGGAACTTAAAGAAGCATTAATAGGATTGACGGAGATATGTAGAAAAAACATCTTCACGGTTCAGACGCAAAATAGTGTTGGTAGATTGTTACAAGAGAGGTACATCATGAGTAAATCGTTTCTCGAAACTTTTGATTTTGTCTTAAATAACTGAAAAATAAATTGAAGGGTAGAGCATTCCTAGCTGACAAATTAGACTAATAAAAAACTTACCTCTTCTCCTATACCCAGGATTTTATTAGAGAAAGAATACAGGTCTTCTCTTGATGAAGTCACGATGCAGCTTGAGGAATCAAGAAAATCCGAAACAAATCTGGGTCGAGAAATCTCAAAAAAGAACAACCAGATAACTACACTGCAACAGCAACTCGAGGAAAGCAGAAATGATTTACACCATTCATTTCAAAAGATTGAATCGCTCAGCGAGCAGTATGAAAAGACCATAGACCAACAGGCCAAAATAACGGTAAATTTTGCTTCATGTTATTCGCATTTTCGAGGGCGTGTTCGTATACTACTCAGTCAGCTTATCGAAGAACTAAGTCATTTTTCAAAGGCAGTGAAAAAAAAAAGAGGACGTCCACGGCCTACCAAATGTAAATATTTTGCAACACTAGAAGTCCAATTTGTAACTTTTTTTACCCTTGGTTGTCAGCAAAGTTGAAGTGTCATTTGTTCAAAAATTTAACCAATTTGAAAATCGCGAATAGTGTTGTTTTGTAATTTACGCTTGTGACATGATGTACTTTCCAGGAGCTGGCCAACGATGTACGGCGTTTCTCCGAGCAAGTGAAAACCCTCCAAAACGAGAAAGAAAGTCTGTCGCAACAACTGAAAGAAAGCCTTGATACATTGAACCAACTGTCACACGTGCCATCAAAAGAACCCGACCTTCACAAATCCCAAGACGTCCTTGGGAAACTATTAGCAGAAAAATTCAACTTAGAAGATCAGGTATTCACAAAACTCGTAAACAGTAAAACAAGTGGGCAGCCGCATATTTTCCCGCCAAAATGACACTAGTTCACTCGTGTGACCATGCTCTGTTAGTATCTTAGTGTGTCAGACGGTCTGTCGGTCTGTCAGCCTAACTGGGTAAGTTTCTTTGATCCAAAATTATGTGTTGAAATGAAAGCCAAGAGTATTCCTATTAAAATAGATACCCAGGTTAGAGATGTGTCTATCTAACAACTGCACTGTTTTTCTCCAGGTTCGTAAGCTGAAAGAGAAGTCCGTGACATATCGACTCGAAACACAGGATCATATGATTGAATACAAATGTAGAACAGAGTCGAAGGTAAAGATCTTGCGGAGAGGGTTTATCGTAATCCTGCCCCCACGCCCCCTTCCTTATGATTCCACATACCCCTCCCCTCATCTCCTCCCCTCTGCACTTCTCACTCCCAGTCTCTTTCCTTCAGATGCGTGTCCTTGAGAGTAACATCCGAAAAGCAGAGACTGAAATTTTTCGACTGGATGGCTTGGTAGAAAAGATTAGACTCGTAAGTATTGCAAGAGATGGGTAATTTATCATGGCGTTGCATTCCATAACTATTAAATTATCAAGTTCAGTGATATAATTTCTCTCTCTACAGGTCCTTCACCAGTATGATGACGTAATACGAAGCTGCCCGGAGTTGAACAAGTTGCTTTATTTTCTAGATGGCGAAGATATTCAATAAGACACTCACATGTACTTTACATCCATATTCGTCCGTGTTCATTTTTACTATTAATGCCGATTAATATAATTTTTCAGATTTGTATTTAGTCTTTCTTCGCTTCCGAGTTCGTACGATTCCTTCTGATTGACAGTTCCTTCTGATGTTGGATCTTTTCTGACTGATTTTGTAAAAGAAAAGTTTATCGATGTAAGATGAAACTTAACACAAGCCATAAGAAATATTCATTTCCTAGTTTTAATTTTTTTCCTTTTCCCGGCTCGAAACTATTCCCATCTCCTTGTGAAGAAACTTCTCGATAAAAAATAGATAAATAAAAGTAATAATAAAAGTACAATAAACACCGACTTAGAGATCCACAGTCAAAGCCCTTCATCTCTTCCGAATATGAAATAGTTAAAAGGACGAAATAGTATTTTCTTGTCCTTTTTGGCCGTGAACTGCTCAAGTGGTGTCCTTGAGGCCACGAAGATTAAAGGTAAGACCTGCTGGACCAAAGAGAGACAATTCGCACTTGTCTTGCGTCCTACATAAATTTCCCAGGAGAGGGATAGTTTTTTCCCTTTTGGCGATATTATCGATATCTTGCTCATTTGTTGCTACTTACAAAAAAAGGTAACCTTTCTTTTTTCGAGCCTTATTTTACGATATTTTTCCCCAAAGAACCGTTTTTGTGGATCAAGGACTTCCTGCAAATCCTCAGAATTGAAAACCTGCATAATTTTTTTTATGCCATGTGGTATCGAAGAAGTCAAATTCATCCCTGCATCATCACTTACGATTTTTCGTCAATGGAAGGGATATGCAAATCAAAATCAAGTGGGTTTTAAAATATTTGAATTGACCAGAGATGCAAGTTCTTTTTAAATAATTAAAAAGTGATCGATAAACGTCAAGTATTTGTCAAAAATCCAAAGTGTTTGAACCCATATTGCAATTTTGTCACACACTTTAAGAGCTATTAGTCTTGAAAGTCGAGGGTGAAAGATTTTTATCCCGCCTTAATCAAACTAGCGAAGAACAAAACAGAATTTACTTGTTTGTTGAGTTAGTAATTTGCATATACGACAGATAACAGGTGAAACTCTCGTTTGGGAGTAAAAAATCCTTTCGACTTGATCTTGCATTGGGTTACAGAGAGAGAGAGACGAGCGAAAACAACCATCGTAGAGCGAAGAGATTGATTAAACACCATGTCGAATACTGTGGAACCTGGATTGGCGAAGTCGACAGGAATTATCAGTGTCGCAGCCGGTGTATGTGGCTTTGGAAATTGTATCTGTGGATTTATTTGGCTTGGATACAAGGGCTATGGAGGCCATGGTCTGTGGTCAGGCTTTGGCGTAAGTTTAAGTTATAATTTTTCTTATTCTTCAATATTGTGTTCTGTTGGCAACGTTGGTATTAGCAAGACTTAATAAAATCACAGCGAGTACGTGCACGAATACAAGGTCTAAGAAATCTTATCGCCTCCATTTTATGCCAACCCGTCAAGCTATTGTTGAAAGATGTAACGAAAAAAATGTTCCTCTCAGCAGACGAAGTTTGCGAAATATACTTTGAACGACATTTTAATTCACCTTCGCGTGAAACTTGACTTTGTATTCTCTTCAACAAAGCCCGAAAATAAATACGAACTTCTCAACCATTCAACTTTGAATAGCAGTTCATTTTTAATATACTCGAGCACGCGGCTGAGCCTGTATTCAATCTAATCTATTTTCAGCTTTTTATCCCTTAGAATCCAAGACGCTTATGTACAACAAAGTCATCACTTAAGTCCGGCAAAATTCAGTTCGCAATGGAGAAGTATATCGCCTCCATTTCGTACTCCTAGCGCAAAAGTGCGGATGCAACAATTAATTCAGCCTGTACATAATTCAAGCGTCGATGACACGTTTATAGATAAACACTGACAAAAGTGATTGAGACCTCCATAAATTTCCCAGACGTGCACATATGATTTTCGGGGCATCAAGGCATTCTAAAAGGGGTAATTTATATTGCTCGGGCGGTCAATTTTCAGACTGAGAGGATAAAGCGAACTTGCGTAAAAGGACAGCTTTGTAAACAATCGTTTAATCTATAGTATATCAAAAATATTTTTCCAAGTTAACTTATATTTGACAAAATTTCATCCTCGCGAGAGATCTGATGAAATGCATCCTCTGAGAAGATTCGGAGGGTTGACGTCATCAGGCAGAGAATGCCGCCGTTCAACGCCCTGTTTCAGATTTGGCACGCTACCAAAATGTTTTTAATGTATTCATTGCATGGATACGTTCTCTTACTCGTTTGCACAGGAGACATAACGCTCTCTCATTACTGACATTTCTACGTACATGAACAAAATGACGAGGTCTCTACCGGCAAGTTAACCCTTTAACTCCTACATCAAATTTGTCATTCTCCTTACTGTCAACCATACATTTCTTATAATGTTAGTTCAGAGAATATAGCATTTGATCGACTAATCCACAAATTGATATTTTTCTTTATTTTCATCACTTATCTGGTTGATATTTTATTGATATTGTAAGGAGAAATTCTGTCTTGGTCTCTCATGGGAGTTAATAATAATAAGGTTAATAATTTACATCAAGATATCAATTCTAATGTAGACATCCCGTTTTGAATTAAACCAAGTTTGTTTTTATCATCCGACACTTCGCTCGATTTTCATGTGCTGGTTTCATGCGCAGAGATAAGTGAGAGAACTTGAGTAGAAAAAACAGAATTAAACATAACTACTGATTCTCACTCTAAAAATAGCATCCATGTATTCTTAATACTGTTCTATGTACATTTCCGCTGGTGCCAGTCAGGACATGAGGAGCTCGTTTAGCAATCGCTGAGTAGATCTTCTTTTGAAATTGTCGACCATTTCCTTTATTCTCATGACCTTGATGTTTGATTCAAGGATGCTAACGTAAGGAGAAATGACTTGCTAACTTCCATAAGGGTTTACAGGGCTTATGGAACGAAATCACAAATGACAACCTCCCCAGTAATACGAGTTCCCCAAGGGTGGGGGGATGTTTCAGTTCGATCTTCCTTAGCAGGACAGTGAGGGGATTACGATGGCTAATACACCTTAAAGGATAGGATAAAGGATAAAGACGATTAAGGAGAATCGACAAATTAAAGCGAAGTTTGACTTCAGAAGAGCGCGACGTTTGACTTCAGAAGGGCGCTCATTGTTCATTTGTCTTTTTTTACAGTTACTCTTGGCCGCTGCAATGGGATTGTTCATATGGCGATATAGAAACAAGGGTATCGTAAGTGTCATTACTGTTTTTATTTTCGTAATATGTAACAGGAGATTGTTTACACTTTATCAAATACGATGACTGTTTCTTGTTTCTTTGATCTGTATGACTGCTAGACTGCAAGAGAGAAGAATGGTACTGAATGAAAAGAATTTCTTACTTTTCCAGTTTCATCAAAATACATTTAATATCAATTAAATTATTTTCAGTAGAAGTGTAGAAATCGATACAAACTACACAAAAAGCAGTTTTGAAAGTAATCAATGTAAGCCCAAATAAAAAAATTTTGAGAAAGAGTACATTAAAACTGAAAAGTAGCTTAAATGTCGACTTACATTGTTACAAGAATTACTCTCTTTCTTTATTCAAATTTAATGTATCTCTTTATTGTCGTCGAGATCCTTAAAGTTGTCCACATAGGCCTCTGTTCTTTTGACGATTCGTTTTGCATCCCGGCTGTGCTTATTTGGTTTCCAGTAAAGGTTTTTGCCATTTGGAACATTAGGACCGCCATAGAACGCCACATCACTGTCTAACAAATTTAGCCGTTTTTTAACAAAACTGCGTTCTAAACGATCTTGAATTTAGCTGAATCTTTAACTGAACCGGTGTTAATTTTTTTGAACATTGGCAGGAGGACCGAAAGCTAGAAGTGCAAGGACATTTATTTACTGAAACAACGCTCTTATAGAAAATACGTAAGGTCCACTATTCGTGTAAAACCGCGGTTTGGGGCAGACCTCGTGTAAATAATCGGCCCTGAGTGTTGAAGTAAAGGCAAACTTTGATCATAGGATCAACTTAAAAAAGATGAATTGATCCACTACAAAGAAACAAAAAACATGCTGATTTTGTCTTTTGTTCTACAAACTGTTTGAGTCGTGTTCAACTCAGCAGTTAGCACATCAAACTGTTTCAACAGGCAGAAAGTGAAACATTGTAGAATTATTTCGAAGCCTACGAATGCTCTAGTATCAGCACGAACCAGCGCTCCTCTCCTCTTCACCATTTGATATTAAAAATGTTAGAAAGCCAAGGCAAAAAACAGGAGAGAAATATCACGTACTCATCTATGCACTTTCAATAATTTTGTTACTTTGTTGTTGTTCTTGTTGTTGTTATTTTTTTTAAGGACTGTCTGTTGTTTTCTTTGCAGATGGTAGCTTTCCTTGTGACGTGTATAATCTTGGTGATTGTTGTGGGGATCCAGACCATTATTGCCGCCTTGGGATATATTTTATGGCGTCTGTTCAGGGACGCTACAGAATGTTATACCGATGCTGGAAGATGTCACTGTCGAGCCACCGACGGACAAAGGATTCCCATGGATCGTAAGTACTTAACAACAGTTAAGGACGCTCAAGGACGTTCTCGAATGTGGAAAGCTTAACTCTATCAGCGGCCTCTTCGTGAGAATCCTTGAAGTGACGGGTGACATTTTTGCGAGGCAAGCGCGAGGTGAGACACGCGCGACAGGAGCTCTTTCCTCGCGAATCTCACCCCTCACGCTCGCTTCGCGATGTTCTCCCTTCCGCTGAAAAACAAAAATTGACGCACATTCTTTAAGTTAGAAAAGACTTCCTTATAAAGTCTTACACGAACTCCCGTATGCCACAACCTCCATTTACGGACGATATCCCTCTAAATTCATGTCTACCCACAACGGCTGAGGGTGAGTTGCCTGGGCGTGGAGGGGAAGCGGTTAAGACTTTGAAGAAGCTTGGGTATGGGTGTGTCGCTTAGACCTTCAAACCTTGACCCGTTTTAAAGTCTTCAAAAGAAAAGACAAGACCTCATCCTTTCTTAGAATAAGTTTGTTCATTCCTAACCATTTCTACGGCAACAATTGTGGAACATCATCCTTAGAGAGCATCTATTAGCATTCCGAGACGGAAGTTTTAAAATTAGAGTTAAGGAGCAAATATTTAGTAGCACCGCGCAAGTAATTAAACTGTGGTACATACAGTCAAGTTAAGGACCTTGTTTGAAGCTTCCGATTAAGAAGTACACTCTATTCAGGATGATAAACAGCAAAATGCAATTAAACATGACGAGAATGTTCTCCTGGGGGAGGAGGGGTGATATGGACAGTGGGACAGTGTCAAATTATTTAAAAAAGAAACGTAAGACTGGGGTACACTTCAGAGTAACAAAAAAGTTAATGCAGATCCCTTGTTTGCCAAAAATTATACGTGAAATTCATTTATCGGTTGATTTCTTTGGTTGAGGCAATTATTTAATATACATTTCTATAAAATTAAGCCCAGCAGAACCTCCAACCTGATCACTAGCCTTTAAAAGACTGTAACTGTTTCATAAAGACTTACTAGATCCTTTGCTAGCAATTTTCGCTGCTGTCTTTTGTCAGTGGAAACATGTGACCCGATCACCGCCATCGACAGCCTCTTCCTGTCAATGACAATTTTTTCCGCCTTTGGTACCGTCATCTCACTTGCTGGCTCTGTTCTGGGATGTATGGGAACATGTTGCGCAAGAACTCAGGTAGTAAAGTTTGATCGTTATATTTGTTTATCTTTAATCATTTTCTCTTGCCCAGTAATTTCATTCCCCGCTGACTTAGCCTGCGAACTACCCTCATCATTAGCACTACAGGACAAGTTTCTTCACTCACGAGAAATCGTGTGCCGCGGTGAGGGTTCTGCAAGGGATCGTACAATGAAAATGTCAGGCTCCTGGCAAACCTTTACCTGTCTCATCTCTCGTGCGGAGAACGCGCGTCCTGCAGACTACAAGTGACTTTGGGCGTTTGTGCATCAAAAGAATTGCGGCCGCACCGCATGCACCCATGAATACAAGCCATGGCAATTTGAGGGATTGTGGGTATCACAAGCACGACAGAAGAAAAGAATGAAGGGGTTAAGTTTCTAAGGAAACTGTGGTGCTGCGTTGGTGGGGAAGCATAACAAAATAATCTGGTTTTATTAACTGAGTTGATAATGTAAATTGGCCACTGTAAAGAGTTTCAAAGCTGACATTTCAGGCGTTGGCCCTTCGTAAGAGCGAATGAGCGAATACTATTAATCAGTTTACTTCATGCTTTAATGACTGTTTTTGCTAGTAATGGTTTAATGGAGTTCTTATCTCATGAGCATCTCCGTTGAAACTACAATGTCCAGTTCCCTATTTCATTTCTATTCATTATAGCAGCCTGGAGCAGTTGTTGTAGTCCAGCAGCCATCCGGTACCCAGTCTACTGTGGTCTACACTGCCCCTCAGTACACTGGAGAGGGCTACCCAGTCCAGTACCCTATGGCTCAACCTGGACAATATCCTGCACAGAATGCTGCAGCCCCAATGGGCCACTATCCTCCACCCCAGTACTCTGCCACTGCACTAGGTGGAGTACAGCATGGAGCTGAGGCAATACCACCCAAGGCATAGTGGGACATTTGAAGTCTAAGCCAGTGTCTGGAAAGGACAGTACCTTTTGCTTTTGCCATAAACGTATGGCATTAATTTGTAGAACAATAGAACAAGTTTCCAACAAAACAAGACATAAATACTTTTCCTTTAGAAATGTGATGTTTGAAGATTTATGCCAATTTTGTGCACACAGGTTCATTTGGATGAGATCATTCCATTTGTTACATTTTTTCTAGATAAAAATTTCCTAAAAAGTATCTGTGTACTGAATTTAAGGAGAAAATTTACCATGTCAATGGCTTCACTGTTGAAATAACAAAAGGCTTCTCTTGTCCAAGTTTCATCAAGAACTTCTCAAACTGCAATCAAACTATGCTAATATTCAACCTACTTTCCTTTTTAACCTTTTGCTGCAAACCTTTTGAAGAATTAGAACTATATGTTATGCTGTTTGTAGTTAAAACATATTGGATATAGTTTGTCATAGAAACACTTTGAAAATAGTTGTTGATTGTAATTAGATATTATAACAAATTGTCTTGTCTACCCATTAAAGTTATTACACTCTACACAGTGAGGATGTTAACTTGTTCTTTCTTGTGACATATTGGTAGCATTCAGGCTATTCCTTCTGATCAAATGTGTTTTACTTGCATGAAGCACAGCATCATTGCTGAACAATTATTTCATCATTTGATTTTAATAGAAATAATCATGCTACCTATTAGCCCGCTCATAGAAAAGCATGTAAGCACAACTTGATAAAGCTTGATCTCGTGAAGTCACCTCCACTAGTTCATCAGATGTGTAAAGCCATTTTGAACCCTGCTCATTGCCCTGTGGCAATTCAAATCTGCGATAAGTAATATAATGGCCATCATCAACAGTTCCCATATGAACAATAACTGCCATCAGCTTGAAAACTGCCTGGCTTGTACTGTAAGAAAAAAGAAATTCTTATTAGCAAAGCTATTACAGTTCTTGACCTTTGCAATGAGAACAGGGTTTTCCAAGCTCTCTCAGCATTATTACTTTCATAATAAGTGCTCGTAAACATCACATACATCTCATTTCACCCTCTTTGACCCTAATTTGTCCCCCAAGAGAGACTAGCATCTAAGTTCTCCTTGCAAGATAGCAAGAATAAATAAAATGATCACCAACTAATGAAGCTGTTGATTTTGAACAAATTCTCCTTGTCAGCACACTATGAAATGTATGGAGAACAGTATTGAGAATAAGGATACTGTTGTTTGGGTGTTAAAGGTTAAAACTCTGTGTTTCATAGATCAATTCTACTGAGTTGTCAAAAGTGCATTATGAACAAGATAACCTGGGACAGCCTTATAGACTGAGGATATAAATGCCTTTGCCCTTTCAATCTGTTCTGAGTGTCAAAAGTACATACACCTAGACTACCAATTTTATTGTAATGAAATACACTCAGTGCAAGTGGATTATTAAAAAGAAGTATTAAAATATTATTCAGCTAGTGTCCTAAACAAAGAAAAAGCAAACAATTGATGATGAAAAATGGACAGTAAAGAGCACAAACTTTCTTTCACTCTCTACACCCTCCCTAGACATTTCCTAAGGTGCTGACAAAGAGAAATAATGTAGAAATCAAGAGCTTCTTAGTGGGTGATCATTCCCTTTATTCTCTTTACCTTGATTTTTGTTTCAGGGGTGAAATTGTTAGGAGAAATTAGATGCTAATCACTCTTAGGAGTTAAATGGTTAACAAAAGAAAAAAAATCAGTTGAAAAGAGCTAATGGAATTTTTTAAAAAAATTATTTTCAATTTACCTCTTTTTGCCTGCATTTGCAAAGGATGTAACCAGTTCATCCAAATAATCATTAAAATCTCCTCCATTGGCTGCTGAAAGTTGAAGGCCTCCATTTGTCAGGGAACCCAACTTCTTACTGGGATGTTCCTTCCCTTGGTCTTTTTTGGGAAAGTTGTCTGAGTCTAAGGGCTCATATAAAAAGGGCTTCATGTTAAGGAACTCTGGAAACTTGATGAATGAGTTATTTTTGAATGGAATCCCATTAGAATGCCAATATGTCCTCTGAATGTGGAAGCAGAGACATTGTGGTAGCTTAAAAATTGACAAGAAAAAAAGTGTTAGAAGAAGGCATCAAAAAAACTGCTTTAGCTGATTTTGCCATTCCCAGCGAGACAAAATCGATATTTTTAAGTTAGTACTTAACCCTCTGCATCCTAGTTATCAGTGTGCATATTCTCCACAGTGTTCACAATTAATTTCCTATGATAATGACAAGGAGAATTTGTCAAGCTAATGATCATTCACTTTCTTCTCATGACTTTAATGTTTGATTCAGTGGTGATACTGTGGGGAGAAACTAATAGTTGGTCACTCTTTTGGGTTGAAGGGTTAATAATCAAAAGCAAAATGATGCAAAGTTACTTTTCCAAGAGTAAGTCGCTTAATAAAAGTCGTGCGAATAGAGCTGGTCGAGTCATCTGTGTTTTGTCGCTGTTGACATCCATGACATTCCACAGCATCCACTGTCTCTGAACACACAAATCTGCGCAGAAGATCCTCTAATCTCAAGCCCTTCTGTAACAGAATTACAGAGCAATAGTAAGACTGTGTAGTTTAAAGAATGAACGACACAGAAGTGCTTTTGGTCGGCAGTGAGAGAGGAAAAGGTCATTTGCTTCACTGCTCATAAATACTGCTACTAATTTGTTTTGAGGCAAAAAAATGATCACAATAAAGTGGACATGTAGATATGATAATAATGAATGTCAACAAACTGGGATGTGCAAATGAAGAGTGGAGATGAAGCAAAACTAACAAGCTAGAAAAAAGAATGCAGGCAGAAGTTGTTATCTTGGTCTAACGCCAAATCATCATAAATACTGTGGCAGCTAAAGGCTGGGGAGAACTGACAATCAGACAATCAGACAATTTTTGAGAGTTGAAGGGTTAAGCTACAATACCTGGAAAGTTGTTGGTAGACTAAGTGACAGGCTGTCATAACTGTCAAACTTGACGGGACACTGTAAAAACACAGAACAATTATTAAAATACAAAGAAGTAGGGAATAGTCCATTGATTGTCAACATCTAGTAAAGTTTTAGAGGTGACTCAGAGCATGGTTAACAAAACGTAAGTCACAGAACACCTTTTAAACAAGGTTACCATAGTATAAAGTGACAATGAGCATCACATTGGAAAATAAAAGAAAATATATTAACGGCTACATAAGTGAAAATATCAATAGCACAGTAGTTATCAAACAATTGCTACCTCAGTTTGGTGGGGAAAATTATAAATGAGTCATTTACCTTGGTAGCACACTGCTTACACACCAACTGACTTGCCAACAAGCCATGAAATGGTAAATGAAGTTTTTTACATTTTCTACTGAGAGGGACTAAAAGCAAATAAACATCAGAGTTCAGGAGAGATTTTAAATACATGCATCTACATTTAGAGAGGAAAATGAGCAAATTCATGCTGATGAATCATCCTTGGGCCCACCAACATTTACACAGCATTATTGTTTTCAAAACACCAAATAGCACAAAACTCTTTAATTGAGTGAAACAAAAACATAAAATTAAATACCTTTGTTTCTGTGTACCATGGATTTGTTGTCGTCAATGGAATCATCAGTTTTCTGCACAGGAAGAGTGGTAGGCACTTACTACACAAAACAATAGCAAGAAATGCAGTGGCCTAATATGTAGAATACTTTACTCCAAGTCAAAAGAAAAAGGTTCACAACCTTGCTAGGTCATCAAGTTTTATTCTAAGGTGAGACACTCTACCCTCACAGCACCCCCCCCACCCCCCTTTGCCTGGGAGTATAAATAGGTACTGAGAACTGTTAGGGAAACCTGATGATAAAATAAAAGGGGGGGAGGAAGGGGGGTTAACTTGTAATGGACTGGCATCCCACTCTGAGAAAGAGATGGCTTTCTATGTAAACCTAGCTTTATGCTACAGAAAATAAGGTTAGCTCTGGTCAAGAAGGCCATAAGGGTTGTTGTGTATTCATTTAGTTCAGACATTCACTCTCTAATTGCTTTCTGTATTCTGTCTTTATTTATCAGTCAAGCATCTAATAAGCTGGTACAATCATGTTACTCGATTAAAGAACATTTACAGCATTCCAGGGTGTGAAATTGTGCCTAATACAGGCGCCAATGCAACTAAATTTTTCACTTTGGCAACCAAATCCTGAAAATTAGTCGCCAAATTGGTGACTAGAATGTTTCATCATAGCCTTACCTAGAGATATAGTGAATTAAAAAGATTTGCAAAGACAAATCCGTGGCAAACTTCCTTGTTAAGTTTGTTTCCAAAATGCAGCAGATGCATCTCGATCGATAACTAGATGCCATCTTGGATATAGGTGAGCTTAAACATTGCATATCATCCATCCTAGTGTCCCCTTTGTAGCACATTAAAGATCTTTTCCCTAACTTAATTTCTAGAATGATGACAGCGTAAAAAAAAGGTTTTGTTTGTCTTTCAAAATGGCGACCAAATTTTTTTAAATTGGCTACCACTTTGATGAATTTAGGAGCCAAGTGGCTATCAGAAAAAAAAAATTAATTTCACACCCTGCATTCAGTAGTCCCTCAGTGATATCAATAATATCAGTGCAGAGTACTTTTACTTTATGCTCAATATACTATGAGGTTGGAGTGAAGAGGGTGCACACCTTCAATCTGGAAAAAACATGTTTTGCTAGCAATAACCAATTTCAACATCTATGACAAAGTTATAGAGCAGAGCACTTCAAAAAGCTGACAAACAGCATCAAGTTTCAAAATTCACTCATCACTTACTTCTATAATCGCAATATCACTGAGGTCCATCACATTGGGAAGATCTCCCTGTGAAATGAATGCTCAATACTGAAAATTGACTGTCTAATTATAAAGAGGGTACCTTGGATAATCACTTATACAATAATTAAAATTAATATAACAGAGCAATGACTACTTAGCAAAACACAATTACAATTTGTGAAATAATTCATAGCTGGTACAAGAGGATGTTATTCTCACCATTTCATCATTAAGAGTTGAAGAAAGTACATGGAAGAACTCATGGGCATCCTAATAAAGGAAAGAGTATCATGTGGTGTCAATTTAAAAAAAAATTAAACACAAAAAAAGAATCTCTGTGGAACACCCATAGTACTGTTTAAGAATTTTTTTAAAAGGTGGAATTCGGGTGAGTAGTAAGATGCAATCCTGTCCTCGCAAGAATGTTTTCATTAGACAAATAGTGAAAAAGCCTCACAGGTCTAATGAGAGGGAGGGGGATGGGAGATCCTCTCTCTGGATAAGGCACTGTGGTTTATTTACTTACCTGCTGGTCTGTAGGTATGACCCAACCATGTGACCCAAGAGCATTTAATACAAAATCAGGATTAATGACATCATCTCCTTCAAAACAGCCAGTGTTTAGAGCTACAAATAAAATATACATATTATGAGGACTGATCATAAAGATATTAAAAAAAGTTATACAACAACTAACAATAAAAAGCTGTACAAACCAGTAACTAGTGTTCTCAACTCTTTTCCTAAACTTGAGAAAGTTTTTCCATCATCATCAACAGAAAAATCTTCTAACCATGCCATAAATGATGGTAAGAATGCAATTCCCTTGAGATAAAAAGAACCATAAGTTGAACAAGAGACTACTGAGTAATATTTAAACAGAACTTTTAAATTAGCAATGCAAGTTCTCCACCATAAAAAGATGGCAGTCCACACCCTCTTTATAAAAAAATATCCCCTTTATAACTAGATGTCACTCCACCTGATATCTGTCTAGGCTTGAAATCCAGATTTATAAATACAAACCTGTAATATAGAATTCATAAAACAAGTATTGCCAAGATTGACAAGACCTGGAGGGCGATCTGTTGATATAACAGCAAAGTTACAATTATGGACTGCACTACAACATATACATCAAAATTCTGGTAAGATGTTTACCTCTTTTATATCAAGATTTTTGAGGCATGTAGTTTACACTTAAAAATAAAAGCAGTTCTAATATTGCTTTTTCTCTATTCATATAATTATTTTGGACAAATGTCATATTAGTTATAACGCCAGTCATTGATCAAGTTTCTTAACTGAAGCTCATTCTCAAACTGAATTTACGAGCAAAGTAGCTCAAACATCGAGGTAATTTGACATCAAAAGCTTCTTTACTCTTGGTACACACGTTTTTTAAAGAAAGGGGCATCCCATCTTTCTCAAAAAATTATCACAAAGTTACAAAGATCAATCGACTGATCGACTGGATCAACTAATTTCAACTCAGCTGATGTTTGATATAGATGCTTTGTGGCGTGTTTTTGATCTCGGTTAAATGGTTAAGGAAGTAACTAGTATTTACCCCGCCTGGATTTTTTCTTTTCCTTGCCATCAGGAGCCAAAAATACGTAAAAACTTGCTCCTATTGCCGCAGCGGCTGCAAAAACTGTCGCACATCGCCCGTCCATGCTTTTCACCCTGTCAAGTTTGAGGACCATTACACAACGTAGTTTTGGTTTGAGAGCACAGCGCTGTACAGCAGTGCATGCAAGAAGAAACAAAGATGGCGGACGAGAGTGGTTCAAAAGTAAAGAAAATTACATCTACTGAGAAACCAGTTGTTCCTCGTAATCCGACCGAAATACAGAGGATGAAGTTAGAGAAGCTTTTGAAAGATCCTGTGAGTTGTAGTTTTTTAAAGCGAGGCCATAAAGGTTAGAAACACTAGATAAGTTTCTATAATGGTATTACCGAGTTAAACTGTGAACTCACGTCATGCTTTGCAGGATAAAACAGTTTCAATTCCTGATCGACCAAAGGAATGGAAACCATCAGATGCACCTGAATTTATTCGATTTGTAATGGGTAAGGTTTAATCACTAATTTTAAAACTGATTATCAGTTTACGTATCATGATCAATGATACAAAAAGACTGCAGACAAGTTGTCTTTTCCGTTCTTTGGGATTTCACACCAAGCTTTCCCCAAGACTGGAACGTGCCGTTTTCTTGCCTTCCTCCTCTAAAGGAGTTATGTTCTTATCAAAGTGGTTGGAGGCCAATGACATGTAGTTCCTTAGGAGTTTCCGAAAGTCCCAAACAAAAAATGAATGCCTAAGGATTTCATTTTTACTCATTTACTTTATGAGTTTCAGATTAATGTATTTTTCTCAGGAAGGGTTAGGAATTATAAGGTATTTCTTTATTTTTAAAATATTCATTGAAAATCTTCATAGATCATTGAGGTTTTATTTAGCTACCAACAGAACTTTTTCTGGTATTTAGCAGTTCTTAAAGGATCAGTGAGTGTGCTTGGATTTTTTTTAATGTTTTAAAAAGTAAGAGAAAGTTGCTCTTTCATTTTGTTATGCAAGGTTCAAGTGCTGGGGCTGGTAGTGGAGAATTTCATGTTTATCGTGCAACAAGAAGAAGAGAATACAACCGAACAGCATACATTGAAAAGAAAGCAGAAGAGGTACAAGAAGACATTAATCCTTTACACCCTAACATCAACATGCACATTCTCCATACTGTTCTCTACAAATACCCTAAGGTGCTGATAAGGAGAATTTGTGTAACAATCTACAGCTTCTTTGGCTGGTGATCATTTCCTTTATTCTTGTGACCTTAATGTGTGATTCAGGGGTGATATTGTAAGGAGAAATGATGTGTTAGTCACATTTAGGGGTTAAAGGGTTAAATAGTTGCAGTTTTTCATATTGGTGAAATAGATCAAATTAATCAAGAAAATTGCACGTTTCTTAATTAATGTGGTTAATTTTGTTGAAGATTGTCTTTTCTCTGGTATGCTGTTTGTCATCTTAAACTGATGATAATTTCAACTTGTTTGCAGTGTATATTTAGTCCTTGACAGATGTTATTATTTTTAGCATGAACTTGATGAAAGTTTTCATAAAAAGCTTGAAGAAAACCAAAACAAGGCAGATGAAAAAACAGCAAAGAAAAGAGCCAAGAGGTGAACAGTTCTCCCCTTTCACAGACACACACTTTTATTTTCTTTAAGAAAACATAATTGATTTCCTGCTTCAAATATGAATGTGCACATTTTAATCTTGATCAACAAAACAGTAGCAAGTATGACAATTTGTATCTTACTGTTAGTAGGCACAACAGCCCCTCAGTCACTTGTATTTTATTCTATCTTAACAACATTTCCTGATGGATATGCATTCAATGCTATAGAAAAAAAAAATTTTTTAGAAACTTAGACCAGCATTAAAATGTAACTATGTTTAATCAATGGGGCTGCTGAGACAAGCTGTGCTCGATAAGCTTAAGTGCATCACCAGCCACAGATATTTGTGCATTTTGTTTTCCTACAGGCAAAAAAAGAAGCAGAAAAAGTTAAATGCAAAAAGGAAAAAAGAAGATGTGAAAGAAAAGGATGGTAAGTGACTTGATGGCAAATTAGTACAGTCTCAGCACTAAAAAGCACAAAAGAGCTGATTAGAGTGCTTTTTATCAATTGTTATTTCATTTTTCAGGCCATGATAGTAAAAATCGTGCCAGTAGCAGTGATGATGATGATGATGATGATTATCAGGAGGAAGGGAATGAGCCACACTTTGTTATAGGAGGAAAGTAACTTTAGAAGTTGACAAATGGCAAAGATCAAAGAGTGATTTCCTTTAGCTGCCATCTCCTTTTCCAAGCTATTCATTCACTGACAGTAGACAGGCTTTGAAAAGTGGAAACTACAACAGTTTAAGTGAACTGTTATGCAAGATGCATGAATACTATACAAGAGTCATGTTTTTAGTGTGACTTTAATTTGTTTCAAATGGATGACAGACCACAGAAAAAAGGATTGACTATTAAAACAAATTTATGGCTGGTGGTTTCTGAAATAGCTAATGTACTTATTACCAGCAATCATGCTGTTGGCAAAACTTCAGGTAATGCCCTTGGAAAAACAAGCTAGTGGGAACTTTATTACTGCCATGAATACAGGAGTTTAGGTTTAAAGATGAGCTTCTTAAATGTAAACTGAATTGCAATGTTACTCGACTGTATGTAACCAAAAGTAAGCGCTGGAACTTTATTCAAATATGCCACGATAACACCCTCTCAAGGTGAGAGAGATTTGTCTTTTTTTAAATCACATAGTATCGAGGGTGAATTTTTACCTGTTATTTTAAGTCCTTGAACATTTCTTACATGACAGATATTTATAGATATCCAATAAACAACACCTACATCAACTCACTAAAAACACCACAGAATTTTGTTTGTTAAAACAGTGTTCCTATTTGAAAAAGTCAGTATGCTGCTACCACAATGGTTAGAAGTCTAGGTTGCAGCATTTTTGTTATGCAAGGTGCGGCATGGTTTCTTTTTTCCCAACTAGTCCTGCTGATGTAAATGCAAGCTTGAAATCATCCAAATCTTAGCATCTTGTAATAACAATAGCACACAGCCTGCCTGTGAACAGTTTTATCAAATTTGACAAAGGATCCATCAGCAGGAGAAGTAGTTGAGGAGATCTTTCATTTTAAAACTATTTCTGGTTCTCATTACTGAAGTTTGACAAATCCTTGCAAATCTTCAAGAAACCTGATATAATGTTGTTGTTCCATAGCTGTGCTATAGTCACGCAGCCATGCAGCAAAGTGGTTGTCAATTCCTCTTTCAGCCAACATCTTAAGTAGCATGCCATAAAGATCCTGTTCAAAACAAAATTGAGTGCATATTGGAAGAAATACCATGAATTGCACTTCAGCTTGTAAGAAAACAGATTTACCAAATGGATAGACCAAGATCATACACTAAATTTACTAGATTTTCTACACTCAAGCGATCATTCCCTGTCATGTACCATTCATGGCCTATGTTACAAATTTAAAACTTAAATTAAAAAATTCCTTACACCATCCATGTTTTCGGTTTCTGCACAATAGGAAGTCTTCCCTTTGCTGGTACCATCTATGACAGCGACATTGACAATATAAAACAAATCAGGGCCCTCCTCTTCCTCAGAGTGTTCCTCTTCAAGTTGGGTGTTAAACTCACAGTAGAACTGTAGTGTTTTACCCTAAAATCAAAAAATAAATAAATAAATAAATAAATTGACTACATCTATAGGGAAAGTTTGAATTCTTACACCAACTAAAAATTTTTCTAGTTTTCAGTGGCCTATATGAGTATCCAAAAATTTATCCATTTCACTACACTGGAGGATTCAGAGCAGAGATCTGGTGTTTCCTGTCGATTGTTGTAAAGTTGATTTTAATAACAATAATTCACTTATAAATTAATCTGCTGAAGAATGGAAGATTCAAAAATTATGCTTGTTATCAAATGAAAGAGTATACCACAGAGGATAAGATGACAGGAGATGCAAGCAGGAGAAGGTATGGTTTATTAAGGGCAAGCATTTGAGAGAATTTGGCAAAGGACTGGTTGAATCAAGGCTTAATTTGACATTTCAATTCATCTGCTGTATAACATGTTTCAATGGAATGCTCATAGTTTGTATGTGGGTTAAATAACAACACTACTGTAAAGTAACAACCCTTCTGTAAAAAACAAGAAATACAATCATTGTTCTCTCAACTTACAGCTTTCTTTACGATTTCCACAGTAAATAAAGGATATGAAACAATCTGCAAAATACAAATAATTACAGAGTAAGTTTTTCAAAAGAGAACAGGAAAATATCAGATTTAAGTTCACAATTACCTTTCCAGCCACTTCACCTTCATCATCTGAGTCATTAAAACTTGCTTCATCATGGTTTGTATTTTCATTAATGTCAAATGACACTACAATCCTGAAATAAAGTATTAAATATATAAGTATAAATCAATGCTGACATCTGAGTTTTCAAGTATTCAAATTTTGCTTAACTCTGACCCATCTGGAGTGAAGAAGATAATCATGGAACATGTTTGGACTGTTTTACATACTTGAGCTTTTGAGAACTCTTTACAACTGCATGTGAAGATTCTTTATTTGCACCCCTTTAATAATTTGCCAATACAAGTTAATGTGGGAGGTCCTTTATTATATGAATTAATTAAGAATCTTAACAACACAGGTCATTTTCAATTTGATTAGTTATAAAAATGAAGTCCGGCAGACCTTTCTGCATTATGTTCCCTCTCTAATTTAACATGTGTTCCATCCAATGCAGCCTATTTGAAGAGAAAAAAAAATAGACAGTTATCAAAAATCAAATAGACTACTGCAAGACAGATTTGCAATACCAACTACTGGAGATTGCTTCAAACACAAAAGTTTGGGCAGTGTAATTGTTCATTTTCTTTTGGTCCAGAATATTATTACCAGAATTAGTTCTCAATGCAAACAAAAATACAATTCAAAGACAGGACCTCACCTTAAACAATTCTGACATTGGAACCTTGGGGGCAGCATCTCTTTCACTCTGTATCTCACCTTTCAGGAATTTGATTATTTCACTGTCAGCTGGCAGAGAAAGAAAAATAAAAAATAATCAGCTAAAGATGTTTTGCAGTTAGTAACCAGTGTCAGATTTTGCGCTCTATTGTTCTATCTTTTACTACGTTAATATTTGAGAAGCATCCAGCATACTGCTACTACTGAATGATATCCAAATATCAAATATCTTACAAACCTTGTTTTAGATAGAAATAAGAGAAATGATAGGTTTTACAAGGTCTATCATGAAGTTCGTATGACATGCATCCTGCATACTGCTAGGATCAGCAATGTCCACAGCCTAAGGTTTGTGGACAAAAATAAGAGGGATGGTAAGCTTTGAGCTCGGTAAAAAAAATAGAGAAAGATGTTTTTCTGTCTTGTCACAAGCGTGGGACAAAGAAAAAATTCCAAGTCCCCATGAGGAATTGAACCTCAAACCTTCAGATTCCGTGCTGCGATGCTCTACAAATGGGCCACAAGAGACTACATTGTGAGCAAAGTCTATCAGGAAGTTCATATGACATGTGTCTTGCATACTGCTAGGATTAGCAATGTCCATAAGCATAATGTTTGTAGATAGAAATAAGGGAGATGGTAGGTTTTGAGCTCAGTAAAGAAATGGAGAAAGATGTTTTTTCATCTTGTCACCAGCGTGGGACAAAAAAAATTCTGAATCCTCATGAGGAACCACACCTCAGACCTTCAGATTCCGCACTCTGATGCTCTACCACTGAGCCACAGAGACTCCACAGTGGGTTAGGTCTATCACGAAGTTCATTTTACATGCATCCTGCATACTGCTAGAATCAGCAATGTTGATAGCGTAATGTTTGTAGATAGAAATAAAAGAGATGGTAAACCAAGAAAACCTTGTTTTCTTGGTCTGCACTGTAAGCCCCTCTTACCTAGAACAATGTCGTAGCTCCTTAGCTTGGAGAACTGTTAGCATAATAAATTATGGCATCATAGGTAAATCTACTCCTTGTGAGTATCATTATCAAATATCCAGTGTTTCATAAAAGTGTAAATCTACTTACAGTTAACATTAGTCATCTGAGCTTACACATTGATCAGACACATGTCTTGTTCAATTAATTAAACGAACGCCCATGGACTTGTCATTTACTTCTTTAGTGAAGTTCTAGATCCTTACCTTGAGTGTGTTTGTGCATCTGACAAACGCAAACTTGTGAGCAAGCACATGAAACAGGGAGGATTCTTGGTTTCTGAGAGGCACCACGTGTAATTGCTGCAAATATAGACCTGGATCTACAAGAGACTACAGGGCTATTCGCTACATTCCTACCCGCAAGTAGTCGTGTGGACCTTGAAATGAACAGTCTGGCCAGTCCTCCAACAGTCGACATCTTAACAGAGCAGCAAAACGTACTTTTTTGTCGAGAACGAGAAAACGACGAAGATTTAAAACCGGTGAAGTTTTGAAAAGGCTCGGCAGCACAGTGTGACTGTGCTGCCGAGCCTTCAACAGAAATATGTATCGATAAATAGCTTACCAAAGAATCACACTTTTTTTTTTTTTTTTTAAATTTTTTTTATTTCGAGGTGAACTTATAAAATTAGACTGAAATAGAGTTTGTATTCGTTTCCAACAAGGCCGTCTCTTTCTTCACTCATCCGGAAGACTTCAGCCTACTATCGGCGCGACGTAGCTGTTTAACTATTTTCTCGTTTTCGAACCTTATACGAGGAAGAGATAGAAGTGTTACTGTTTCCTTTCGAAAAAATTGTTTAACGTCGTCATTTTAGGGGTGTTGTTTCTTGAAAACGGTGTTAATATCGTGTATTTACGTTTACTGCGCGGGGATAGATATTGTCCACCATGTGACCACAATTGATGGCAATACTTTTAAGTGGCACAATTTGGATATTTTAGCGAATTGGATTGTTATTTATACACCGAAAATAAAGAAAATTATTGAGGGATTCCGAATTGACGCCAGACAAAACATTGGCAATGAGAAACTCTTCTTTTCGTAGTGAATATTTGATTACTTTTGTTTTTGTTTTCGTTTGTCTTTTTTTCCTATATTTCTGTGAAATCTTACTGTAAATTACTAATCCATCGTTTCTGGCTCTAAATTTGCCAGATAACGATCTTTCACTTCAAAATATGCACAATGGTTGGCTTTTGAGCATAACACCTGTTTTTGTTGTTGTTGTTGTTGTTGGTTTTACCTATCTGGGCATTTTCCCAAGTCCAGTCCATAGTTACTTTGTACAATAAATAGCGCCCTCCTTTTCAATACCGCCTTTGACGTCATACCAGAAGAAACCGCCAGCGGAGTCTCTTTGGGCGCCATCTTGATATTGAATTGTGTAGTTTGTAGAATCTAGATCCATCGAGCTTTCTATCCACTTGTTAACTAAACATTTTTGCTAAAATAAGTTATTTTAAAGATAGAAAAAGCTCTATAGGTTATGGCTGATGGTGAAAAGCTTAATGTCGACAGTATTATTCAGCGACTTTTGGAAGGTTTGCTCCTTCGAGATGTTACAATCGGTATTCATTCTAAAATTTGCAGGGTCTAAATTTCTCTCTTGAATTTCAGTGCGTGGCTCAAGACCAGGAAAGAATGTACAGCTTACAGAGGGAGAAATCCGAGGGTTGTGCATCAAATCAAGAGAAATCTTTTTGAGTCAGCCAATTCTTCTAGAACTCGAAGCTCCTCTCAAGATTTGTGGTGAGTGACTGTCGGCGGTGCCGTTGAAATGTTCTACGCCCAAACTTTCCGCATCTGTGTTTAGTTCTACTAAACTTAAAATACGATTCTTATTTATTGCAGGAGACATTCATGGACAGTACTATGATCTCCTTAGACTGTTTGAGTACGGCGGTTTTCCACCAGAATCAAATTATCTCTTTTTGGGAGATTACGTTGATCGAGGAAAACAGTCGTTGGAGACGATATGTTTGCTTCTAGCTTATAAAATCAAGTATCCGGAAAACTTCTTTCTCCTTCGTGGAAATCACGAATGTGCGAGTATAAACCGCATTTATGGCTTTTATGACGAATGTAAGTAAACAGGTTATGCATTTTCGAGTGTGACTGTCGGTCGTTAAAGTTTGAAAGTTAGGATTTCTTCAATGTCATTACGCCTGTTTTGAACTCCGAGTTCAGTGATTGAATTACGAAGCTTTCGTCTCGCGTGTATGAATAATAGAATTTAGCTTCGCGTCTTCTTTGCTGCAGGTAAAAGAAGATACAACATTAAGTTGTGGAAAACTTTTACGGATTGCTTCAACTGCCTTCCTGTTGCTGCGATTTTGGACGAGAAGATATTTTGCTGTCACGGAGGTATGCTTTCTCTCTTACGTTCTGAATTCTGTTCAAAGTTTCGCCGATTACGAGTTACAGATTTCTTCTTGATGTTTGTTTGGTGGCTACTATAATTTGAATATGTACAGACAAAGGCAAAAGATATATAAATGTTTTCATGGTTTCGATCCAGGTTTATCGCCCGATCTGCAATCTATGGAACAAATTCGCCGCATTATGAGGCCGACCGATGTCCCTGACCAAGGTAAAGCGAAATGCAAATCTCAATGTGCGCCATTTATGGCGTAATTTGTGACTAATTTAATGGCTGGAGATTAACCCGTCGTACCTTTAAGCCATATTTTTAAAATGGAACTTTTTGTTTCGATGGTTGTCAGAAACGGAAAAGACAGGAACTTTCTCGTTACTATCCAATTAGTTCTTGTTGAAAGGGTACCTCAACCGTGAAGGTCTCTACATTGATAAAGGAAATTCATAGAATTGTTTCGAAGCTGTCATCACGTTTTAGTATTAACGTCTAGCATAGAAACTGTGTAAATTGTGAAGGATTGTTTCGCTTCGACTCGCTCTGTCTTAAACAATTTGAATTATTGATAAGAAGTTTGACATCTTTCACTTTTAAAAATGTAGTAACAACAATAGCGAGATTCCTTCTCCTGCGTGTGAAAAAAATTTCACAATTCAAGAAATTTAAGGTAGTCATGTAAAAGTTTCCTTACACTCATGAATTCATGTTATTGCGGATAAAATTATTTTGTAATCTTTTTGTTAATCTTATCCTGCATTTCTTGGTTTTTAGTCAAATTTAGAAGTTTTTATAAAGATTTTAAGGGATTACACCTCAGGGCTCTGTCTCTAAAGAGCACCATTATTTTATATTAGTATATATTATTTTTCCAATGATAACAAAGTGATTTCATGGGTTAGATTGGATTACACCTCAGGACTCTTTCTCTATAGTGTGACATTATTTTACATTAGTACATATTGTTTTTCCAATGATTACAAAGTGATTTCATGCGTTAGATTGGTTGAGTGTATTTATCACATCTTACCACAATCATCTGATATGACGTGATTGTAATACTGAAAAACTGTTTTTGAGATGGTGTCTTTGCAATTTTTTTGATATTTGTGAAGACAAAACAAATAAGATGTAGTTGCTGATGTAATCATTTGCTAAGTTATTTGGCAGGTGATTGCATGGCAAACTGCATTGTATTGTTATATTGAGATCAATGTTCGTGCAGTCCTTGAAAATTCTGATAAAAGTCAACATTTTTCACCTTTCTGGAGTAAGTAATTGTTAAATCTTCATCACTTTACTCATCAAATTTATCGCCCAGAAATGTCTTCCTCGTTGCCAGAATGATTACTTAGTTTATTTAGCACATCCATAACTGTGTATCCACTTCTTGTTTGTAATGTTTGACTGGAAAAAAAAGATGAAGCAATCACACAGCTCATCAAAAAAACAAAAAGGAAAATTCAAGATGGTGAATAATTTTCACTGGATAACAAAAACAAATTTTGTAGGTTTTTGGTCGTGTATCTGACAACTAATGTACAAGTCTTTACTAGGCCCTCATAAGTTTAATTATAAGCGGTTTCATTGTTTTTGCTATGTACGGTAGTATTCAGTGAAGTACTGTAACTTAGGAATCACTGAGTTTGTCCTCATAGCATTTGTAATCTGATGTAAGACATACACAGTACATCCTTGGGGCATTGAAAGGGTTCGATCATTGTAGTGTTGTCTAAAAAAGTTATTTAAGATTGAAAGATAAATTGTTCACCAAACACCTTTAGAATGAGAAACTTACTTAATTTTGAGTGGACTTATCCAATTTGAAGTAACATTAAGTAATGGGTCAAATTTTCTCATTTTTTAGGATTATTATGTGACCTGCTGTGGTCAGATCCAGACAAGGATGTCCAAGGATGGGGTGAAAATGACAGAGGGGTTTCCTTTACCTTTGGTCCAGATATTGTATCCAAATTCCTTGCCAAACATGATCTGGATCTTATTTGTCGAGCTCACCAGGTGTGTACAGAATAGTGATAAATTAAATAGAATAATAAAGATGGTAAATTTGATAAAGAAAAGAGAGATGTTTTTGGTCTTGCCATCAGAGTGGAACACCGAAAAAATTCTGAGTCTTCATGAGGAATCAAAACCTCAAACCTACCAACTCAGTGCTCCAGCAGTATACAGGGCACTTATTATGTATGAACTTTGTAATGACCTTGCTCACCATATAGTCTCTGTGCTCAGCAGAAGAGCGTTGGATTGCATAATCAGAAGGTCTGAGGTTTGATTCCTCATAGGAACTCAGAATTTTTTCTTTGCTGCTCATTACAAGATGAAAACCATCTTCCCTTAAGATACAGTAGGGTGGATTGTGTAGTAATGAGACAACTTGCCTCTTACCACAGTGTGTTGGTTCAATCCCTGATCCAAGGTCACTTGTGGGTTGGGTTTGTTGTTGATTTTTATCCTTGCCCCCCCCTTTTTTTCCCTCCTGGTCTTCTGGTTCTGCTCCCTTTTTAGAAACCAACCCTTCAAATTGACCAGGAAATAGTGGACCAAAGCAACTGCAAGGATGTCTTGCTAAAATCCAATTACTGTTATTGCTATCTTTATAATTATGAATTATATTTAGCATTTATCTTGTACTCTGTACATCTTGAAATGTAGCATTGATTTTGAAAGTTGTTTGTGTGCAATTAATTTCAGTTTTCTTCATCTTTACCTGTACTTATTAGTGTTAGCTAATTCCTTCCATTTTGGTTATGGTTAACCCTTTAACTACCATGAGTGACCAAGACAAAAATTCTCCATGAAATATTAATGCAAGCAGAAACATGATGAGAGCAAAGCAAAATATTAATAAGGGTATTGAAAGTCAATCCATTGCCAAATTCTCTGAACCAACATCACAAAAATTGCATGGCAGGACAGTAAGGAGAACTATTAACGAGATCTGGGAGTGAATGGATAGAGTTAACTCAAGTGTAGTAGGTTATTGTAGAAGCCATTGGTTTCATATATTATGGGAAGGTTGGAGGATTTTTAACAAGTCCTGTTTGATGGCAGCCACTTCATCCTCTGAAAAGTTCCTCAAGGAATTCCTTCTGCATAAACCTTTGGCAGTGCCTGAGTAATTATTTCTGCATTGTTACTTGAAATTTTACAATCATTGCAAGTGTATGATTAAGTTTGTGTAACACTTCATTTCATGTCATTTTTTTTTAATTATAACAGGTTGTGGAAGATGGATATGAGTTCTTTGCTAAGCGGCAGTTGGTAACCTTGTTTTCAGCTCCAAATTACTGTGGAGAATTTGATAATGCTGGAGCCATGATGAGTGTGGACGAAACCCTTATGTGTTCATTTCAGGTGAAGATTTTTCTTTTGTTTGTGTCTTTGTTTATGTTTAATTTTTTACACTGTGCTTTATCAGATAGCCTAATAATAATATTTTCATTACACAGTTTTTAAGCCCTCTTATCATTTGTTATTCATCATATAAAGACATTACAGCAGATTTGCACACTGACATGTGATATCTGCTATTTACATATTTTGGCTAATTTTAACTTGACAGATTCTAAAACCTGCCGACAAGAAGAAGTTCCCCTATGGAGGGTTGAACTCCGGCCGACCAGTAACCCCACCACGTGGAGGACAACAAGGAAAAGGGAAAAAGAAATGATACTTGTACCATAAGATATTTGTTCTGAACTGTATTATAATATTGTTATACAACCTAGTTATTTTCTAGAGTAGCATGGATAGAAGTTATGATAGTATACACAATTGAAATGTCGTGTAATAAAACAGAACAGGATGCAGAGAAGAGATTATTTCAATGCATACGATGTGAGCAAGCTTGTCCATATGATTATATTCTTTTTTCCTTTGCCGTTGATATTTTTTATTTGTAGGATAGAAATTTAGTTCTTTGTCAAACTATTGCTGTAAGTGCATCACTGAAATTTTCAGTGAGACATTTGTCGAAGTTGGAATGTCAGGAAATTATGACTTCAATATAGGCACAGGTTTGAGGCAAGACCTCATAACTGAGGAAGTTTTGGTATCTCCACAAGACAATTATGCAAAGATTCATGTAAGTTCTGGCAGATAGCTATGTATATACAACAGAATGGAAATCAAGTCATTATTTGAGTTAACCACAGCCCTAGAAATTCTAGAACTTCTGCTTAACAGATATAATACTTTCACACTTTCAAAGCATACTATTGTGAAATATTTTCTCCACACTCACTCACCCCTCCTCCCCTTACTAGAATATACTTTAAGCCATGTTAGGCTGAACTTTGTATCCATACTACAGAAAGCCAAATCATTGGAGAAGTGTAAAATAGTAGCAAGGGAATTTTGCTATCTTTTTGTAACAAATTGAAGATAGGTTTTGGGTTTAATGGGAAAGTATTACATGTAGTTTATTTTATGTATATGATTTATACCTATAATTGTGTGAAATTTCCATCAACCTTTCCTGCAGTACTTGATCATTGCATAGAACTATTATGAATAGTAAAAGATAAGAACAGTGATTTATCCAAGATCTTGTTGCTGCCTTAGAGGAATTAATCCAAACAAGAGTATTGTTGATGAAAACTGACTTCAACTTCAATTCATTTTACGATCCTGTAGTAATTTTCAATAGATGTTAATGCATGGTTACTACCCCTTATAAACAAATGGTCCTGGATTTGGGAAAATATTCTCATGCAAAAAAAACAGATGAAGCTACAGTTTTTCTCTAAGGATCATATAGTTGCAATGTTTTGAAATTAATAGTTTTAACTCCTGTATGTGTTAGTGTAGGATTTGTAGAAGGGAAGTGACTAATTATTTTTTTGCCTGGGTTGATGATTATTTGATCATCATGGTTGCATTCTGTGTAACCTAGTTATTCTATACTTGTGTCAAAAGTACACTACACATTTCACTTTACAATATTTTCCCAACTCAGTCTTTTGTAATAAAAGTTACCATTGTTGTTACTTCAATGCAAACTTGTGATTGTGATTGTTATTTCTCTAAGTTTAAGTTATGATTACTTCAAGAGAATATTTTAGTGTTGTTTTAATATCAATGAATTTATATTTATATGATGAGCTGAATTATGAAAGGAATTTGATTGGTACTCATGATCTATTGCAGGACAGATGTACAGATAATGCCATCGATAACAACATTCTGCCTTTATATCTTGTAAAACAAATAGATTTCATGTTGTTGTGGGTCTCAGAATAATCTAAGAACATCAGTGACTTACTTGGCTGCACTTTGTGTGCTATTTTTTTTTCTGGCCACATTTTGACTTCATCTGTGATCTATCAATGAATAGACACACACAACATGGAATCTACAAGCGAAAGTGACGATTGGCCATAATTGTGACTGTCAGTAAATTTGTCAATGGTTTCAATACAACAATGAAATGTTTCTCCTATTTTAATCCATCACTACCAGTTATTTTAATTATGTACATATAAGGGAATAAAATTTGTATAGATTACATCATTGTCTTCTATTTGCCTTTGCTTTCTGTGTGAGGAGATTTAAAGGATTGGACAGTTCTTTAAGAATTCTTCCTTTAAAAAATATTTTGTGAAATTCTTTAACTTTTGAAACATACCCTCTGATTGCGTTGAGATTTTTTCCAATATCTTTGCTTCAGTGATATGGATGAAACAGGATCCTGAAACCACATTTATTTAATGGAGCACCCAACCTCAAATATGCACCTAGCCTGTAGGTAGGAAAATGTGATATGTACTCACTCCCCCCCCCCCCCCAAAATTAATAACCTGGTGCATGAAAGCATGGCAATGGCAAACAAACCATAGACTGAATCTTTTCAGTATTTTTAATTAATATAACTACATCTAGAGAGGTTTTTAGGAGTGTTAAGTATTTATACTTGACACTAATATTTGTTTAGGAGCAATGTCAATTAAAAAAATTTGGCCTTACTTCTCTAATATTCCCTGTCTTGAAACATACTTGGATCAGAGTTCGTATCCGAGTTAATGCACATCTACCCCTCCCCAAATCCATAATTTGCCCTAAATTCATATTGGTTGAATTTTGTTGGTTTTGTTAGGGAAGGTGGGAGCATAGTTGCCTAGATACTGACATTGATCCTTTAACTTGATATGTTGACCTCAAGGTTTCACTTCAAGCTGAAAGTAAGTTATTCCTATAAAAAATTGGCTCAAAATGTTACAAAAAAAGCTCCTCGATTGTGTTTACTTTTCTTGAGGTAAGAAAAAAAGAGAAAATAAGGTAAAAATTGTTTGAATGCCTACCATTAATCCTAACTTTTCAAATGAATAGAAAAGATAATCACTTTCTCCAAATGTGATTTTTGTACATTTCTAGTTTGACCTAAACAATATGTCTAAAAAAATGATTGCGTTTATACAGATGTGTGTTTATATTTACATTATGCCATATAGGGGACTGTAAGATAACAAAATATTTTTTACAATGTAAATATGATAAATAAAGTTTCACCTTGATATTTTAAATACTTAATAACTTAGAACAAGCTGATGGTATCTAGAACTGAATAGTCCTCACTCAAATAAATAACTAGTGATATTCTGAAACTGTTATTTTCTTAAAGAAACCAAAATATTTTTGAAATGGAAATAAATAGTTCTACCTGAATTTGGAGTTTGACTCAAGAAAACCAAACCATCAGAGATTAAACATTCATCAAAAACTGGTTCTCAGTTTATTTTCTACCTGTCAGCATTGATTCATATGTGAAAGGTAACACCACATTGACCATTTAAAATCTCATTCTCACTGAAACAAGAAACCATTTTGAAGCCAAATCTACAGAAAATTAGCTTAAACTGCACCATAGCTTACAAACAATAGTTTATGCACTATAGTTCTCTTCTTTAACCTTTTCACTTATAAGAATAACAAGTATCTAAAGTCTCTTTACATAAGGACTGTTCAATCACACATCATGGCCATGGGAATAAAGGAAAAGAAAGAAAACTAAAAAGTTAAAAAATTTGCCTTGCCACTATCATAAGAAATGCATGGAGAATAGGAGAATATGCTGATGTTAGGTTGTAAAAGTTTATGTCCTGGTACTCAGGCTTCTAATTAATGCTGTGGAGGATGTGGAATGGGCCCATGCAGAGAATAAGTCTGCTGTCCAGGGGGTCCATGGTGTATGACTCCACCCATGTTCAAGTCTGCACCAGATTCCATCTTTGGACCTCTGCCCATTATGTCCTAAAATTATTCCAAGGAAATGTGGTCAATGAAACAAGACAAAAGCAAGCTTACCTGGAGAAAATTTACTCAGTAGATACAAACCTATCAATACAAAACTTTTCACAATACACTAGTTCTGTTTAGCTTTATCAGTGGTCATTCAATGATAACCATACATCCCTCCCATTGCAGACTTCTTAGCAAATGTTCTTAAAAGTGCTTGTGACCAAGATTATTGTTATTGACCTCAGAGGCTTCAAAGACAGAAGTCTATTGCTTTTACTCACCATGTTTCTGAGAGGTGCTTGACCATTGGTACGTGCCAGAGGTCCAAACAATGGACCAGGAGGGCCGTAGTTCATTTCCCTCTCATGTAACACTCCCTCCAAGGACCCTCTCAAGGGAGCATCTTGATTTCCTCGCATAGACCCAGGAGGATATGGTTGAGGTACATGATGTGGTGTCATGTCACGTGGACTTTGAGGTGGCTCAGGTGTTCTTGGTCTTTCAAAAGCACTTTCAAGAGCTTGGCCCTCTGGACATCTTCCCATCCAGGGGCTGGTTGTAGATACCTCAGGAGGAGCATGCCTCCAAGGCCCTAAGCTTACATGCTCCCAAGGAACTGGCCTTTTCCCATGAAGATCTAAAGCACCTAATTTGGTGACACCAAGGGGTCCCAAACTAGCAGGATTAAGGGGTGGAACATTGGCTCTAGGAGGAGGGAGGGGTGATGACAGCTCTAATTGTCCTTTCTGTTTCTTCTTTTTAGCTTTGTCCTTTTTTTTCTTCAAACATACAGCACGATTTTCTTGATCACCTTCAGTATTGTTGTGAGTGGTAATGATACGGGTGTTTTCTGCTTGAACATAATTTAGCTGCGCCAGTTTTGATGGATACTTTGGAGGTGTAACAGTTTTTTCTGTATTCTTGTGAGATTCTGCAAAGAACTGCCAAACAAACCTTAACATCAAATACACTATGTCATTAAAACTCCTTTTATTTGACTTACAGTCAGTGGTTGTCAAGCCACCACCCATGGTGATAAGGAAAATAGCAATGAACTACAGGACATAAATACAATCAAATCATTAACAATGTGTACCAATTTACCTGAGGTTGAGAATCACAAGTATCTTCCTGCCATTGTTTTTTCTCCTTGTCTCCATCTGGGTAGTCTGTTAAGTCATCACCATGAACTATGTCCTCATTATCACTGCCAAGACTTGACACACTAAGTCCAACACTAACACTGCAATTATCAGCATTATCAGGCTCACTGTGTACACTTGATGCACTGCCACGTCCTTGCTGCAAGCGTGCACTGGAATATTCCAACTTTTCCTCACAGTCAATCTCTATATCTCCATCTTCCATGTCAATAATTTCCTCTTGCTGATCTTCAGTGTCAAGGTTACTGACTACAACTAAAATATCTCCATCCCCAGTCCTCAGGTCAAAACTTGCAGCTTCATCCATTAAGTGTCTTGAATCACCATCATGATGAAATTTGCTTTGCCTTGTAAGTGTACTCTGACGCCGTTTTGGGTTTGATGGCCTACTCTGCTCTACCCTGTTGTCTGCTTTGTCTAAGGCCTTGGTATTATGATCTGAAAATTTTTCTTTTTCTTCATGACTTGCCTCATTCATTGCTGAATCCCCAAGGTGCCCTGACTCCCCCTGTACATCAAAACCATGAAGGTCAGACACATCACAGTTCTCCGCACCAACAGATGCCTTGTGAGGTTCTTCTGCTGTTGCAGCTGCTTCATCTGTAGACGGAGGCTGCCATGAGTTTACAGGATCCACATTTTGACTATAAAAGGAATAAGTTCTTATTTCATGAAATCTGGTTAACACCTTGTTCATTTGATGATTAATTTCTCTTACTAACTTTCTACTGAATAATTTCATTATTTTAATATTGATAGCTCATATGACAAATTTGCATCCAGAACAACTGTAGATTTCCTGGTTTCAATGAAAAAGCATCTTGTTATATCACATACCTATAGTTTATATATGTTTAATCTTACTAAATAAATAATCCATTTCATTTGTAATATTTTCTAGAGTTAGTTACCAGGGATAACTTTCATTTTCAAAATTTCTTCAGTAACAGCTACTATAGGAGACATACTCCCATTGAAACACAAGGTGAAGTAAATATAGCATCAAAATTCACTTCAGTTTGTTTCACTTTTAGTTTGACTCATTCAGTCAATGAATCCTTTTTAATTAAGTAAGTTACCTGTCAGGACTTGATGGTGTTGATACAAAGGCAGCCTTTCCTGTGTGCTTGTCATTGTGTTGTGAATGAGCTCTGATCACCATTCTACAATAATTGAGCTGTTTGTTGTGGATGTAATCAACTGCAGTTGCACCAAAACAATCTCTTACCAGGAGGTCTCCTGCAAAATGAAATTTGAAGTGTTGTCAGTCTTGAGCTGACACAATTCTTTGTTCTTGTCTGCCATTCCAGCATTTCCCTTTCCTTTTATCAGCTTTAATATGAACTTATAATAACTTCAGTGACACTGCTAATGATACTGCCACTATCAAAACATGGCCATCACAATCAAAAGTACACTAGAAAGGCTAACAATGACCTTTGGAAGCACAGAGGGAGGGGAGGGACGAGAAGCGCTAAATAGTGAAATGGGGGCACTGCAAAAGTTGCAAGAGAAGCCTTGGGAGAGGATATATGATCTTATTTGGTTACAGCCATGATGACAATGTTGATGATAATTGACAGTCCTACAGATTTCCTTACCTCCTCTTTCAAGGAGAAAGTTCACAACTTCTGCTTGTCCACAGATAGCAGCAAGATGAGCTGCAGTTCTTTTTGAGTTATCTGTATCCTTTAGTCCTTCCAAGTTTCCTCTCACTTTAAGAATCATCTCACAAGCAGCTGCAATCCCTGCCAAGGAGTGTCAAATAATTTATATTTAATTATTAAACATAGCATCATCATGCAAGTCAACATTTTGAAAATAGTAAAGGATTAGATAGCTTTGTAGCTGCCTTAAAAAAAACTTGCACCATTTACTATACCAAATAGATCAACATTTTCCATATTAAAATCCAATATTCTATTTTACAGTTGTGTACTTCAGGTTGCCAGGCCTTTTAACAAGAGTGAAGCTAAGGATGACCTTGTTATTATACAAACCTTGCTACTTTCAAAGGTAAATTACCTTGTTGTTATGCTAACTAGGTACTGGTCTCTATCACAGCAAGACCACTTTAGCCTCACTCCAAATCAAAGGCTTGACAACTAAGTACACAACTGTAAAATGACCCATTCATAAATATCTATATCATTTCTATTTATTTTTAAGCAATTATGTGACCAAGCAGAATGAAAAAAAACCATAGGGCTTTTTGTTCAGGTTACCTATTCAGTATTTTTTAAAAATATTATCATGAGAATTACTAGATCTTCATATAAAGTACAGTAATTATAACTTATGGATATAGTCTGCTAAAGAATTATCAAAATGACAAAAATTAAAAAGGCAGGTTAATTAGAATGATGAAATTCAACTTATGAGAGTTGAGAGTCCTTTTCAGGCAGTAACCAGTAACATTTAGCACCTGTAGTACCTCTTATTACTGTTTAAAATTGCTTGGAATTCTTGAAATTCAACAGGTAAAAGGATAGCTTTACCAGTTTGAAAATTTATTTAACCTGTCATGCTTAAAATAAGGGAGAACACTGTGAGAGTACATGACACAAGACTCGTGTAATATTATTTCATTTCATACATGGACTCAAACAGGTGTAGTCCTTGCCTTTTTCTGCTGCTGTGTGTAATACTGTTTTGCCTTCATTGTCCCTTAGAACTGCAGACTGAGGGGTTAATAGAGCCTAGATATTTTATAAAAAAAATTATGGATCAATAAATTGAAGAACAATAACTAATGTAGGCAATTATTAAAGTGGCAATCAATGAGGGCTTTGGTTATCTATTACAATTAACTGACAGTCATTTGTGACAGCTAACATATGAAATGATTATCTCAGACTATAGATTTATGTAGACAGCAATCCTTCTTGAGAGATTATAGGTCAAAGTTTTGTCAACAACTTAATAGTACAATGGTCTGAAATGCTGCCTAGCTCAAAATATACACCAGTCTTTTATAGTGGTAAAGCCATCTGCATAATTAGATAATTGCATTTTAAAACAACAAGTCAAACAATGAACACAGATACTTTCATTTACCTTTAGACACTCCAAAGATCCCACGCCTTTGACAGCCCAGTGAATCACAGACTGACCATAACAGTCTGTATCTCTGAAGATTGCATCTTCTTCAGGATCAGTTCTTGCCAGTGCATTTTGTAACATCTGTAGATTGCGAAGCTGGTCAAAGTAACATGCCCACATGGCTGGGGTTAAACCTTCACTGTCTGCAGCATCCAACTTCCCTCCAACCTGAAGTAATAACTGTAAAGAAATAAAAATGGATCATTCTCAAACATAAGCTCTTTATAGTTACACCCTACTCCCTAGCTAATCAAAGATCAGAAAATCAACTTTTTAAATTAAAGCCAACAGCCATCTTCACTTTTTTCTTTCTTCTGAATTTATTTCAAATGATGTTTGAATGAACTCCTCACAACTGAAATCACCTATTATGCCACCAGCAGCCAACTATAAAAAGGGTCATTTTAAACCTTTCAAATGATAGATATCACTTGTAGCTGCTAAACCTGTGTAGGGAGACAGCAAGTCATAACTCCAGTCTTATTAAGCCCTTACCTTTATTTTCAACTTAAAAAAAAAAGTGACCCTGTGCTCAAGTGGACCCTTTTCAGGTCTTAATGTGTCATTTTTTGGCCTGTCAACCTGGCCTAGGACAAGGATATCTGCCTGTCGAAGATACACACTGTTTTTGACTTCCTGAAACCTGCATTATCATTCATAAATACTTTTTTCAGCCACAGCCAGACCAAGTACCTTGAGTGTGCTGAGAGAGGGAGACATTTCCATTTTTGAGATATAAATGTGTTTGTTATGTTACCTTTAAATTATCCTCTGATGGATTTGCTGCTGCCCAGTGAAGTGGTGTCCTGCCTTGATTGTCTTCAACATTATGAGAAGCCTATACAAAGAGGAGAACACCATCATTCCCATAGTGCTGGATTTGGGTGAATCCAAAATCAAATAGAAATGGTAAGAAGTTCCAGCAGACCTGTGAGAAGAACATTATAGTCACCTTATTACGAATCAAAAGAGGCAGGGCAGCTGTGTTATTGATGTATGCAGCCACATGAAGTGCTGTTGTGTTATCTGTGCAACAAAAAAAAAATAATAGAAATAATAAACATCACTTCTTTTAATGAAATGTACTCCAAAATTGAACGATAGGAAATACAAAGTAGATATCAAGTTAAATTATACCCTACCCATTTCCCAATAACAAAAAAAAATACCCAAAACAAGTGGTGGTACCCCAACATATTCCTAAGGCAAACATCAAGGTCCTTGGAATCTCATTTATGTTTCACTGATCCCAAAAAAATCCTCTCCCAAGAGTTACTAGATAGTATACTTGTACATGAAAATATGCTTTTCATATGCAAACAAGTTAATAGAGGGCAAAAAGACATTAAGCACTGGTGTGTACCTACTGTAGGTCAATTTAAGAATTACTTTAAATAGTGTAAAAGTTACATTTATAGTTACTGTAGTTTTTGTAATATATATAATTTATATCTGATACCATTTGCTTTGAGATCCAGATCACAGTCAGCTCTTATCAGTACTTCCAGGCACTCTGTATGGGCAGGTGTGTTGCCATGAACACAGTACATTGCAGCATTACGTCCTAAGCCATCCACTTGATTGACAACTTCGGAATCTTAAATGTAACATATTTTAAGTAACATATGGTCAGTGACATACAGTCAGCTGGTTGTAGTTTTGTGTATCAGGTATGATCACTTTTGTTTGGAGAAAATAAACTTTCCTTCAACAGTGACCTAACTTTTTTGATGGAATGATCTGACTTTGGCTGGAGATATCTGACTAGGGCCCATATGACAATAGGGTGAAGCAAGAAGTTACGTAATTGTTGCTCGTGAAATTGTTATAAAAAAATATAGCTTAGGATGAGTCTAGAGCGCCATGACCATAATCAACTTAACCGTCATTCAAAATGAGGAGAAACGTCACTAGAAGCCTAAGAGATCTTACAGTGGGAGTAAGCAAACAGCTTAGGGTGTGGAAAAACAGTTTTGTATCTAATTGGTCCAAGAGGCACAAGTTTGCCATGTCGGTCACAGAATTGGAGGAAAGTTAGGCACAACCAAATTGCAATCCTGGGGCTGTTTTGACACTGTAATGAAAATGGGTAGTCACGACAACCTGTCATTCATGAAAATATGACCAGTTTATCAATATCTCCGATCATTGAAACGCAAATTAGCTGAATTACAAGGCGAGGACTAAGAACTGTACGATACTAATGCACTTGACTTCTGTTTTTATTTCAAGATAATTTTATTTGATACTTCGAACATTTGTAATAAAAGTGTACTCGTTAAGTACTACGTAAACATGAAGTTTTCATTACTCTGCATAGAAGGTAAACAATGGCGAAATAATTTCTTGCTTAGCATTCAATTAGCAATTAGCGTTACCTTTCTCTATGAGTTCCTTTAAAAGCTGTGAATCTGCAGACTTTGTAGCTTGCAGGACGAGAGGCAATGAAGAAAATTCATTTGTACCGAGGCTAGCAGACAGCCTGGGTGATTCCAAATTGTACCACTTCCATTCGAACTGATCAGGTATTCCACAAGCTGGACTCACTGGGCTCACACCCCCATTAAAAACCAAGCTTCCACTCAGCGATTTGCCATTAAATCTTGGTGATGCACCATTTGAGAGACTTCTGCTACGAAGTTTTTTGTAGTATTTTTGCAAGTAGAACAGGACAAGATGCATAGAATCCCTAAGTTCAGCTGTCGATTCCTCGCACGAAAGTTTCGAAAGAAACTCCTGAATAAGCCCCGCTGTTTTCTGGAAGTCTGTGACAACAAAACATGGCAAACATGACCCAAAATTATCGGAAAACTGATTTGATCCAATTAACACAATATTGAAAAGCAGGAAGTCTTACCTCGTTTTTTTATAGCCATCGTTTGGAGGCTTCTAATTACGTCCTCGAGCGCTTTACGAATGTCTGATCGCGCGCGAAAATAAAATTATATTCAGCAATATTTTTACAGGCCACCATTTTGGACTTACTTTAATCGTGACCACGAAACACAATATCTGAATACAAGAACCCTTTGTCAAATCGACTAAAGGCAACAAAGTCAAATCTGCGCCAGACATGCAAAGAAAATAATGAATTGTGTAACTGATTACTTTCCCCCTTAAACGAGGAAGAAAACAACATTGAGATCGCATTGAATTATGGGATAATTTTTATTTCTAAGATGGCGGCCCTACGCTCAAAATCAAGGTCATTTCTAGAAGCTATTCCACGCTGTTTTTGCGGTGGCAATTATTTGTTATCCACACCAAGGTATCGTCTGTACTCAAATTATCAAACACAAGAGAAAAGTACGCATTTTGGTTTTGAAGAAGTATCAGAGCAGGAGAAAACTCAGAAAGGTAGACAAGATCAGAGGTCTTGATTTTTTTTTGCTTCACAAATGTGCAAATTTCCCTCTTTCAGATGTCAAATCACCATCCCCACCCCCCTTAGGAGCCGCATGGACAGTCAGTCTCTATTTATCTGTAATACCTTACTTTTGGCTTATTATGTGGATAAACATGATTTTTTTAAGAATAAAACATGTATGCCTTATCATTCTTCAGAAATGCTATGAAGCAGTTACAGTGACTTATATAAATACGTATCTGGGACTAGTTTGCAAAACTTGGCAACTACATGCATGATCTTTTACCCAAAGAGCTCAATATACATGCTAGAATTACAGCTTTGACAATGCAAAAAATAATTGTGGACATGCGAGTTCCAGACTTCTGGTTGTATTGCATACAAATACACGTGGCTCTTCATGCTTAACATCTCACTGAGTTATGTTGTCTTGTGCAGACTGACCTAGGACTTACCATTAACTTTAATAACACACAGAGGTCAAGTATTATTAAGAAATTAAACAAATTAAGTGGGATTATTCAGAATTTATAATTTGAATAAGTAGTCAACACTTTCTACACCTTGTACTACAAATATTTGTTTATCAGTTTACAAGGTGTTTGAGAGTGTAGCAAGTTCATATGACAAAATGAATGATGCCATGAGCTTCGGGATACACAGACTGTGGAAGGACAGGTTAATCACTATACTTAATCCTCCTGTTGGAACAAAACTGTTGGATGTTGCTGGAGGAACAGGTAAACAAAGTTGTTATTAGAGAGAGATGTGGTTCATAATAAATGGTTTGAATCAAGGAGTGAAATCATTCTCTTGTTGGATTGTCTTGATGAGAGTAACCCGAAATTGGATAATTACTCACAAGTGTGTTGTGTTTGCTGTGACTGCAGATTCTAAGTATCAAAACTAATGTAGTTTTAACCCAATATAGAAAATTGTTACTATGGCCAAGATCTAATGTGCTAAACATCTAAACATCTTGTAATCATACCAATTATTAAGTTTACTGTTTTAATCTGATAGGTTATTGCACTGTGTTTTGAAATTTTACAGGTGACATTGCATTCAGATTCCTAGACCATGTTAACAAAAAATCAGCAAAAAGGAAACAAAGAGGAGAAAGTATTGACTCCCATGTGACAGTGTGCGATATCAACAGAGCAATGCTGCAAGTTGGCCAACAAAGGGCTGAAAGACTCCATCAATCCTCAGGTTTAAGAGCTGGGTACTTGATTGCTTCAACCTTAAGCTGCTGAGATCTGATTGTAAATCTCCTGTGTAGCTGTGTTATATTTCCTTGTAAAGTATCTGGGAAAATTTGGTATCATTTCAATATAAGCCTTGAGTTTACCCTCAGCATGTGAGTGTGTATTTCTCATTTCCTGTTTTCTTGATGATTTATCGAAAGGAAAATTTTCATGTTAATCACAAAATTGTGAGAGGTAATGGATAACAATGCCAGGGATTTCACTTCCAAGTTACTGAATTTATTTTGTCTGTAGTAATGCATTTATGGCAAAATTATCCTGCATTTTCGAAGTGTTATCAACTATTATACCACAGTGAAATATTGTTGCAGATCAGAGGGGAAAAAAAAGAAGAAAAAATTTTTTAGTTAGAGTTAACATTTTTCCTTACAACTTAGTACAAGAATAGGACGGAATCTTAGTTTGGAGCCTTTGATTTGATAATTCTTAAATGTTTTCTCATAGGAATTTCATGGATTGAAGGCAATGCAGAAGAGTTACCAATTGATACTGCATCAGTTGATGCCTACACCATAGCATTCGGAATCCGAAATGTTACAAGAATTCATAAGGTTACCATTAACTCTGTTCTTTTTTTACTTTTTCTGGATTATAAGTGAACTGATATGTTTTCTATTCAGTATTTATTCTGAAAATTTGTAGAATAGTTGATGTATTTTGTTCTCATTGTTTGGTCAAAAAATCCAGGGCAAGGTAGCCTTGTAAAAGATAATTTTTTTTAATTAACTGAGTTAAGTGAATTGGCCACCATAAAAAGATTCTAAAGCCAACATTTTATGCTTAAGCCCTTCATTAGTGCTAACTGTTCTGGAAAAGAGTCTTGTTTGTGAGGTTGATGAAGTCATCACTTGACAGCAATGAAATTTCTGATCAGAAAGCAGAATCTTCATTCACAGTTTCCCATAGCAGTCTTCTTCAGGACCACTGTCACAAGGATCAACATTCTATATGATCAGCTGTTACTCGTTTAATAATTTTCTTTCTCTCTTTTTGTGCTTCTCATTAGGCTTTGAGTGAGGCCCACAGAGTTCTTGTTCCTGGTGGAAGATTCCTGTGTCTGGAATTCAGTGAAGTAAAAAATGAGCTTATCTCTAGGTACCATCAATTTATTGTCTTTGATTATTCTTTAGGGCTTCAATGGAAAACTACATGACCCCCAAAGAACTCCTATGGCAGACATTGGTCAACTTGTCATGTCAGTTGATGGGTTGTATTCTGTTGTGTCTCCCACCAGAAGGCTGACATTTTAAAACATTCCTTTTTTTTTTTTTAGCTTACCATGTTTTCCACATTTTCCTTCAAAACATTGTGATACAATATTATCAGGCAAAGAGGAATTATGATGCCAGCCTTGTCTGTGGTTAAGTCTACCTAGATGCACATGTTATAGATTGTTCAGTCAAATCTAATATTTCTTACTTGGATGTCTGATATAAATTATATTTCTAACAGTGCCTATGAGAAATATTCCTTTGATGTTATACCAGTTATGGGGCAGATCATAGCTGGAGATTGGAAATCTTACAAGTATCTAGTTGAAAGCATTAGACAATTTCCAAATCAGGTTTGTCCAATAAAGTTTGTTGGACATTTTACATGCATTACAAAGTAAAATTTTCAGTTTATCATCCCCTCATACACAGCCCTCTGTGGAAATTCATGTATATCTTCCGTTTCTTTGCATTAGTGGTTCCTTCCTCTCTTCCTCTGGGATGTGATTTAAAGAGAGCATTTGGAGCTTGCTTCCTTTGTGCTTGCACGCATTTCTGCTAGTTACTTTCTTTACTCAGCTGCCTTACCCCTCTCAGAAGTGAAGAGTTATTTGATGTGTCTGCAGCTCTTTAATGTGTTTATTGAAGAAATGTAATCATATGATTATTCAAAAGCAAATCTCAACATTTGGTCTCTGTTAGCAAGATCAGGTTTGAAAGCTCCACTGATGAGCAAGAAATGAGCTTTCCACAGAGGAATTTCAAACTGTTGACACTGTTGTTTATGTACATGGATTAGTAATGTTGGAATTTGTCTGACTAGTTACTTTTATTTCCTCTAGGAAGAGTTTGCAAATTTGATTGAAGATGCAGGATTTAGTTATGTAACTCATGAAAACTTAACCTTTGGAATAGCAGCCATTCACTCAGGCTTTAAATTGTGAAAACATTTGGAATTTGTGAATAAATATTGTGATCTTTATAATTGTTGACTTCATTTTTTATAACATGACCATCTCGAATGAGGCATAACTAAATGTGAAAGATTTTCAACATATGGCTTTGCAGCAGGATTTGATCCAAAAAATTCAGATGGAGAGGGTTGAAAAAATTATTTTTAAAAGACAAACCATAACACAATTGGGGCAAACTTTAAAATAATTTATTAAATCGAAACTATATTTGAAATAATATAAAGCAAAGTCAATTTTAAAGTCCAGATTCTAAGCATAGCAACTACAGATGAACAGAAGATTTGCATTAAAAAAAAAAAGAAAATTGTTTCTGCTCTCTTAAAATAATATTCCAAGAGCTTGCATTGATAGTATGGTGTATAATAGCTAGTGTTAGGTACAACTTGCTTAGGTGTGTCTAACAAGACAGTGGGAATATATATTAGCTAACTATTATGGTGATAAGATTTAATACAACATAGCAACCTTCACTTTGTACAAACTCTTAAGTTGTAAGTCTCTACAAGGCATTTTATATGGAGATCCAGCGATCTTTAGAGTCAAATCAACCAGATTTGAACAGAAGAACAGCAACCTGTCCAAGGTAGAAGTAGATGAAATGCTTTGTTTCATGGGTGACATAGGAACCAAAGTTTCTCCCAACAATACAGTGCCATGTAGGGTTGTACTTCTTGTCAAACTCTTTCTTGATGTATGCTGCTATGTCTTTCTCAATGTTGAATTTTTCCATAGCCTGTGTGGCACACTCTACAGCATCTGACTGCATGTCCTCAGACATGTCGGCATTTTTTATTACTGCTTTTCGATCGGTCATCTGCGGCAACCAAAAACGTTCTAATTAGTTTTTCTCTCCACGCGCTCATCACCCTTCCCGGTGACCACGCCTATGGGGTAATCGAGGAAAGAGGCGAAAAAGAAGAAATAGATAACTTACCCTGTCTAAAAACAGTTTTCCGCAACTATCACAGATCTTCGCCACCGAAATTCTCTTTATCAAACACCTTTCTCAAACAAATACAACATTGCTTCCTTGGTGTCTTAGACCCACGCCGTGGAACACCTAATTTACTATAATGCGTATTGTTCATTGGATAAATTCCGTAGCTTTTTTCGGTAGCCTATATCAACCCAGGGTACATTGCGAGAAATGCCTCTGTTTGCGTGATCAGGTCACACGCCTAGTTCACACTCTTCTCATGACGATTCAAGTCACGCAGTAAATAAGCTTTACTTTTTTTGTTAGATATCGGCAGACTGGGTAAGTCCTCAGCCTGGAAAAACTGATTTTAATCGAATTCGAATCAACGATCTTTACTACACATTTTTTCAATGCGTGACCTTTTTTTTTTAGTTTAAAAGATGGAAACAGTAAGTAACAGTAAGTAACAGCCGAGAGGCAAAAGCCCAACCTTTCCACCCCTTTCCTAAATCTTGCAGAAGTTGTCTCCACATCTTTAGATTTGTAAAACTGCACATTAAAGCGTCTTTCACGACTGTCGATGTGTACCTTAGAGAACTATCTGTGGTAAAGCTGTGGCCCGTAATTACATTAAGAATGTAGTTTATCGTAATGTAAAACTGAGAAGAGATTAATTCAATCTAGATCATGTGTAACATGCCCTTACAGATCCACAAGTCTGTCTTCTCTGCGTTATAAATCAGATCGGTAAGATTTTGTATAAATGTTACAAGAACTTACATGTGCTCTCTGGGTTTGACTCTGAAAGGTTTCGAGAGGAAATTGCTCCATTACCGAGCCACGAATCGAGGATAATTTTAAGGAATTTTCCACTGTATGATAAGTGTGGGGCCGGTGGCACCAGCTAATGCAGATTTCCCAATTTAACCTCCGGGATTTAGAAAGTATTATGTCAATAATAAAGTAGGTAAATAAGTAAATAAGGTTTGACAGTGTCAGTCACCTGATTGCATTCTTAAATAAAATTCTTAAGTCAAGTTTTGTAATTAAGAGTTGCGACGCTGAGAGGAAGTCGATGGAGATTTATTGAACTCCTCCATTATATATTGAGACATTTCAAGTGTTATTAGAATTTTAGAGCAGCAAGTTTCCTGAATTCCTGAATCGAGTTTCCTTGCACTTGAATGAAAAAAAAATTAATAAATCCCGGTTGAGTTTTGTAAATATTGCCCGCCATTTGCGGAACGGGTCTTCGAACTCTGAATTATGTTCTTAAAATTCACCCCATTTCCGGCCACTCTACGTGCACGGAATAAAGACAAAAATTCCAAAAAAAAAAAAAATTGCAAGGGGAGAAGAAATTTTCAGAATTTAAAAATTTCGGAAAAATAAAGACAAGCTCGAAACACAGGTATTCCTATAACTAAATGGGCTTGAGTCAGGTCTGAATACTACTATGGAAAATGGCATGTTTGGTCTGAATGATAGTAAGGATTTATGGAACAAGGCAGCACACTCACACTGAAAATTCTGGTGTATTCCCTGGGAGAGGGAGAGTACATCTTAATTATCATGGACTTCCTTTTCACTTGTTGAAATTATATGATGACATGCTTACCCATCAAATTGTTAGTATAACAGAAAACAGGGCATGGGAGCTATGTCCTTCATTCCAAGACAAATTTGTTCCATGGTTCACAAGTACAAGAAGGTTTGTGTTAATCCAGTTTTGATGTAAGGTCAGATTGTAAAAACACTACTCAACTCACCCAGAGTTAACTTTCATATTAAACTAAAATAACCTTGAAAAAATGTAAGGTTATGCTTATTGACATAGTCAAGAGAAATTAAAAAGCCCTCTTTGACTTCTTCCTTAGATGACCAAGGTCTGCTCACAAAACAGATTAAAAAGACAGAAATAATCAAAGAACATGAAATGTTACACACAGAATGATAAATAAGTTTATTTCTCATTTAAGTTAAGGACTCTCCACTTATAAATAAAAAATTATATTAGTTAAACCTTATATTTGGAAAAGGAATATCAAAAGTCATGTCTCACACCAAACATCCTTATATTAGTATTTGCAACACAAAAAAAAAATTAAATAAAAATGAAAATATATTTACACAACGGAGATTTAGGATATATATTTTAGTCCCTTTGTTCCTTGAAGGACAATCTCTCTTTTAGGTAGCTTCATATTCTCAGCCAGACTTGAACAGAAGAACAGCAACCTGTCCAAGGTAAAAGTAGATGAAATGCTTTGTTTCATGGGTGACATAGGAACCAAAGTTTCTCCCAACAATACAGTGCCATGTAGGGTTGTACTTCTTGTCAAACTCTTTCTTGATGTATGCTGCTATGTCTTTCTCGATGTTGAACTTTTCCATGGCTTGTGTGACACACTCTATGGCATCTGCCTGCATGTCCTCGGACATGTCCGCATTTTTAACCACTGCCTTCCTGTCCGACATCTGAAAATAGAACATAAATCAAACATTAACCCTAAGAGTAACTTGTATCTAATTTCTCTTTATAGCATCACCTTTCAATCACACATTAAGGTCACAAGAATAAAAGAAACCAACACCAACTAAACAAACTCTTGATTGTCAAAAAAATTCTCCTCGTCAGAACCTTTAATAAGAAAGATGTGGTGAACAGTATAGAGAATGATTCCTTTGCTTGCCAATATTCTTCAAAAAATCTGACTTCTAGTGAAGTTTGTTGACAAGATAAGACAACAACATTATAAGAATTCTAAATACCATAAGCACCAGAAAATAATAAAATTCCCTGGTCGATGCAAATTAAAAAATCAACAAGGTTAATTATAGTTTCTGTTTCCATGGCAACCAAGAAAACAAAATTAGAAAATTAGCCTGTCTAGAAATGCAAGGTGGCTGTTTGCTTTATCAAGTGCTAATTAAAGAATAAACTGAACCATATTACATTAAGTCAAAACAATGTTCATAAAAACAGAATGTCTGCCTGCATACTGATCTACCTTTCACATTTACTGTCCAAATTCTTTTCATTTATCGATCATTTATGGTTAACACGTTAAAAAGCCTAAATACGAAAAAGACAGCGAGTCATCGATCGATAGGCAGCATCCAGCTGATGATTTTCCTTCGCTCAAAAATGTCATGAGGAAATATAATGAGATATAACTCACCTTGACTATTTAAAAAAATATTCTATGAAAATATTGAGGGAATTATCGAAGAAACAAAACTCTCCTTCTTTGATCAATTGCTGAAAAAACTCAAATATTAGAAGGATATCATCTGAAAAGTGGGTTGCTTCCTGCTTAATTTCGATTGGATACGAGCCTCAAAGCTGAAGATTTGATTCGTCAATAATTAGAATTATTTCCACAGCCTATATCAACCCAGAATCCTACGCGTTTCTTTGCGTCACATTAATAAAGCCCCTGCTATCTCCCAAGGACTCCCTTGATCATTGGACGCGTGGTCAGCCATTTTCGAAAGAGCTTAGGCGTCCTTCTTGTGTGGCTCTCGTTTTCGAGAAAAGTTACTTGCTTTACAAATGATGAACCGAAGTAATAACAACAGTAGGCGAATTTACGTCGGAAATTTACCATCTAATGTAGATGAGAGAGATCTGGAGGATATCTTTTACAAATACGGCGACATTTCTGATGTTGACTTGAAGATTCCTCGATACGGAACTGGTGGCACGCCGTTTGCCTTCGTCGAATTTAGTGATCCAAGGTATGGAGATCTGACATGATGTCTTCAGTGACCTAATACAACTTTTTTTATCGACAATTCTTGTCAGCACTCAAACTCTCACTTTGCATCAGTCCATTTTCGATGCTAAGATGGGTTTGACTTCCTTCCCGGAACCTTTCTTTTGTTCTGCAATAAGCTCTCATCTCTAAACTTTGTTTCTTTTTTTTTCCTTTTTCCTTGTTCTTCAACCTTCGCCATTCAGAAAAGATTATAAGTCTGGTATTTTCAACGTGGCTGTTTACACAGCTATGCTGTTTATAGTGGGTCAGTAAATGTGTTTAGTGTAAATGGCTTGGCAAAAATGAAGTTGGAGAATTTTTCGAATACACTCTTTCCTTGAATTATTTTGCGGGTTTTTTCTTTAAGATTTTCCGTTTTAATTTTTATTGTAGTTAGAACCATATAAAATTCCAGGAGGTAAAAAATCGTTGCTTTATTTTTATTTCTCTAATGTCACTTTGTACAGAGATGCAGAAGATGCAGTGAGAGGGAGAGACGGATATGAAGTTGATGGACAGAGGATCCGTGTAGAATTTCCTCGTGGTGGCCGTGGTGGAGGTCGCTCTGGAGGTGGAGGATTTGGAGGTGGAGGGGGAGGAGGAGGCTATGGTGGTGGTGGTGGAGGAGGTGGAGGTGGTCGTGGTCCTCCTCCTAGGCGCTCTGATTACCGTGTTATGGTCTCTGGTTTGCCACCGACTGGTAGCTGGCAAGATCTCAAGGATCATATGCGGGATGCTGGTGATGTTCAGTTCACAGATGTTTTTAAAGATGGAACTGGCATTGTGGAGTTTTCTCGGTATGATGACATGAAATATGCCTTGAAACATCTGGATGATTCTAAGTTCCGCTCACATGAGGTACACAATTTTAATTGTTACAACTGCCAGTCTTGTACAGTACTTGGTTTGTCTTTTTCAGAGAAAAGTATGTATAATTGTTTTCATCATTTTTCTCTTTCTCTAGGGTGAAGTTGCATTCATCAGAGTCAAACCTGACAATCCAGGACGTGGTTCACGAAGTCGTAGCAGATCACTTTCAAGGAGCCGATCCCCAAGAAAAAGATCCCACTCTCGTTCCCACAGTCCACGTCGGTCTTATTCACCAAAGAAATCAAAGTCACCCTCAAGATCACCAAAGAAGAGGAAATCGGTCTCTCCAAGGCGTTCCAGATCCCGTTCTCGTTCCCGTTCATAGACATAAACTGTTTGCTGTGATGTATTATTTGTGTTGTATTACCACCAAGAAAAGGCTTTCACTTTAAACCCTTAGTTGTAGAAAAAGGACTCTTTTAATAATTCTATATTGTTGTGGCTAGTTAGATCTTTTACTTTTCCATGGTATTATTTTCAGGACAGCACAAGCACTTTCTGATATTGGAAAGGAAAGCTAGGAATGAAACATGTTTCAACAGTTATGTTGCTAAAGAAATCAAACTGGATAAGGAAACAGTGGAAATAAAATGACTCTTGGAACATTAGGACATGTTCTTTGGACATGGTATGCATGGTTTTAAGCTACAGTGATATTTCTTCAAGACCAAAAATACCCCTTTTTAAAAAGCAGACATTGTTTTGCACTTGTATTAGAAATACAACTTAGTTTTAAGTAACACCACAAGTTTGTTTTCTTTTCACCTATAGTTCACTTTGTATAGATTAGTTACTCTTTATGGCAACTTATGATTAAAAGATGAATAAGTTAATAGATTTGTTCAATTTTCCTAAAATTCATAGTCAATTAATTACAAGCCAGTAGCAATTTTCCTCCAGCACACTATTAAATGTTTGGGAAATTGAAGGGAAAAAGACTATTTTCAAGCGATTTTCATTGACAAGTTGACTTCTTTACAATCTTGTGACAGATAAAAAGCTGTCGTCCGGAGGAGTCCGGAACCTCTCATGTCAGTCAGTGATCACGGATCATTAGGATAGGAACTGGAGGTCAGCTCCAGTACAGTTTTGGGACAGAACACCGGAAACAATCAGGAAATCAAACAATCAGGAGTCAGTTTTTTGGAACTCTTTCAATCATCTGGATAAGGATTTGGATCTTAACTCATTTGGTAGTTGCCAACAATTTTGGAGGAAAATCACAGTTTGGAATGGAGGAATAGCAATCACTATCTTTCATACAAAATGGTCTTATACAGTATTCTTCTTTGGAGGGTAACCTAAATCTGGTATGAATTTTAAACATTCAGTTTTGTTTGAAAGACCTCAAATTTAGCGGAGTGAAAGCTGATCCCCAAAATTTCCTGATTCAAATTTGGACAAAATCACTAATTTTTGAAGTTTTCAATGAAATTTTCTGTTTTTCCCCAACCTTTCTGTCATAGTTATCTTGCTTGTTTTGTTTTTTACTACTGACTTTCTTGCTTCAGGTGCTGGGTATGCTATGCATTTGTTTCTAGCATAGAAATACAAGGGATTTTAGCAGACACAGCAAAAGTGCTTTTACATTTATCATTTAGTTTTCCATGCAAAGTGACAGCACATTGTGCTCTTCACTGAAATAAATTTCTTTCTGACTGAAGTAGTGGTTGATTGTGTGTGATCTTACTGCTAGTGTTGTTGTGGGACTAAGAAGCCTATTTATATTGCCAAGTGCATTGGTTAGGTAAGGATTAGATACCTATCGGGTGCATGTTGAAATTTCCAGGAAATAAGGCAATGCAAGGACATATTTCTTAACTAAAAGTGTGGCAAGGCAAGTTTGGCCTGAAATATTAGTGCTATGTCGCAATCCTCACCTGTTTAAATAGAAAGAGAGAATGGTGGATTTGATGGAATTTCATCCTCCAACTCAAGCAGACTAGAAATAAGCATATATGCTCCAACCGTAGAGGGCAGCATCATAGTATTAAGTGGTCACCCTTTCCAAAGCAGTCACTTATCAAATTCACTTCCCTCATTCTCTACAATTAATTACACCTCTTTCCTATGCTCACCACCATGCAGAATTGCAAATGCAGAAGTCTACAGAAATGCAAATGAATGCCTAGATGTTGATATTGATCCTGTTTCCCTTTATTCCATGCCTTTCCCTCTGATAATAAATGGACCCTTCACACCCTGCTCTGACAACTTCAGTGGACCATTCTTCTTCAAAGAAGAGATGGTCACCCTCTGGAATTCTCACTTTCAAGTTTGTTTTGATCCACCTACTAAACCCTGAGTAAACATGTCACTATGCAAAAATCTGAGTGCAGAGTAACAAAGTATCTTAATGCATTCTGCATGAGCACAACTTGAGTACATCTTGTACTTGTACAAGTCAAGTACAAGGAAAGAATCATCCTAGCGCATATTAGGGGAAAGTGACGTCAATAGGTAGTACTGGGGATGGACAAATTCCTTTCAACAGCTATGTCCAGACAAAAGTTGAAAACCCTTTCACGAGACTTTACACATGCCACGCGAAAATTTACATCCAGAAGTCAACAAAACGCAAACAAATGCCTAGATGTTGATATTGATCCTGTTTACCCCTATTCCATGACTTTCCCTCCAGTGACGAACGAACCCCACCTTGTTCTGATAATTCCAGTAGCCATTTTAATGGTTATCAGCGGAAGACTGGGACTCGAGGTTTCGATGTTTCAAGATGGAGGTCGGCGACGAAATCCGCGAGAGACAGTATGAAAGCAGTTTGTTGCTGTTGGCGGACGAACTAATTGACATGGTGCTATCCTGCCCTTTAATAGATCATAAGGACTTATGCTGCTGTGCGCAAGTTTGCACACGTTTGAACACTATTGCAACTGGAAATGAACTGTGGAAGAGGAAGGCCCTCTCTAGGTAATTAGGCTTACGTAAGGAAAATGTGTACGTGTAATTGGAACAAAAATGAGAAACTTGGTTTGCGTGGAAAATCAAAGGTATTCTCCGACGTAAAGCTGTTATTTCTCAACCTAGATATGTCCCATGACTAAGTAAAGACTCATATCTTCGTCTCTTTTTTTTTTTTTTCTTTCGCTTGTCCCAGCTGTGTTATTCTACGCATGAGTTGACAATTTATTGAGTTTTGGTATCCGCTACTTGAGTATGGGATATAAGCCAGTGCTCCACACTTGTTCCTTCTCTTTCCTGGGAGTATCACTCTGGACCAGACCATCTCGCTGACTCGGTGATCATGATTGAGTTCAGAGACCATCTCCTTGGGTACAGGAAGAGAGCCAGCGCTACTCCTGGCTCCTCCTGTCTCTGGGGAGAATCAAATACCAGGCAGGCTCAAGAAATTACCTGGAATTCTAGCCTGGCTCCATGAGTGGACGAGATGAAGTGAATTTTGTGTTTTGATTGGCTACTTGGTTGGTTAAGAAGGTTCCATTGCTTTACATATCAAATTTTAAAAAACACGATTGACTTTTAATACTTGTCTCCTACAGATGGCGGTTTTGGAAAAGCATGCCCAAAGAAAACTGGTGTGCAGTTTACAGAGACAGGCTGTTAACTGAACTTAAAATCCTTTCTGCTTTAGAGAGTATGTCAAAGAAATATTACAACAACCCTGAGGTTCACAGGAGAGAGTTTGACACATTTGTGTATTTAGGAAATGAAAATCCTGCCATGTCGTGTCATGTAAACAATACTCTGAGTGAACTTTTACAAGGAAATGATTGGTAAGAGACACAGTTATCACAATGTCGTGACAGCTTTAATTAACTTGCAGTTTTTTTTTATCAGTTAATACATATTGTATGAATGATGTTTTCATGCTTACTGAACTGTATAAGAATTCATTTCCCTCAAAGCTGTTTTTTTTTTTTTTGATAGATATAAAATGTTTCAAAACAGATGAAACATTGGCTTAATTTGCACTTTTTAAAGAACATCATAACTACTGTGACACTTTAAATATTGGTATGGTAGACATGTCACTAAAGAGACTGATATTTTGCAGCTGTTTTTGCTTTATAGTGAAGTCAATTTGACACACAGACACTATGCCAGAAAAGTACAATCCCAGCTGAAAATTTTTTCTATTAAGGACGAGTGGAAGAAATTTCTGGCATTACAAGAAGAACAACAACATCTTGAGAAAGGTGCATAACCTTTTTTTTTTATTTGGTGAACTTTTCTTTTTATAATTTTCAATCATTAATCAATTGATAATAATTGATTCTTTAAATATTAATCACGATTGGGTGTTTATGGTTTGGTCTTAAGCAAGACATATACCTCTTACTGTGTCTCCTCTGACCTTCGATTAACCCTTTTACTTCCAAGATCTCATCAGTAATCCTCCTTACTGTCTGCTATACAATTCTTATTATGTTAATTTAGAGAATGTGGTATTGAAGCAACTAATAATCCCTTAAATGATATTTTTCTTTATTGTTATTACTTGTGTGATTAATATTGTATTGATATTGTGAAGATAATTTATTTTTTTAATCACTAATGGGAGTTGAAAGGCCAAGGTAAAGGAACTGCAAGCTTTTAAGCTGCTTATCAAGTTGAAGAGATGGGCATCTTTTCCTAATGGTCTTATTGATGTTTCATGCAGTAGAATTTGGACTGAGCTGTAGCAGCAGTAACACTTACTAAACTTTCTCATGTTTTTATGTCAACCTTCACATTAAATTTTCTGGTTACAGGTGCTATGTTGGTTGTAAGATGGATTCTCAATGAAGAGGATATAAATGAGAATGAGACTTTCTCAGAACTTGATAGAATTGCACAGATGGTAAAGGAGAATCTGCATGGCTCCAACAGCAGTACACACACAGCACCCTTAATCCCACTGGAGGAGCAAATGACACAGAGTAATGAGGGGCTCACCTCAGTTACACATCCTGCAGCTTGTTTGAGAATATTGGCTTGTCTGAAGCAAGTTTTGTATCATCAGCTTCAGTTTAAAGGCTGTGTGGATGAATATTATAAAAAGGAGAACTCGATGCTCTTTCAGGTATAGTTGTCAACTCAGGTGGAATAAAGCCAACCTCCATTAGGAGGAAAACTGCCATGGAATCTCTTCTCTTAACCCTTTAACTCCCAGAAGTGATAAACATGTCATTTCTCCCTATAATATCCCTATATTATCCAGCAAACAGGTAATCAGAAACTCAAACTTATCAGTTAAAATTTGTTATCTTGATCAAATTTTCCTAACTAATTGATAAGGAAATGTGTTGCAGCTAGTAGGGAGAAATAGCTATCAGATCTTGTGTGTTAAAAGGTTAATAGACAGGTATTTCAAGATAAAGCAAAGCCATTGTGAAGCTGGATAATTTTCTTGGCCTATTTCCTTAAATTGTTTCTCTTTGTTGTTTATTTTTTATAGGTTGTTAAAAATAGAACTGGTAATCCCATCACTTTGTCAGTTTTGTTCACTGCTCTTGCAAGGAGACTTGGGGTTACATTAGAACCAGTGAGTACATAAAGTTTCTCTTTTTCGAGATTATACTGGGTAATTTTGTCATCATTCTGAATGAACAAGTGAAAGCTATTGAAGTGCTTTGAGGTACAGACTGAGATGGAACACAACACCCAAGAACAAGTGTTCAACCTCTAGTGGCTATGACCAGAAGCCCTGTTCCTCTCTTTCTTCATTTTTGAAAGTCAAAAACTGTGTTGCTAAATGTTGCTGTTTAAACTTACAAGAATGGAAATTGAGTAGTAGTGTATTGTTAAAAGCTTGGGATATTCTGGGGGGGAGCTACCTTCCATACATTCTCATAAATGAAATGGAAACAATGTTCTCGCAACTTGCAGAGCAGTCTCACTGGAAATTGTCAGGGGACAGCTCCATTGCAGAAGAGCACTACTTGTTTACAAGGAAAAACATGGCTGGTTATGTTGTAAAGATCTGAAGACGCTTTCCATTTTGTAACTAACTTCAGGCCAGGATCAATACTTTAAGGAAACTTTCCTTAAAAAAGGACAGGAAGAATGGTGGCAACGAAATATTTCCCACTCATAAATAACTAGCCGAGGTATATGAAGGGTTTGACAGGTTATTTTAAATTACTTTCCTCAACAAACCCCTAATTTAAAGTGACCACAAGTGCACTTAGTGGAGGTTTTTTTTTTTGAGCTGCAACTTACACTTCCTGATGAACACACTTCCCAGTTTTATTAGGGAGGCCGCTGACAAGCCAGTGAATTGTCTATTGTACAAGTTGTGAGATCATTGTTCCTCAGTTCCTAACCTTGTTGCTTCCTTCCCATCCTGGGATATTCATTTATTTTTATGGTATAAAATTTTTTTGTTGTAATATTTTAAATTATCATAAATCTGTTTTTACAGATAAATTTTCCAAATCATTTCTTGTTGCGGTGGAGATCTAACATGGACCCAAAGTATGTCTTATACAAGTTTTTTATTACTTCATACTGGTAGAATGATAAGTATAATAGAAGTTCCTTGGTGTGTCCTTTCTTTCCTCATAATTATCTACGTTTAGGACTTGATTTAACCCTTTAACTCCAGGAGGTGATAAACATGTAGCTTCTCCCTATGATATCTGCACATTCTCCAGTAAACAGGTGATGAGAACATTTAAACTTATCAGATAAAATCTGTTATCTTGATCTGACACTAAATTTCCATAACTAATTGACAAGGAAATGTTTAGCAGTTAGAGGGGAGAATGTTGACTACTAAATCTTGGGAGTTAAAGGGTTAAGTTCATCTGATATTACAATCAATTTAGTATCTCCCTTACCAAGCTCAAGTACTGAAACTTCTGTTTTTGGATAAGAGAATTTCAATGCCTTGTATTTTTAAGGGCAGATCCTTCTACAGTATATAGGTACATTGACTGCTTCAATGGTGGAAATTTCTTAACTGAAGCTCAATGTGTGGATATGCTTTTATCACCCTTGGCAAATGTACGAAGTTTTGGTAATGCACTGTTTGTTAGGGCTTCGCCTACACAGGTACTTTTGATAGTTATTGTTACCACTGTAACAGTAGTTATTTTAACTTAAGACACTGTTAAGTTGATTTATAAAAACCCTTCAGTCTTAGCAATCATGTTATTTGAAAATTTTTTTAACTTTCTGGACAAGTATTGATAAAACCCAATATAGTACTTTACACATGTCAACATCTGACACATACCAAGTTTTCCTTATGTGTGTGTGTGTCATGTTTTTAGGTATTTATTCGCATGGTGGCCAATATCATAAATAGCTACAGAATGGAAGAACACCCAGGTGGTCGGTAAGACACATGTTATAATTAGTGTTTTCCCTTATTTTGAGCATGACATGTGAAAGCAATTTTAAAAAATTTTTTACAAATTGTAGAGTCTGATTTTGGATACTAGTATTCTATTATGGCCACAAGTTTTCATATTTTAGATGCTAATACCTTATTTTAGACACTAGAATCAGATTTTAGACTCTAGTGTCCAATTTTAAATGCCAGTGTCTGATTTTGGACACTAATATCCCTTGTGTTTGTGTCCCTTCAGGTCATTTCCTGTGTACTGGTTCTTTTTTACTCTGGGTAATTCAAATCATGTTCGTAAATTCAGGACATTAGTCACAAATCAAACAGTCATTGGTCCAAAAATCTAGTTGATCTTGAAATATCTGTGTATTTTGTGTGTTTTTCAGTCTGTTATGTTATCTTTGCTTATAACCCATCCAATTTTTGCTCATACTGCAACTCACACAGAAACAGATTCAATTTTTCAAATAATCAACCTATAATCTGGGGTGGTATACTTGACCTGGACTGCCTACAAGCTCTTCATTAAGAGAAACACGCCACAAGAAGACAACAATTCTTTAACCATAAGTTGAGCTCTTGGTCAGACTGATTATCACTCTAATTTCTTCTTTAGATTGAGTGGTCTGCATTCTGCTCTTGACCTGATGCTATTTCTTGATCCTAATGATGAAGACAGTAGACTGCTGTTGGCCAGAATACAGGTTCATCTAGGTATTGACTTAGAAGAGGTTTGTTTTATTTCACAATTTCCTTGATTTTATAAATACTTTTAGAAGGCTTCTTGCTAATGGGTATCCATGTATAAGTGTTATTAACAAAATAGCATAAAGAAGTCTTAGGACACCTTAGCAGCGGCCAAGTTAAATGGCCCAAGAAAAACTACAAAGAAGTTTTTTGTGTGTGTGCTCAAAATAATTTGTTAATTTGGTGTTACAGCAACTTTTCAGTAACTTTATTTTTATTTAATAAAAACTCTACTAATAATTCTGAATTACAAAATGGTGAAAATTCTAGGATAAAAACAAGCTGGCTATGGTTTTATCTTAACCCAAAATTCATTTACAGGCAATTGACAGTCTTCAGATCCTACAAAGCAGTGCAAACCAAGTGCGTAAGGGAATATTGGATAATCTCCTTGAACGAGCCAACCAGAAAAAGAGAATGCAGGATTTGGGAGAAAATCTTCCCCCTCCAGTACGGCAAGAGATGTTAATTTACAGCAGTACATTATTGTCATGGCTTTTCATCCAAATCTTTTATATTTAAGAGTTGGAGAAGTTACATGATGGCTTCCACAACAGGATACTTAATGATCTGTAGGACCCAGCAGGCATAATGTTCAAGTTACCATCATTTTACCATACAAGCCAAACAGGGAAAATCATGGCTCTGAGATTTGAAGGGTGTTAAGTTATAAAACACTAAAATCACTGAGTTCCATTACACAGTTGGAGACTGAATTGGATATTATTTGACTTCACACTTTCTGTTAGCATTCACTTGAAGTAAACACAATTATCTTGTGAAGTTGGGTAAATTTTTGTAACAGAGTTATTGACTTTCCCTGAGGTTTTCTTTCTTCTAACAGCATCCAATGTCTAAACTGTTGTAGAGTTGATAATATAGCTTCTTCCAGGAATGTTTTGTTGTTTCGTTTTGCATAGAAACTAAGATCTGATCCAAGGAATTCTCAAGTTGGATTTAAAGTTGGAATGGTGATGAGGCACAAGCTGTAAGTTATGACTCAGCACAGTATGTATACTGGGTAGTTGTTCAACAATGCCGTTGACTAAAGACAAAGGGTCGCACTTGTGATACAAGTTGATGACATGACAAGGGAAACCAAGGGAACGTCCAAGCAAAAGATGCTAGGTCACTAAAGAAGTTGACAAAAGAAGGGGGTGGGGGCTGAACCCCTACTCCAAACACCCTTTCCTCCCCCACATGTCTATGCAGGCTAACTTATTGTCATTCTTGAACATTCTCCTCAGGTATCATTATGGTTGTGTTATTTATGGATGGGATCCTGTTTGTGAAATGGATGAGTCCTGGATTCAGCGAATGGGTGTTGATCAATCACCTGGTGGCCGCAATCAGCCTTTTTACAATGTGCTGGGTGATGATGGCTCACAAAGATATGCTGCACACAGTAAGCTGAATTTCTGGTTAATCAACATAATTTTCAAAAAAAGTTAGTGGAATTTCTATAAAATGGAAGGAAAAAACAATGTATGATCTAGCTGGCCATTAGGTAGTAAGAAGAAATATCAGAAGAATTTCAATGATCTTCGTCACATGGGTTGGTACACAGGTATTTTTTTTGGTCAAGTATGTGCCCCAACAGCTTAGAATTTAAAACTCATTTTAGAAATAATTATCATTCAAAATTATACCCTGTTTTGCAAAGAGGTCAATTTGTAGCAACTCTCACTAGAAAGTTAGTTGCATCTGATATTGTGATGCTTTGTTCTTTTGAAATATTTCACCCAGTTTTTAGAATCACCTGTAAATGGAGACACCTTTATGGTGTCTCTCCCTTTCTCCAGATCAAGGCCATTACCTAAGCCATATGTCTTTCTGTTAAATATTGATGAAGTCTTAAACTAATGAAAATTTAAATTCTGTGACACTTTCCCTCTTCATGCATAACATAGTGGGATTGTTAATTACTTCAATTTCCTTGCAGTTAATCTGAAAGAAGATCCTAATCAGCCTTTGAACCCCCATCCTGAACTTGGAAAGTACTTCAAAGGTTTCACCGGAACCAGATACATTCCAAATGAATGTCTTCAATGCCAGTACCCTGAGGATGTTGACAATTGATCTAAACTTAACTATTCATTTCAACAAAACATATTTTCAATGAAATATCTGTGTACTTAAGGAAAACACTCTCATCGATATGATGTTATGTGCAATATTATATCCCTACGCAGATTGGTTTTTATAAACCATAAATTCCAAGATTTTCTCTGGTGAAGGGCTAACACTCAAAATGTCAGCTTTCATATTCTTTATGGTGGCCAATTTATGTTACCCTGTTATACTCTCCCACTGACACAGTACCACAGTTTCTTTAGAAACTTATCCCCTTTATTCATATTCTCTTATGTTTGGTTATACTCAAACTGTACACTTTAACTGTAGCTGAAAGTTGCAATGTAACCACTGTATTATAAATGTGTAATATTTTTTATTGACTCAGGAATTAGAGTGCCATGGACTCAAATGTTATACAGTAATAGCCTATTTATTTCCTACATTTTGGAGTTAAGAAACTAAAGCAGCTACTTCTTATCTACAGGAATGATATTTATGCTTGAAGGAATAAGTTTGAAGAGAACCCCTTTAGGCACTAAGCCCTCTCACCTCTAGAACTGACCAACAAATAATTTCTTGTACCAAATCAAAAAGACAGCTGATTAGATAAGAAAAAAATGTCAATTTGATTAAAATTTCATCTGATAATTTAGGAGATCTATGCCAGAAAGTAAGAAGATTTGGCAGTAAAAGGGTGATTTCTACAACTTGTTGCTCTCTGTTTGGTGGAATCAAATATGTATTTTAATAGGTAATTTAGTGTTAACAACTGAGTTGAAAACGTAAATTAGCCACTGTAATGGGTAAAAAAGCTGACGTTTCAAGCATTAGCCCTTTGTTGTTGGAGGAAGAGCGTGTGGAATGCAGAAAGTGGAGGAATGATGAGAAAATGTATGAATTGATTTTAATACTCATCTTAAGAACAGAATTATAGCCTTTTGGACAGTTCCTTATTTCATCATCTTTAAATTAATTGTACTAGAAAAAGATAAGGAATATATAAGCAAAAGGATAATTTTGTATTGGAAATACTGTGAACCTCGCTATAGTGTGTGTTATGTAAGATGCTGCATAACTGTCTACAACACCATTATTGTCTTTGATTAAGGAGTTCCTTGGCTTCCTATGTGATAGTTGTTGATCATTTCGTTAACATTGGACAAGGCTGTTACAGACAACTATTTGAATTTCATTATCATGCAGTGTAAAGAATATGGTCACTTTGTACTGTATAGAACATACATACATAAGAGATCATGTAAACTAGAAAATATTCATTTGGTTTAAAATGAATTTATGAGCAGAGAGAAATAAAGAAACACAACAAAGTTCTCTTTTGTTTGGATGAGAATGATGTATTGCATTGTACAAGCTATTTTTGTCATGTACTTAATATATTATTTGTCATGTTGGCAGATTTTCTATCAGCTAACAATTTCCCCACCTCACTTTACCCTTCAGCTGGTACTGAGAAATGTTCTACCCTTATTGGCAAAGCTAACCTCGCCCCTCGCCCCTCTCCCCTTCAAATTTACTTTTTTATGGTACACTTTTTGTTATCAGGTCTGCCTTGGACCAAAAGGGTGTGCGATTAATTCTTTTCTATCATATCTGGAGAAGCTCGCTGTCCCCACTCCACCCATGACCCATCATACACCATAGTGTCCCTCTTTCCACATAGATGTGCTCCTAAAGCTATGATGCAAGCTGTGATTCCTGACCCACAGGTTGTAACAAGTGGATTTTGAAGATCAATTCCTGCTTCATCAAATACTTTTTTCAACTCCTCTGGATCTTTCATTAGCTTTGTTTCGGGTTCTAAGAATTTGGCATAATGGAGACTTTTTGAATGTGGAATATGACCAGATGGAAAGTTTGGGCGTGGCTCTGTTTCAGTTCCAAGGAACCTGCCAGGAGATCGTGCATCGGCTACTTGTATGTGTGGGTCTGAAAAATTGGCCTTCACAAAATCAAAGTCACAGAACATGCCTGGATTTAAGGTAGCTTTGAATGGTTCACCATCTGCTGAAAGGAAAGCGAATTTATTCATAAGTATAGTTTCCTAAGTTTTTTAGAGCGGATGATACCTGTGTAGCTTATTAACGAGAGTACACTTCCAGGAGAAGAAAGGAGAATTTACATACGAGTTACCTACTAACGAATTCACCTTCAATTTCGACTACATCCTCTGGACCTGATGAAATAGGGTAATCAGACTCGGCCTTCCACTTTAAAAATCCACCATCCAAAATCGATACCCGATCGTGCCCAAATGCACGGAACATCCACCAAACTCGAGGAGCCGAGAATAACCCAACTTTACTGTGATCATAAACAACAACATGGCTATCGTTGTTAATTCCTAGACTTCGAACGTAATTTGAGAAATCTTCGGTTTTCGGTAACGTGTGCTCATAAGGTGATGACTTGTCGACACATTCGTCTATGTCAAAAAACTTAGCCCCTGGGATCCGATGAGCTAAAAATTCGTCCTTTGGATTACGATTTTCTGATGGGAGATGCCAGGACGCATCCAAAAGCCGCATACATTTTGTGTTTTGAAGCATCAGTTGGCGAAGCCCCTGGGCTTTAAGAAGGGTCTGCACAGACATAGTGACGAAGAGAAAACAAGTACCCCAAATACAATAAAATTGATTCGAGATTTACACGGCGTTCCACGTTCTAAACGTTGGATAAGGAAAAGAAATACTGGTGACTAGTCCCCAGACTCTACGCTAAGAGACGTGTCAAAATGGCTGCTTTGGAAAAGGTTAAGATTTTAGTAGTTGGTGATTCCGGAGTCGGAAAAACGTCTTTGGTTCATCATATATGTCACGATGAATGTCTTTCAACTCCAGGATGGACAATAGGATGTACTGCAGAGGTAAAATTGTATGACTACAAAGAAGGAACGCCAGCAACGAAAAGTTTTTTCTTGGAGTTCTGGGATGTTGGAGGCTCTGCAAACCATGAAAACAGCCGGTCGATATTTTATAATGGCGTCAATGGATTGATCCTTGTTCATGATTTGACCAACAAGAAGTCATTCACAAATCTAAGGCGTTGGTTAGCAGAAGTGTTAGGGTCTGGGAAAGAAGGGAATGGCTCCTTTAGCGCTAAGCAGCCACAAAAACAGCCTTCAAACAGAGACAGTTGGTTTGAGTTCTCAATTGACATAGGAGAAGGTTATGACTCAGAGCAGTTTGCTGGAAACCAAATTCCTGTCATAATTGTGGGTACTAAACTAGATCAGGCAGGAACTGCAAGAATTCTTACCTCATCCAGGGGATTGAATCTTGCAGAGGAAATTGGAGCTGACATGATAAATCTGAACTCTACTGATATAAGACAACTTAAATCTGGATCTCTCAATGCCAGAAAGCTGAATGCTTTCTTTGATAAAGTAATTGAGAGGCGATTCTATTCCCGTGAAGTGCCACAAGTCCAGCAGTCAACTGGTCTTGCCGAATCACCTAAATTTTATGATCGTTCAAGTAAACGTAAAATGGTTTAAACATTCTTTCAGGAAGAAGACTGCAGTGATTAGATCACATTTAATTGTAAATTCCTCTGGAAGAAGTTTCTTTCAACAAACCTAAAATTAGCCTCTTTTTTTCCTTGCTTTGTCAAATATATTTAGCCCCTCAGCTGACTGCTTATCAAGGGCCACTGAATTTAATGTAACTTGTTGAGCTAGATGGATTTATTTTCAGTAAACTCTCGCTTTCACAGATTATGTTTTGAAAATTCACATAGATATATGACTGAGAATTGGGTTATACTGAAATTCTTTTATTTTGTCATTTGCAATTTCTGTGGTTTTCCTGACCTTCTGACTGTGTAAAAGGGTTGTTTATTTTACCACATTACAATGTACCTAACACCTTGATTAGGTGATATATATGAGGATTCCAGGAAATAAATTGTGGTTGAAATTGATTGCAAACCAATGGTTAAACAAAGACAAAAGTTTCATTCTTTTCGCTGGACATGTCATCTTATAAATAACCCAAGATCCTTTAATCCAATGGATATACCGAACCAATGACTATATTACATGGTATTTTCCTTTTTCAAAGAGAAGGTAAATATGACATGACTGGATGAACGAATCATTCATCATCTTCTGTTGATTTCCGTTCGCGCAATCCCCTGCGAACCTTGACCTTTCTTTTCAAAAATGATCCTTCTTGTTTTTCTACTGTTGCAGAATCAGATACATTTTCTGTCTTCTCTGTGGAATCGTCGGAAGCTTCCTGGTCTTGCAAGTGATCAAGTTCGACCGAATCCTCGGGAGACCGAAGTGGGTTCTCAGCTGAAGACAGCTGTGTTTTGGGAACTTTGGCCCGAGATCGTCCAACTACATATTCCGCCATAACGTTCACACCCTCCACAATCTGTGAGCGGGGAGGTGTCTCATCGACCTCCATTTTATGCTTAATGGCTGATTTCGAGAACACATGTTTTTCAGTCATCTCCACATCGGACTCTGAATTTTCTTTTGGAGCATTTTCTTTCCTATTGCGGATCTCATCCATAAAAGAGAGAGCAGCGTGTCTATTTAGTGCATCACCAGACATTCCAGGAATCTTATCACTCCCATCTTCCTCCAGACTGTATTTGGTCCATTTCTCAGGGTGCAAAATATGATCTGGCACACGTCTTGGCCGACTCGGCAGACGAGCGCCATGTGGTTTACGCTCGATTTCACTATCATCAGCTTTTTGTTCTGGTTCAAGCTTGTCTAGGCATCCAAATATGGAATTACTGCGACCCTGGAAATCACTATCCCCAGATATTCGTAGAAAATCCTCCTTTTTCTCCGCCATTACACTATCCTTGAGATCACCGATCGCACGTCCTTTCCGCCATATTGGATTCCAGACCTCCTCGTTTTCCCTCGCTTGGAAACAACCGCCTCGTTCTTGAGTGTTTAGATGGCAACCAAAATGGCGGACAGAATTTAAAAATAGTTATAACACTAACATGACCGAAAGCTTTCCCTCCTTTAACGTTACTGCTGCGTTTCACTCGCAGCTCAACACTTTATGCATCCGAGAATTTCCTTGTGGCTATGGAAGTTGGGTGAGCAGAAATTTGAAATTGTATTAGGCTTAAAAATAACATGACACTCTGTTTCTAAATTAATAGATTGCACATTTTGTAGAGAAATGTTTGCGTGAAGATATGATCTGAGACTAAACTATTTTCATTTTTTATATAAGAGAGCGCCTAATGTTAGCAGTAATATAAGTTTGAAGAGCACTGGTATACTGAAGGGCACAAGATCATCTGCAACAGTACCAGCCATTTTAGCAGGTAATTAGCTACGAAGTAAGTACGTGTAAGAGATTTTGCAAACTTGGTAGGGAAATTTGGGGCCGAGAAATCAACAATTTTTCTACTGGAAAGTTCCCTTGTCCCAAATCTTTACCATTGCCAGCATAATTCATATAGTTCATGTACTTCTTTTGAACAGAAGGATATTCTTTATACATGGCTGCTAAAATAGATCAACTGTCTACATAATTATGTACATGTACGTACCAAACTGTTGGTTTTCTTGACTCTCTCTTAAACGTGAACTTCTGAAATCCCTTTCCTCTTTTTAATACATATACCTCCAAAATACTTTTTCTTTCAAGCTACATTTTCATTAATTGCATCAATGTAAGGCACTGTAACGCGTACGTCAAAATCGTAATTGCAGAAACAACTTCAGTACATTTTTAACAATTCCAGCCAGTTTCACTATAAACTAAAATAGTTAGATTTTGTTTTTTTCTATGTATGATGAACTGTCCCCATTCGGAGATTTCATCACTGCTTTATAGTAGGCACATGCAATAAATGAAGGGGGCAAGTTTTTAGAGAAACTGTGGAGCTGCGTCAGTGGGAGATGTTACACAGGGTAATTTAGTGTTATCAACCCAGTTGATAATGCAAATTGGCCACCGTAAAGATTTCAAAAGCGGAGGCTTTGAGCATTAGCAATTCAATCGCTCTGACAAAGGGCTAATGCTTGAAACATCAACTTTTAAACTCTTTACAGTGGTTAATATATATTATCAACTCATTTGATAATACTAAATCACCCTGTTCTACAGGAAATAAATACTGACATTCATTCCTTAATTAATTTATATGCATATAAATGAAAAAATTCACTTATTCATTCATTCATTCAGAAAAAAAGTAGAGGTCCTGTATCTTGCAATTATTTCTTTTTTTTTCCTGTTCCTTGATAGAAAACAGTGCTCAGTTGGAGACAGTTGAAAGTCTTCAAGAGCTGGCTGTAAAGAGTCCTTATGGTGTGGATTGTACATGGAGCAGTGAAGCTGAGAGTTTGCGTGAAATTGCTGTCAAGACACCAGATAAACTTACAGAAGCTTTTATTCTGAAATTCTTTAAGTCCCTTAGAATTGTTGATAAAAAGGTGGTTACATCATGTCTTGTCGTTTAATTTACCAATACTTGTCAACTTGATAATGAAAATTAAATTAAAACAATTTTTTGAATATCCAGTATAAGTACTGCCTGTTTTCTACTGATAATATACTGTTATTGAATGATCAAAGCTATTGCAAAGATCAGCTCTGTAGTAATAGACAATGTATGTGTTCTGTCTTACTAAAAAAAGTGAAATAAGTATCACATGAATTTTTAATGGAATTTCATGTATTGTTGATTGTTGTAACAAATGATATCTAATTTATGGGTTTTTTAGAGCAAATTTCATTTGATTACTAGTAATATTTTAGTAGTGTTTTTAAGCCAAAAATCATTGTTGGTCAATTTCCATTCATAAGTCATATTGTGTCTATTTAATCAGGTCACTGAAATTGATGATGGTCTTCTTCAACTGAGAAATCTAAAACAACTTACCTTGAGTGCAAATTTAATCAGGAATATTGATTCAAAGAGACTTCCAAAGGGATTAGAGGTATGTTCCTTATATTCACCTCATAATGATTAAGAAATATGGTTAAATAGAAGAAACCAAAAAATATTTATATTTTTTACAATTCTACTTTATCTCCTCTGTTTAAAATTGATGAAAAAATAAAGAACATCATGAAAGCTAAAGGTCTGTGGAAGTTGAGGATGTCCTAACGGTGTAATTTTTACTTAATAAATTGAAATTGAGAGCCTAAAATTCAAACTATTCACTGTTTTCTATTTCCAGGAGTTGGAACTTGCAGCCAATCAAATCTCAGACATCAGTCCTTTGTGTGTATCCCCCCCACCCCTTATCCATCTGGGAATCAGCTACAATCTGATTTCTTCTATCACAGGACGTATGAAAGCAAATTCATGGTACTTATCACAACATTTTCACATCTAACTATATTAGATGCTGGACAAACTCTTTACCCAATGGTTATCAATCTCTTTGCAAACTAATACTGGCTTCATGCTCTCGCTTGAAGCCACTCTCACTTTAAAAACAAGTAAATCACAACCTTGTCCACACCTGTCCTAATTATTAGTTTACTGAACTTAGGAATAAGGTACATGTTCATTCTCCAGCTGGATCATTGTGGTTCTTGGTTAGGAAACCTGACCCTGACAAGTGCCTTTTTTTCACCCAGGGGGAACACATCAATATATATTTAAAAAAAGAATTTTTGTACATGACTCTAGGAATTTTGAAAGTTACTTAATTCATATTTAGTCTATGTGGTCATCAGATGAAAACTACAGACAAACTGCTTTTAAAAGATTATTAAAACTTTTTTTTTCCTTGATTTCCTATTTAGGCCACAACTCTTATCTCTGGATTTAAGCTTCAATAATCTTGCAGATTTATACAACACCATCAATGTGCTCAAAACGCTACCAAAACTGAAGAACCTTGTTCTTCAAGGAAATCCTTTAGCAGTAAGTTTTCAAATATTTGCTATTCTACCTTCCCTGGGTATGACTCTTGTAGAACAGCATTTTGAGAAAAAAATTGGTGTATTTCATTGCTAGGTATATTTTTATAAAATTTTGCCATCAATTTGTTAACATTGGCACGTAAGAGGCATTTTGATTTTAAATCAGAAGGGTCCTTAGGAGAGACAAGCTTCAAGTTATCAGGAAGACACAGTTCTCTGGGTTGAACTTGCACAGCTGCTTAGCAGATGATAGTGTCATTTGATTTTCAATTGTTTCCTAAACTAAGTGTCTTGCATTAATTTTTGCAGCTTGTACCAGGTTACCGTGGTTACACAATTGACTCCATTCGTCAACTGACAATTCTGGATGATATCAGAATATCAGCTGATGAAAAGCATTTTTTTAAGGGGCTCTCAAAACTGAAAGGTAGGCCTCTGTTTCTCTCCATTTGAAAGGTATTGATCATTAAATTTTAGAAGTATTACCATAAGTGATAGTATTAAAAGTAAAGTAACATCAAGCATATGGCACTAGGTAAATCTTAAGAATACTCATTGATCTTTTTCAGATGTTCCAGTTGATGATGCTCAGATACTGGTGTCCATTAAGAACATTAAAGGTGTTAAAATACCTCCAGAGATTGAGGTCAGTTTAAACTGACTGCTATTACTACTGGTTGGAGAGGGTGTATTGAATAAGATTGCTCTATACTGAAAATTTTAGGGTTTGAACTCAGACCCTCTCAACTTCAAGGCCAGCTCACTTATCACCCAATGATTTTACTTCCTCCAGATCAAAATACATTTTTAATCCTTTAACCCCCATTATCATAAAACTTCACCTTGTGGTTTGAATTTGTTATCTTGGAAAATGTTACAAAAACAGACAAGGTTATCAACTAGAGGGTGACCACAAAAATTTGTGATATTGAGCATCTTTTCTAAGTTGACATGCTGGTATTAATTTGTTATAAAATGGGGGTGTAGTGCAGGACACTCTATCAGTTAGGAACAGCTATTGTGTAACCAGTGCTACTACCATTACATTTCAAATGACTTTTGTTCTACAGGATCCTGAAATAAATACAGACTACCCCAAGACTGAACACAAATATCATGTAGAATTCCACTTCCTTAAAAGTGCACCCACAACTGGGTTGTGTGAATCACCTGCCCTGTCAGTACCAACCATCTCCATCACTGCAGATGATGCACAGAGCGAAGTCCAGGAAGAAGGCACAGTTGAAGAAAATGAACCTAATGAAAACTCTGGTAAGTTAGTTTGTTGATAATTATAGTTAAACTGGAATGTTTTTAATTTGGATCATAGCTCTAATGGTCTATGAGTGAATGACTTGCCAACATTGACAAGTCTTTTCTCCTTACTTGGCTGTATTATTAATTGCCTCTCTCTCTCCCCACCCTCAGTACAATATTGATTTTTCTCTATCTAATGTAACATTTGTGGCTGTTCAGTACTGTTTTTTTCCTCAGTGAGGGTACCCAGTTCTTTTGCCTCTGATGGTAAGATTAGGTTATTGATCTTGCATGGGAATTTATTTTACACAAAAATAGGCAACATAACTGATGATCCTTTGCAACCTAACCTATTACTGCTCCCTAAATATTAATCTCTCAAAATTAATTCACTTGGATGTCAGAAGTTAGAAGCAGTTCTATGCCAGAGAATCATCCCATGGTTGATATATGGAGCAATGGGCAGAAATGCTGAATCTTAATGCAATTTACAGGCATTCTAATGATGTTTTTCTTTGCATTAATTCATTATCAATAATATATTATTCCTTACAGGTTTGTTCCAATCAGTAGCAACAAGAAGTTTACCATGGAATGAGGACTGTATAGAACTTGACTACAGCAAGAAGTTCCACACTCGTTTGTTGGTCCCATTGAGAGACTTCATTAAAGATGGAATAACTTTCACTGTTGTTAAAACCAAACACATGTATGTTGTGGAGGACCCTAATGCAACAGCACAGAGTGAAGAAACCAAGCTACCAGCTTCAGCTAAAAGTAAGATAACACACTTCTTTGTGGTGCTACTACCGTGAAAAAAATTGCACTTCTCAATCTCTCTTGATTTCCAATGCTATTTTCAGCTAAGAGGCAAAATGCAAATTATTACAACTCAATTTAAAAAAAGGAAGCCTGTTGAGGCAGTGCTCTGGATGCTGGTGTGAGGTTTTCATGGCAACGTACTCTAATCTGCTGTTTTTTGTGAATGGCATATATATAACTTCAAAATCAAGTTGTTGTTAGGAAGATTTATCACTCAAACCCATCAGTATTAAACAAACTTATTTATTTAGTAATGAATTATTGCAATGTATGAGTATTTTGGATAATAGTTGATTAAATATTTTCTCTTCTCTCTACCCAGGTCGACCAGGAAGTAAAATGCAGAAAGTTCCCAGCAAGGAGAAGAGAAAAGAGTCAGCAAAACCAAAAGAGAAGGTTTGTAATTCAATCAACTATTCCTCAGAAAAAATTTCATAACTAAGGAAAGAAGTTTTTCCTTCAAGGTTGTGTGTGCTTTCCATATTTAGTTTGATTATCCTCCACTGGAATATTGGTTATGTTCTGATGTGTGAACCTGAAAAGCTGACTTTCAATGGGAATTCAAAGCCTCTTTTTTAACCTTTTAACTCCTAAGATCTCAAGTAATTCTCCTTACTGCCTGCTTTACAATTCATATGGTGTTAGTTTGAAGAATTTGGAATTGGATCTACCAATAATCCCTGATTGAAATTTGTCTTTATTCTTATAACTTGCCTGATTGATATTGTACTGATAGTGTAAGGAGAAATTCTCTCTGGGTCACAAGTGGGACTTAAAGGATTAAAGCAAATGTGAATGTTTATGGGACGAGTGCCTGAATTAAATCTTCCAAACAACACAATGTAAATTTTTAATTTAAATTTCCAGGCCAAGGATGGAAAAGGCAAGAAAAATAAACAGGAAGATGTTGAGTTATTTGAGCTTCCAAGAACTCGCTACATACTGGGATCTTGTCAAGTTCCACTGAATTCTTTACTGGAAGGAGAACTGGAAGTGGAAACAGAGAGTGTATGTGAAGGGGGAGAGGAGACCGGAGATAGTGATAGAAAAGATGCAGGATCTGGTTCCAAGTCTGATGTTAGTGACAAGAAGAGGCAGAGCAAAGGTTAGTTAAAATTTGGTGTGTGGTGGTTTTCAGTGATATGTAGTGGCCTAGAGGTTAGTGTGCATGAGTCCAGATTAAGAACTCTAGGTAGAGCCCTGACATGGTCCCTTTGTTGTGTTCCTGGGCAAGACACTTTACTTTCATATTGCCTCTCTGCACTCAGGAGTGTACATGGGTAAAACTTCTCTATCCAAAAAATGTGACAAGTACTAAGAGGCTAGCGGTGATGAACTAACATCCAGCCTGGGGCAGAGTAGGAGAGTAGCATTACTCTATCACATTATGCTGCACACAATCATTAACAGTACATGGGCCATGTAGCCTCTGGTTTTGTTATAAATATGACTTGTGAGAAAGTGAGTTTATTTTTCTCTTTAGATTCTACTGATAAGCCATCGAAAGGGAACCAACGTGCAGGTACTCCAGGAAAAGCAAAAGGCGGCCAAGGAAGGTCAAGCAAAGATGATAAAAAAACAAAAGAAAAAGATAAACAGGAGGAAAACGTGGAAGGTGAGGAAGAATCAACTTCTCCACCACCATTGACAATACAAGTGCAGATCAAACTTCATTACTGGAAATCTGCCAGGGAAGCTGCACAAGAGTTTTTACCACAAGGCATCCCCTCTCACACAGAACAAAACTAAGGTCACCTCCTTGAACCCCACCAAAGGAAAGAATCATTAACAATTAATTTAATTAAAAATGTATTTAATTTTTTACACCCAACTGTTCAATAGTTGTATTTTTCATTATATCAACACAGAATTGTGAAGCACATGTCTAAAAGTGTAGGTTTTGTACATAAAACTATCTCAACTTCGTTTTGTTTTATAAATAAATTACTGCCCTCCATGTTATCAGATGCTACTCCATTACTTTCATGAGCCTTGTTTACCAGAGTCAAGAATAGAAAAGAATGAAAGAATTAAAATTCTGAAAAGTACAATGACTTAAATTTTCATAAAGTTGATGCTTTTAAACTTACTTTGGGAAATATTTTGTGAAGTTTGAGAAGTGTTATGCACAGTTCTGATTGCTGGCCAATGATTATTGCAGTGCTTATCAAACAAAGACTTGCACAACTCATCAGCACCATCACCAGATTGAATGGGCTAATAATGTTTCTGAAAATCCTTGGTCTATTCCAGTTCATTGATGTTAACTGCCAGAATACTATTGTTATCAACCAGCAAATCTCTATTTAATATTCTATTTTACTTTATCATTGCTCATATTCTTTTAAAAGTCTTGCAGCAATGACAATTCTTTGCACTTCACTTGTTCCTTCATAAATCTCTGTGATTCTTGCATCGCGATAATGCCTCTCAGCAGGCATATCAGTAACATAACCCATACCGCCAAGGACTTGAATGCTCTGGAGACAAAAACATCAAATGATCATCTTTGCTTCAGGTTGCAACCATCCAGAATTATGTTTACTATACAATTGGAGATTTTTTTTTCCAACATAAACTGCACTTATTGACATTTCAAATACCTCCCCAATGAAAACACACCAAAAAATAAGCATAGTGCAGAAAAGTTAGGCTGTTATTTAAGGAAACCATCACTAAGGGTATATAAGATTGACAAAAGACTTAATTGTGATGATGTTAATTACAAAAATATTATGGGGATTAACCTGATGCTGAGAATTTAATGCATTCTGTACTGAAAGGGTCTATGGAGTCAACCAAAATATGAAAAACGAGTGGTTTTGCTTTTTGTTTTGTCTGACATTTTGTCTGATTGAAGCTATGAATAAAAATCAATGTGAGCTAATACTTCAAGTTGAGTTATTAATTATTTAAAGGATATTGAAAAGTGTATGGAAAAAATAAAAAATACCTGATGAGAAATGTAAGTAGCAGCTTCAGATGCTGCAAGTTTTGCCATTGCTGCCTCCTGAGAAACAATTTTCATGATTACAGTTACTGCAAGGTTGAACCATTGTGTTAATCCTTACCAGCATCAGACCATAAGGGTCCAAGGCTTAAATCTTTGTTTTTACCAAAAAACGATTTAAAAATTGACCCATCTTGATATGTTTATCAAGCATACCTTAGTGAAGTTTTCTCCTGCATCTTTTAGCATTGCTGCTTTCCAAGTCAGAAGTCTAGCACTGTCTAACTTTACCTCCATATCAGCTAGCTTCATCTAGAGAATACAGTAATAAAAAAAAAAGACAGGAAATTTGTGTTACAGAGATGTAGTAAATGTAATTCTGTCCATTTAAATATTATAACTACATCTATTGATACTCAAGTTTTAGTGTGGCTATCAAAATGATCTGTTTTCCTTAAAATACCAGTAATTACCTGAATTCCCTGTAAACTTGCAATTGGCTGTCCAAAGGCACTCCTTTTTTGAGCATAGTCAATTGCACATTCTAATGCAGCCTAAAAAACCAGATAAGTTCTTTGATCAGTGCCAAGACAATTGCTTTAATTACCTTATGTTACTTAATGTTATAAACTTTTCATGCTATACTATACAGACAGCAAATTCCAAGCTTAAAACTCTGATTGAGTCGTCAGCATCTTCACTTAATTAGTTACTCTATTACCTATCATGAAAACAAAAACTATGCGTGCTAGGTAAGTGATATACATGTGCAGTATTATTACCTGGGCTATTCCTAATGCTTGCCCTGCAATACCAATACGACCTGCATCAAGTGTGGCCTAAAATTGAACACATACATGTCTAAAATGTGTATTGACTTATATATATATATATATATATATAACACTTTCTGTGCAGAAAACTGTTTTAACCCCCATAACACCCTTCTATAAGTATTCATATTATCACTGATTTCTCTATATTTCCTGTGGTGATGACATGGAGAATTTGTTTGACAACCATGAGCTTCTTAAATTGGTGGTTATTTCCATTAATCTCAGGACATATACATTTAACATAAGGGTGATACTGCACGGAGAAGTTCGAAGCCAGTCACTCTTAGGGGTTAAAGGTAAAGGAATGGGTGGGAGTACATTCTGAGATTGCCAAATAAGAGCTAGTCATAGAAAAAGGTTTGGCAAACATTTTACTGCCTTTGGTCTGTCTTTAAATATTTCAAGATAACTGAACAATAAGGGCACATACTTTTGGATCAAGAGTTAGTTGAATTTTCCATTACAAAGAAAATATTGTATCTTTTACATTAAATATTATATAAGCAAATGAAAATCAAATCCTTGAATTAGAAGAACATTCTAACCATTGCTATCTTGAATCCTGCTCCAAGTTCTCCAAGAAGATTTTCCTTTGGAATGAGGCAGTTTTCAAAAATAAGTAAACAAGTAGAAGAGGCTCTTATTCCCAACTTGTCCTCTTTTTTTCCAAGACTCAGCCCCTCGGTAGGTTTGGGTACAATGAACGCACTGATTCCCTTGTGTTTCTTTGATCTATCTGTTGTGGCAAACACTACTGCTGCTTCAGATTCATAACCATTAGTGATCCAGGCCTTTGTTCCATTTAAAACCCAATGATCTCCTTCTAAGTAGGCAGTGGTCTTAGCAGCACCAGCATCACTACCATTGTCTGAAAATGCAATCAAGACAAAACTTAGTTATCTGAGTCCAACAAATTCCAAAGAGTTAATGGTTTGAACCCAGGGGTAACATGTGATACTGTAGTCTGGTCATCCAGGTGAGTGTAGTCCTGAAAAGGACTGTTGTTTGTAGTGGTGACTGACATTCAACAACCTGAGCAGTATTCATCATCAGAGTCAAGTAAGTGATTATGACTTCCACTCAGGTGGTCTACAGTTCCTCTCATATTAACCACACCCACCCGAACAATCATGTGATCCCAAACTATTACTTAACACTCACAAATAAATACTATACCATGATGAGTGCCTATCTTGCTGTTCTAACCAGTTGTTGCTTCCCGTGGAATATAACAATAAAGAGAGTTTTCTGAGAGTGTGAAACATTTTGATTAAAGTAACATTACAGTTATTTCACACATCCATTAATTCTTAAAATAAATACCTGGTTCACTGAGAGCAAAACAGCCAACTCTTTCTCCAGAGCAGAAAGGTGTAAGCCACTTCTTCTTTTGTTCCTCTGTCCCATATTTGAGAATAGGACCAAGATAAAGGGACTGAAAAATAACAAACCACAATTGATTTCCCTTTAGCTCTCATTAAAATACTGTGATACAATTCACCAGATGAAACAAGAATTCTAACTTAATAAAACTGTTAACACATTGTCAGTTATTCTAGTTGTGATGTGACTGTTACTAGTAATTTCCAAGGTTGTGGTGTCAATGTGGTAGTTCCCATCAATTTTATCCAACAAAAAAAAATTATAAACATTGCCAAGTTGATTAAAACCCCATCTCTCAATCCAGAGTAAATTGCACTCTTTGCATAATTATATAACCTATGGATGATATAACTGGCCCAAAAATACCTTGTTTTACACATTACATATCATACATACATTATTCACACTCATGATAACCCCTGTGGATGCACAGCCTCGACTGATCTCCTCCATTGCTATAGAATACGCCAGATAATCCAGTCCTGACCCTCCTAATGATTCAGGAACTTCCATTGAGAGAAGACCAAGTTCCCCAATCTGTTTGACCTATGAAAGAGAGATTTAATGGTAAGTGGACAAATCTTATTGCACTATTATTTTTAGAGCCATGGTTTAATATCTTATTTAAAGTTGGGCAGGAGAGAGGAGGGGATAGGAGTAAGGAAAGTGGGAGGGGGTGGGGGAGGGGGAGGGGAGAAGGAGTGTGGGGGGGGGGAGGATACTATGCAGAGTTTCCAATTGACTGACTGAATACAAAAAATTAAAATATGGTACTAATGTGGCAACAGTTTGGTGAGACATGTCCCTCCTACATACCTCTTCTTATGTACAATTTACATAATTGACCACTAATAAGTCTCTGTAACTCACGCAATCTGTTACGCAACCATCTCATGAGTTAAAACCATTGAGAAAATGTGCATTTTCATCCAAAGCAAAGTTCAAATTATAGTGGCAAGAGACAGATTTTCGCATGAATTCTTCAAATAGTAGCCTCATACCTTTACGGTCTTTACTTAACGAGGTCTTCAAAGGAAAAAATTTAAATTTCATTTCCATGACGTATGGTGCAATGCCAAACTACAGTTTGCATCGTACACCATTAAGAGTTGATGTTTAAAATTAAAATTGAGTTTCCTTTATAAATTCAAGATAAAAAAATAGACATTTCAAATAACTCTACCTGTTCTGTAGGGTATCTGTGATCTTTATCCAGATTACCGGCGATGGGTATAAGTTCGTTGTCTGCAAAATCTCGACAAGTTTTTCTCAACATTTCATGCGTTTCGGGAAGTCGAGCAAGACTGGCCACATGTCTTCTCAGTGGTATACATTTCTCAATTCTCAACCTCGGTAAAAGGCCGTAAAAAGAACTTTTTGAAGAGATAAGAGAAGAGAACAGTTTTCGAGACATCTTCGTCGCCATCTTTGTTGACCTTTGGAACCAGGCCGTGTAGGTATGTTATGCGTGGATGTGATGTAAGAAACCATCATATGAAGTGCATTGAAGTTGTGTCTGTCTCCATCCTCTTCCGATCCATTGTTTACTGCGTCGTCCAATAAGGTTTGCTGAGAATTAGGGAGCAGCATGTTAAGCGGAAGATTTATTTCATCGTTTGCTGTTTTAATACCAACTGCTTCCTCGAATTTCAACTTTGCAAGAAGAAAATCATGGCTTCTTTTGGGACAATTCAACAACTATGCTAGCAGCGTCAAAAACAAAAGTCAAACAGGAAGTAGACGTTGCTGGAAGTGCAACAGTGAGATAAGATCAGGGGTAGAGTTCTTCTGCCCCTCTTGCAACATCATTCAAATGCTACCGAGGAAGGTGACTTATTTTGAGCTAATGGGGAGGTAATGAAATGTCAGCTGTTAATTCACATGTCATTCTTCCTTTCAGCCAATCACATTTTAGATAATGAAGGTGTAAAAGGTCAAAGGTGAGAATAAAACAAATTTCCCAAGGACTGGGATGCTGTGGGCTGACAGAATTTGTGTGGCTCCACCAAAAATCTTGAAATTTTTTCTTTTTTAACAGCTGAAAGTGAACAAAACTTAGCATGATGCATCTGGGCTCTTAGCTGTCTTACTTAAAACTTGATACAGTACCTTGATGATGATTGTCTTGGTATGAATTGGTGAATGCCACAACAGACCCAGAATATCATATGTTGTCAAGCAGGCATTTATAGGGAAGTGGTTAAAACTTCCCTTTCACAACTTTCAGAGAGGATAGAGAGATACAGGAGATATAAAAATGAATATCTCAGTTTTGTGTCCCTTTTGTAAGTCTACTCAATATAATATAATGTGTGATCCTGGGCTTGTACTTGAATTACTAACAAGTTATAATTATTTCTGTTGATACAGTCCCACATCATTTGACATTGATACCAGGCAGCTGACCCAACGTTATAAAGAATTACAATGGAAACTACACCCTGATAAATTTAGTGATCTATCCAAGGTATTTTCAATGACTTTGACAAACAAAGCTGATCAAAAAACGTTTGACAAAATTTTTAGTTTCTAATTGAAATCAATGTATAATTTATAATTATATCAATTTACTTTGATTTCATCACAGAAAGAGCAAAGCTTATCTGAGGAACAATCATCTTTGGTAAATGAAGCTTACCAAACTCTTCTAAAGCCACTTACTAGAGGGCTTTATCTGGTACGTTCATGTGATGTATCAACCCTTTGACCCTAAGAGTGACTAACATCTAATTTCTCCTTACAGTATCACCCCTGAATTACACATTGAAATCATGAGAATAAAAGAAAATGATCAGGGACTAAAGCAGCTCTTGATTGTTATCCAGATTCTCCTTGTCAGCACCTAAGGAAATGTACAGAGAACAGTATGGAGAATATGTATGCTGATGTTAGGGTGTAAAGGGTTGAGTTCACTTGTCAACATACAATACCTTAACCCTTCTGCCTCCTCCCCCTCAAGATATAGGTATCAATTCACTTCATTGTCTGTTATACATTTCCAATAACTTTAGCTCTTTGAATATGGTTCTGTATAGAATCAAAGAAAATTACTTAATTTAAATTCAAATTTCTTGTTCTAGTTAAATTTAAATGGAATACCTATAACAGAAGATGAAGCCAGTTCTACTGACACAAAATTCTTGGCTCTAGTAATGGACAAATATGAAGAAATTTCATCAAGTGAGAAAAAGTTAAAGGAAATCAAAAAAGAAAATAATGGTAAGGACTTTTGAGAAAAATGGAATAATGTAAGTCCATGATACTTCTTCAGTTTATCTCCAAAAGAGGCACTTGTCCCAGCCATCATATGGTACAGTTACTTACGAACTTAATTTTTCATTTTTAGGCGACCTGGAAAAGTCTGTTAAAAAGGTTTCAAAGGCTTTTGAGAGAGGTAAATAAAGGTTTTGGGGGGATTTTAAATTATTTATCTCTCTGCAAATTAGACAGACTCAGTATTGTTATCAAGAATTCATCAGTAGAAAACGTTTTTTCATTTGATTTTTGTCAATTTTGTCTGCTGAATTACTGAACAGTTAAGCACCATAAAGGATTTTATAGTACTTAGTGGACACATAACAAATTCCTCGGCCAATCAGATACGGTTCTACTCTTTTGTGGCAGACATAACTGGATGTAGCTGACTGTGGGCCTCAAAGAAAACAAATGCTTGGCATTAATTTCGGTCTATCAATTAAGACTTCCTTCATCATGATGATAAAACAAGGTTAGGTCTGCATGGAGGAATCTGTATGCAAAAACTGTCCAAAGGACAAAAAATTAACTCAGTAAGTAAAGAATCTGACCACAAAATTAGAGGGCTTAGTTTCAAATTCTCACAGATGACTTGGATCTTCTCTTTTTCCCTCACTTTTGACAAATACTAAAGGGGTGTTACTTAAAGAAAAGATCAGAAAACTCGTATTCATATTTATGTTTATAGGCTTTGTTTAGGTGCTTATAGAAATGTCTGTTTGCCTTCAACTTTATCTCGTGCATCTTGTTATTTTTAGGAGACCTAGAGACAGCAAGGAAGGAGGTGGTGAAGCTTAAATATTTCTCTAAAATTGATGAATTTATTAAAGACAGAGAAGGCTGGGATTGATACGACAAACAGAAAGAAATACCGAACAAGAACAGGCAGCTTGCCAAAAAGGAAATTCAAACTGCAAACTGAAGAGAGACACTACAAAGGAGATTACTCTTGTAGAGTTGCTGTTCTCTAACGCAGTTTATCATCTAAAACTTTCCAAAGAGTGGAGAGGAGACAAGAGTGAGGATTCTCTCTGCGCTAGTTTTTTGATCGAAGTCAAACGACTCAGGCATGAAATTTATTTTATAAAAGAAGTTCAAATATGAGGATAAAGATCCAAAAGAAACGTCAGTACTTTTGTGATCTAAGTTGTTGTTAAGACTATGCAAAAACCACTACTAAAAATCTCCCAGACAATTCCACACAATAGATAAACTGAAAGAGCATTTTGTAGTATGCTGTTGGTATAAATCACTCAAATGTCGTTTATCTTAACTACGGAGACGTTGAAAGGGAATATTGGATAGCCTTATTTCCTTGTTATTTTATCATAGTACTTGAGTTATTAAAGAAGAGAGGTCGAAATGGGTGCGAAATCTATAGCTGGTTAGCCACGTTTGTAGCCTCTGTAGGTTTATAGCAATATCCAGCGCGCGCAGTCCTAACACATTACCAATTCAAATAACTTTCCTGTTTTTAATGGGAGGCGTGTCAATCTCTTAAAGAGAAATAAAAAGCGAATACAAGGAAGTATTTGTAGATAAACATTTGTGAAAGCAGTTCCTAGATTGACTAATATTTTTGGGTCGTTTCTCAGACCCTAAGATTCATGCGCGCGGCATGATTGACAGCTGTAAGGCTGACGTTTCGAGCGTTAGCCCTTCGTCAGAGCAATTGACAAGGGGCTAACGCTCGAAACGTCAGCCGTTAAACTCTTTACGGTGGCCAGTTTACGTTTTTAACTCAGTTGATGACACTAAATTACCACGTTATACTCTCCCACCGACGCATCACCCCAGTTTCTTTAGAAACTTACCCCCTTCATGACTGACAGATAACCAATTATGACGTCAGATGATTGTTTCGGTCGCGCGAGTTTTGGTGAGAAATGTATTTACTCAACGAAGATGTGAGTTTTATATGGTTATCGCCCTAAAATGAGCATGGGTTGCGCTCCTAGTTATCCCATCACGAGAAGCCCCGTCGTTTATGAGCCAATCACGTATTTTAATAGAACAGGTGAGTTCTATAGATCGGTTTAGACGTGAATGTCGGCAAGTTACGTTCCAAGTTGCAAAGGAAAGAATATCAATTGCGGTAAAGTATTTATGTACTTAAAAAAAAAAGCGATCACCAATCATTTTTTGCTTTGAACAGTACATTAGTGTAATGGGTTCAGCGAATGAAGAATCGTCATTTCATAGGGTTAACTTTTACTCCTTCTACAAAAAAGGTGTTTTCTTTTAACTAGCAACTGCCTCTCGATTTCTACATGTAATTCAGAGTCCATGATAGCTTTCATTGGGTATTTCCCACAACTCACTCCACATGGAGAAGAAAGTATCAAACTTTGTTAATGATAATAAATCAACATATTCCAAAAAATGGAATTTTTTACTTTTTCTGATTCTTCCAGGAACAAGGAAATCACACGGCGAAAACGAACTAAAAAATACGGAATTTCAATCAATTCAAGAGCAGTACTGGGGAAAACTTCTCATGGAACGAAGATTATCAGCTGTGAACAGAAAAAAATTTCTAGGTATGGTGTATTTTGTTTCATGATCGAATTGGCTCCAGGAGAATTCGACTCGTATTGACACCGAGCACTTTTGTTTCATCTTAGCCCTTTGCATCTACTTGTTTTCAGAAATGGGTGAAAAAGATTTCAGATCGTTGATAGAAGAATTTCCAGAATTTAAAGAATCCGACATATCGGACTTACGATTACAATTTCAGACGTTTGATTTAAACCAAGATGGAATAATTGATTTTAGAGAATTGTAAGTATCCAGACTATTTAATGTGTCGTACGTAACATGAACTTACTTTATAATTGTTTGCGTGGGTCTTAAGTCCCTAAGTTCCTTTTTACTGAATACAGCCCCCTTACGTAAACCCCTAAAATCATGCAAACCAAGACAGAATAATTTATAAATTTTTCATCGCACATCGGTAGGCCTGCATCGTAAAACAAGGTTATTATGATATACAATTTAAAACCACGCCAACTCCAACTCCTAATGGAGAGGAAAATGGTTGGACTCAGCAGGAGATCGAGTCATTAGGATTGGTGTTGAATTTCAATTATCCTGTTAATGACTTTAATTATTAAAATAAAGAATCACGTTTATACCATTCTTGTCTAGAGCCCATTATGGGCTCCTGTTCTTGTACAATCGAGTTAACTGAGTTCGGGTTAGCTGTTAGTAAATGACTGAAAAATGGGTTCAATTTCAAGGGAAATCGGATCTTGTTCGAATCAGCGGGATTCTACTGTATTTTCACCTATAATTAAGTACCCCTTTGAGTTCAAGTGTCCCTGACCGCGAGTACTAACCACAAATCTTCATAAGAAGAGACAACCAAAATTCTTCGCTTACCCTTACGCCCCCTCCCCGCCCTCCTCCGCCACCCTTAGGGCCTAGAAATTATTCCTGACCACTTTATTGGACAGCAAAGAAAAACCACTTTTCGAGTCAACCCCACAGTAAACACTAATTCAGTACTGGTATCTTTCATTAGAACGCAGGTCCTCGATGACCTAGGGGATAAGTCTGAGCCTGCCGTACGGGAACAGTATTTCAGTAACATTGATAAAGATGGATCCGGTGCTATTGATTTTGAGGAGTTCTTAGCGGTAAGAAACAAACTTTAGATACAACGGCTGAGTTTTGTCAAGTAGCATACCCTTCTTACTCAAAGATGGTTTCAATATGGAGGAAGGGGGGAGGGGGGGTTGGGGCCCTTTTTAATAATCGACGACTGAAGATATGTCGTTTTGATAGTCGACGGTAAAGTGCTCGGAATAGTGGTCTCACCTCATCCATCTGGGCCAAGTTGTCCATAGAACAGATAAAGCTGTCTAACAGCTAAATCACTATCCACCAGGTAAATGTTAACAAAACGTACTACGATATCCTTCGTATAGAGATTTTTCAAGTGGATGGCGTCACTCATCCTCCACCCTTCGAACAATCGGGGCCTGGTATCGATTTTCTTGCTCATATAGCGTTCAATAGGTAAGGACTCATTGTGACGAGACTCAATTGAACATGCAGTAAACGTCTCTCACGGTAATCAAACGTTTTTCAGCGGCTTAGAGAAAGATTTAATAATCAATTTAAGGATCAAAATGTTTTCTTTTTGCAGCTCATTTGTCAGCTGCGAAAGACCAATGCAGATTTTCTCCAGTCAAGCGAGTTGGGTCAGATAGGAAGCTTGTGCAAACGTGGCACAGACAATATTCAAAGAGTCAGAAAACTTAGTGTGGCTAAGCAAATGCTCACGGGGCTGTTTTAGGGGAGACTTCCTAACAACAACGTGCAAATTTCAAAACATGAATGACAATGTGATGCAGTTTACTTTGACTATAGTTCAGAATGAATGAAATGTTCTTGTTAATGGTAAACATTTCTATGGTTTGATTCATTCCCCACGATTCTCATAGCTGTGTTTGTATTACGATGCGCGAATTGTATATAAAGCGTTTTCGGAGCTCCTTAAGGAACTTCTCTCAGTAATTTTAATAAAAAAAATTTTCAGTAAACCATGCGGTACTCTTTCTAAACCCATTCAAGATTAACTCTTAAACTATAGAATGGACGCAATTAAGGCAGCCAAACGGGGTGCGACGGTTTACTCGTAATGCTATCTAATTTTGTTTCACAGGTGTACTATGGATAATCATAGCTGCTGTCTGCTGGTAAGAAGGTTCTGTGCGTAGATAGTCCCCCCAATGGATACCTTGTTATAGAGCAAGGGTTCTGAAATCATGAACTTGCAGTTTTTGTTTGTTCGTGCATTTATGGAGCGTACACACACACACACACACACACACACACAAAGGCAAAGGTTGTAAAAAGGTTTTTTTTTTCAATAACTAATGTGAAACGAAATAAATTTTCGTATCAACCACTGGAAAATTTCGCCAAACGCGAATTGTTGTCAACGTTAGATGTCTAACACGCCATAAGGGCGTTATCTTACAAAAAAATGTCGAGAATTTTAGGCGACTTCTTAAAACTATTGGGATGGAATTTACGGCAAACTGCTTAAAAACTTACTTGAGAACTTTACTTTTAGACTTAATCAATAAGTTAACCATAGGAAAGTAATACAATAACAATTCCTCTTCTATAGAACGAAATTCAAAATTACTTAATACTACATTCACTTGCATGCTTTTATATCTGATAAATAGCAACAGAGTCTAAATAAATTTAATCGAGATAATCAGAACCTGAAAGGGAACTATAAAAACTCCTTGTGAGAAAATATCACAGAAAAAGACTACAAATGTAAGAAAAGGCATGGTCTTCTTCCAGCGATTCCCCCTTGTTGTAACTTTTGTGAACAACGTTTGTAAGTTGTATGAAAATAAATCAGCTTTTGAAAGGCTCTGCCACTTTCATTCCTCAATAAATACTGTATGTCAATCCTGCCAAAGAACTGTTGATAAATACCTTCATTCTCTTGTTGAGCCATAAACCCCTCCCAAAAATCAATGAATGGTCTGAAAGAGATATTATTAAACTTTTCTACAATGATCTAAGTTATTTGACTTTTACAGCTTTGAAGCTCAAATAGTGAAATCCCAAACCTGAAAGAGATCCCACTATAACCTAAAAAAAATTTAACCTCTATTAGAACAAACATGTTATTCAGGCTCGTTGATATTAGAAATTCACTGCTTCTGTAAAGGAATACCTTAAGAGTATTAAGAGTACTTAATAAATAAAACTTCCTGAAAAACACTTTTTAAATATCTGTTCTAAATAACTCTTCCTTGACTTTTGCTTTGTTTTTAAAAAATTTCATCAACACCCTTGTGGAGGAATGGTCATGGAAAAAGTTTGTTGAATTTTTTTATATTTAAATACCACTTCTCACATTGAACAACACCACCACAATGTCAGTTTGTTTCCTTGGAAATGGTATCAAATAAATGCCTTGTTGCAGCTTGACAAGCTGCAAGTATTCTCAATAAAATGGTTAGTAGGATTTGACAAAATAATTTTTCATTTTTAATAAAGAGAAATAACTCCGTAGCTACTCCTGAGAATAAAAGATGAACTATTGTAAAAGTGGTTGTCAGTCTCTATCCTTGAACATTTTCCTTCCTCTTATATTTTTGTTTAACTCTGGTGTTTGCCTAATCTAGCCAACTATTGATTTTAAGTTCCCTTCTTGAATAACTTAATTTTCTTAAGTGTTTAAAGACTCTAATTGTCTAAGGCTGGCTGACCCCTTTCCCCATTACCCCTCAAGAGATGTGGTTGTGCCCTATTATCCCCAAGGGGTGCAATGGAAACATTTCAAACTATCCAAAATGCTAGTAATAAAGTAGCCTTTACATGCAATTGAGAATGTTTATATTTTTGAATGTGAAAGACTTGTTGAAGATCAGATTTGAAAAAACAAGCAATGTTTGTTAATTAACAATTTTCTGCTGAGTTAATCCTTTGGAAGAGCACTTGAATACTGTCACTTATACCTGACAGCTCTTGAATAACTTTTTCAGATGGGTGTTGTTTACTCATGAGATCATCCAAGTTCTGAAGTCCTGTTTTCACAGTGTTTACTGCCTTCATGTAGGCATCTTCAATCTATGATAAAATTAAAAAAGAACCTTTTTTTGTTGTCTGCTGACAATAAAAACTAGTAAATGACCCTGACTATTGAACACCTCTACTGGAAACTCTCAAATCTTAAAGCAATCCAATTCAAATCAACAGCTTTATTTCCAACTGAATTAAATATCTCAGCTTAGGATGTAACTTTCAATAAAAACCATAAAAATAACATACTGGAATACACTATATTTCTGTAAGAGGATATTTCTCTAAGGTTGGTTTTCTTCTGTGTGTCTTAGGCTTTCAATAAATTTAGTTTTAAACTGGTTTTACATTCTGAACCTTTCATTCTCTACAAACACTGAGAGGTGCTCTCTGTTCTCACGTTTTTGAACAATTAGTTTGTCTCACCAATACATTAAATGGTCAATTTTCTAGCTTAGAGACAGTAAAAAATGTATGAAAACTGGCAAACTTTCCCTCCTTTTTGTCATTTTACAATAAAATTAATATCTTAGATGAGCTAATATTTCATCAAATAACACAATCCTACCTTGGATGACTCATCTTTCAACACATCAGGATCCCTGCAAAATCTTTTTGGTTCTGGCTTTTTAAAGTAAAAATAATACTACATTAAATTCCATCTTCTTCCACAGCTAACAATAAAATTCAGTTTTATATATGAAACCTAAATACCTGCTTTCGACCAGATCTGCTCTGTGGCTGTTGCATATCTCTGATCTGTGTCACTTCACCATTAACATGTGGTTGACCTTCTGTTTTGCTTGGTTCTTTCACAATCACAAGTGCTTCACCTGAATTTACAACTCTAACAATGTCATTAATATTCCATTGCTGAGAAATACAGAACACTTGATGCAAGTTCTGAGCAGGGTTTGAATGAGGAATGTTGTCTAAAGGATTGCTCACATTGCCAACAGTGCTGACTTCTCTTGAAGTAATGTTAATATGATTTGACCCCACACCAGGGGCAACTCTATGATTTGCATCAAAATTTCCTGCTGCTGCAGCTGGAATGTGTGAGTTTAACAATGGAGGAGGTCCTGAGCTATTCAAAGCAATCTTGTTGTTTAGAATTGCACCATTCACAATTCGTGGAGGTCGTAGTAAGTCTTCCATGGCCTTGTAGAGCACTATAGGAGGTGTAGCCCGCAGGTTGTGATTAGAGTAATCAACTGGTAAGAGAGCCTCATGCGACATATCCTTTAACATTCCTGACAGACAGTTTAGTCCAGCAGCTTGTGACCTGTACCAAACTCCACTTGTAGCAAAATCACGGTTTGGTATTTGAAAAAATGCAGAGCAGGATGGGTTTCGTCTTTGAAGGAATAACTTCAATGCTGCAACAGGGCACTGTAAACTTCCAGGTACACTAAACATTTTCCTCCCAATGCCCTTATATTTTTTACTCCTCAACTGATTGGATGATGACTCACTTAGTTTACAAGCTGCATATTCAAGTCCAGTGGTCTCATCAATGTGAAATTCAAACATGTCAGGTGTCAAATCACGCAAGTCATCTCTAGAGGTAATCCCAAAATTGATTCCCACAGCCAGAAACACCAATCTCTGCAGAGATTTTGGAGTCTTGATTCCCACAACTCCAGTGGCCCACAGTTTACGGATCTCTTCCACATTTAAAGCTGAAGCGGTAGAACCACATTCAGAGGAATCAAGGTACTCTTTCTGGGCTGCTTCCAGGTCATGCAATGTCGCATTAGCTTTGCTAAATTCTGGAGAGTGAGTGAGGCTGTAGGACTTGCAATATGGTTCACTCTTAAGATGATGATCAATGGCTGAGCGTATGATTCTCAAGGAACTGGCCCTCTTTGTACCACCATGTTTTAGGTGTGATTCCTTGTAAAACTCGGACAACCAGTTGCTAATCTCTCTTGGTTTCCAATCCTCAAATTCATCCTCCATTCCCTTACACTTTAACCACTCTGTGAACAAAGACAAAAACATTGATTTGACCCTTTTATTCAAGATCTAAATACAAATCCTCTTCACTGCCTGACATACTGTTCTTTTAATTTCTCAAGGGGAAAGTTTGGTGTTCAATCAAACTTAATATCATAGTTGATATTTTTCTTTCTTCTCATACCCTTACAATTGAAAGTGTATCAAGACTCTCTGAAAAAAATTCAACTTTCCTTGAGATAACCCTCATGCTATGAGAATATTGCCAACAGAGATTTTTGTGGACATTACTATCTGCAGTTTAAAGTTTTATACATACAACCTGCTAAAAATATTTCTTTCACTGGAAAAGACATCCCAAAACCAAATACCACATGTATGAGCTGTCTGAGGAGTGAAACTTATGACTATACAATTACTACTTCAGATGCCCTACCATTGAGCTCTAAAGGATTTATGTAAGCAAATTTGTTGCCCTCAATGAAGACAAATGCTAACAACATGCAATACATAGTATTATTTTATTCTTTTCTTTTAATACAGGGTTGTTATTCCATCTAAAACCATTGTCACCAGTGAGATTTCTGCACATAGTCATATTACACTCTGAAGCTGTAGTCTCAGAGACAATCTATTGTTTTTTGGCACTGTTTTCCTTATACAAGAACTGTATGCATAATGAAGTATGGGATTAAGGAGAAATCTTACCACATCCTCCAAATAATAAATCAGCTTCAAGCAAAAAGACTAAAGGAGCGGACACAGTAAATATCAATGAAGTGTGATACCTTTGAATACTCTGACGTGACTGGCGTAATGCCTTGATGTGAGAGTCGAGATGTGTTTACGACCATGGTTTTCCCTTTGATTACTTTCTTCTTCCTGTGCCTCTACGTCGCCAAAAGAAGCATTCTCGTCCAAGTGAAATTCATCATTTTTCTCTTTCTTTATTTCAATATTGGTGTTGTAATTTAAGCGTTCGACAGTCACATTAACACTCTGATCAATGATATTGGAAATGTTAGCGGGGTTCCTGCTTATCACCTCGTCATTTTCGCGATGGTATTCGTCATTAGCTTCTCTGTGATTATCCATATTATTTTCTTCTGCTCTTTAAGAAGCCAAATTTTCCATGATACTAAAAAAAATCTTCATAAGCCTTCATATAACTCCACTACACAGATGAAAACACGAAACCACTTCTCCATTTTCCACCAAAACAAAAGGCCCTGACAAGTGTTACTTAGTAGCCACGCGACCTTTATTTGGTAGCCAGGCTCACAGATGATATCCCTGGACCACAGCTGGATCGTATGGCTCTCTGTGTTTGTTGTTGTTTTTTCAAGTCTTATTCTCTTTTACCGTCGACAACTTGACTTCCAAAGAGACAAAAGGTCCGAATTTGACGGGAAAAGTGTTCTTGTGGTCACTGCTCACCCAGATGATGAATGCATGTTCTTTTCGCCCACCATTATAAATCTCCAGCGATTAAGCAAGGTTCATCTATTGTGCCTTTCGACTGGTATGTGTGTCGAGGCTGACCTTTATATTATGACATAGCCAAGTAATATTGTAGATAAGTGCAAAAGCAAATATATGCCTTTCCTCCTTAGTTTATAACTCTACCCATCCTCCTCCCCCTGGGGAAAAATTTACTTTCCAAGGGTGGGTGGGTACTCTTGTTATAACACATACATTACCACCCCTCCCCATAGGAGACTTATTGTTAATTCTACTTTAAGTTAGATACTGTGTGTACTTGAACTCTTTGTGTCCATTGTGTATGTACACGATAGGTAACTTTTACAAACAAGGAAGTATTCGGAAAGAGGAGTTATTGTCAAGCTGTAGCATTTTAGGGATTCCACCGAAGCATGTCACTGTTATTAATCATGGGTAAGTCTTTAAAGATGTTTGTGTGAACTTAATTTAATTTACAAGCAAGAGATAGCAAGTTCTGTGACAAGCAGTGAAGCTAAGTGGCCCATAATTTTTACCAGCAGTTAGTTGAAAATCATTCCAAACTGAGTTTTAATAAACTGTGAATCTCTTTTTATACTTAAATTATTATTAATCTTTTAGTGACCTTCCTGATGATCCTAAAGCAGATTGGGACACTCAGATTGGAGGACAAATAATCACTGAATATATCAAACACAACCAGATTCAAGTGGTAAGACATTCTGTTTACTCAAATGTTAAAACTCTTTCACCCCTGAGATTTGAATCATTATCCTCCCTTCCAGCTGCAATGCATTCCCTTGTTAAAAAAGTCTAGAGAATTTGGTGTTGCATCTGGAAAAATGCCTCCAGCTGATAAGTTTGTCAAATTCTTATCAACTGTTACTGGATAGTATATTGAAATTGTAACAAGAACTTATTTGCTGATCACTTTTAAGAGATAATTGTTAAGAAAATGTACTAATAGGTACATGATGAGAAAATCATCATTCGTCCTATGTACAGGTTCAACCACTTTCTTGGAATTGAGCCATTAAAAAATAATAATAATACAAAAGATATTTGTTTCCATTTTCTTGGTTGTTGTGTTAATTACGTTTGTATTTTTGTATTACACTGCAGGTCATAACCTTTGACTCTTATGGAGTATCTGGCCATACAAACCATATTGCTATCTTCAAAGCAATAAAAATACTTCAAACTGAAGAACTCCTTGGAGAAGTTAATTGTTATGTGCTCACAAGTGTTGGGATTTTGAGAAAGTACATCTCACTCTTTGATCTTCCACTAAGTGTTTTTTCACAGTAAGTAACCAATAAGAGAAACTATATATACTTTTGAAGTTCTGGGTTATGGCCACATTACCTCCTTTTCTGCAGTATGGTGCAATTTACTGATTTCAGAGAAAAGATTTTTAGCCTTTAACCCCTTACACCCCAACATCAATGTGTAAATTCTCCTTACTGTTCCATGGTGATGACAAAGAGAATTTGTTCAACATTGAGTTTCTTCAGTTGTTTATCATTCCCTTTTTTCCTGTAACTCTTCTGTTTGTTTCAGGGGTGATATTGTAAGGAGAAATTAGACACTAGTCACTCTTAGGGATTAAAAGGTTCAAGAAGGATGTAGGATGCTGGAAAACTAAATTTTTTGGTTCATTTGATTCCTTCTCCTTCAGGCAGATGTTTCTCCTTAGTCCTCAAGATATGATTTTAGCCCAGGTTAGATCTTTTAAAGGATTTTAAATTAAACTAAATTTCTTACTCATATTTTGTATAACTTGTTGTTTATTTTGGAATAAATGTTTCTGTCAACAGAAGGCCATGTATGCTCACAAAAGTCAGTTGCTGTGGTTTCGGAGGCTGTACATCATATTTTCCAGATTTATGCTGATAAATACACTTGAAGAACTGAAATAAGATAGCTCCAAAGAGATGATTCAGCAGTGCTACCAAGACACTCAGCAGTCTCAGATAATCACTGAGAGTGATCAAGATCTCAATATTCTCTTGAACAAAGTATGTCATGATATAAGAATAAAGATCAAGTCATAAAGTATAGTGGCTCATAACTGTGGATACTGGTTTTTGTGGTAGTAAGTGACTAAGAGGCTGGCATTTTCTCCTCAGTGGATTGTAGTTCACATCACAGTCAGACGGTCCCCAGCAGTTTTATCAAGTTTCCTTGCCCTTGGTCAGGGCTCGGATGTAAACCTCTCAATCCAGAGTCATTGGCCTAGCTTTTCAAAGGGCAGAAAATGCTATCCAATGGATAAATCAATAAATGCTAATTAAGTGTTAACAAAATGCAAACATTGCTGCTTTTCACAACAAGGACACCTTCAGCCTCACCCCCCTTCAAAGGCTGAGCAACTAATTACAACTGTAAAATGACCTATTGAGAAAGATAGCTTTAAACTGCCCTTTTCTAGTCACCACTTCAAAATCTTTTTATTTTTTCTTTTCTTGTTGCCAAGCCTTTTCAAATTATTTGTCTTGTTGATTCTCTTGAGGGCTTTCTTTGTGAGCTTTTTCTGAGGTCCATCTTCTGTTGTCATCACAACATCCTCAGTACCCTGTTCTGTTGATGTGGAAACATACACAAGAAGAGTTAATAACTTGTTCTTTCTGACTTGTCGTTCAGATTTTAATGCATACGTACATAGACGGTAAACATTTTAGCCTTATGTTGTAACATAACCACAAGATTTGGATCTCACATAATGCGAGATGTCAAAAAGAGCTCAAAATTTTCCTCTCTGTAACATTCTGTATGAAATGAAGAACATTTAAACTGATTTAGATGTGGTTTAGTTGTATCATTCAGTGTATCATACTCACCTGCAGCTGCGTTATTCATGATCATTGAGTCTTCCTTATCAAATGTTTCTACTTCACTTTTGTTCTCTTCGTCTTTTTGTATGTCAACGAGCATCTCCTTGTCACTTAGCCCAAGTGTCTTCTCAAGCTGCGCTTTTACCCTTGGTTTTAACTGTTCTCTTCTCTGAGCTCGAAGTTTTCTTTTCCTTTTAGACCGAATGCTTTTCGCCATCTTGTTGCAAAACACACGTGTGCGCGGTGCGAGGCTTGGTACCGAGGTTATGAATTTAGTACTTTGTGTATGAGGTTTGACGTGTACCCACCGAAATGCAAATCACGGGCTATCCAAGATGGCGCTAGCTGCTAAAACTGCTAGGTTAGCTCTAGGAAGAACCATAATTGATGCGCAATACCTGGCGGACAGAGTGCTTTTCATGAATAGTAAGTATGAGATAAATAGCTGTAAAATATCTCTTCATTTCAATTTGGAGTTAGTTTTGTACTAAGAAGTACTTTATAATTCAGTGCTATAGAGATTATGCAGGCTGTTGTAGAGGCACGTGCATGTAGTTAGGGCTGACTGGTTTGCCAGCTACCTTGTGTTTGCTCTCTTTAATTTTTTACAGGTGAAATTATAGCAATAAACAAACCATATGGATTGCCAGTACATTGTAAGTGGACATAACGCTTTCATAGTTCTTAACTTTAACTCCCAGAAGTGACTAGCATGTAACTTCTCCCCATAAAATCTATACATTATCCAGCAAACAGCTAATTAGAGTACTTCAAATTATCACGAAGAAGTTTTTGTCTTTATCTAACACCAAATTCTTGTAGCGTTTTTTACAAGGAAATGTGCAGCAGCTAGAGGAGAGAACAATCAGATCTTGAGAGTTTATGGGCTAATGACTTAATTACGATGTATATCGCTTGTGTGTCAAAAAATCTTTGTTTAGAATGCATTGTTTTGATTTGCTGTTATTTTTCATGAGACTATATGCATTTATAGCAGCAGTTGACTTCGAATTTGAAGTGGCGAATCTCCTTTAACCCCCCACCCCCCTCCCCTCTTCTCCTCCCTCATGGTCATGGGAAAGGGTCACATAAAGGGAACTACTAATACTTCAAGCTTTTTTAGGTATTTCACTAGTTAAAAATCCTTTTTCTTTTTTTTACTTTGTTGTTTTGAAGCTGGTCCTGGTGTTAAGATGTGTGTGATGAATATGCTTGATGAATTTACAGAAATAAAAAAGTTGAAGGAAAGACCAGAGCTTGCACATCGAATTGATAAGTGTGTAACTATATGCAGTTTGCTTACTTTGATGATATTGTATCTGTTTAGTTTTCCAAGGTTCAGGTAACTCTTATCAACCCTTTAACTCCCTCAAGTGATTAACATGTAACTTCTCCTTATAATACCCGCACATTATCTAGCTAACATGTCATGAGAATACTCAAACTTATCAGGTAGAAGTTGGTAGTCTTGATCTAACACAAAATTCTTGCAATTTGTTTACAAGGAAATATGTAATAGCCAGAGGGGAGAATTAAAAATCAGATCTTGGGAGTTAAAGGGTTAAGTAATAGCTGATAAAGTTTGTATATTACAATGGGAGAGAACCCTATATGGTGGCCAGTTTGAAATTTTAACTCAATTGATTAAACTAATTGATTTGGTTGAATGCTCTCTTGGCCAAATTATAATTGTTCCAATCCACAGTGGTCCCACTGAGGGCAACCAAAGACAAAAGATGCATCCATTCATGAGTTGTAAGGCTAACTCTGCCAATCCACAAATCCCGTTTCATTTCTTTGAAGAATTTAGTTATCCCTAACACAGTATTTCTTCTACCTGTAAAGAATAATTTAAATTTGAAACTAGAAATAAAAAGATTTTGACATAAAATCAAATAGCTCTTATGCCAGTCTCCATGAGCCATTTTCACCTTGAAGCCTTTCTTTCAAGCTGACAACTGATGAATTTTTATAAGAACTTATTTCTAAAGCAATAAGATCAAAATGATATTCCCTTGAAAACAACATAAGGATAGGAAAGACTTAGGGAAAATGTAGCTCGAACAAGGTTTGAGGATGAAGTGTGAGCAATTTACATAATCATCAATTCAAGTACACTGATAGGTACATATGATTACTTAATTACAGGGATTGCAGTGGAATTCTGTTACTTACCAGGTACTCATTGTTTGCTTATGTTTTTAGAGTGTCAATTTTATTTAAAAAAAAAAGAGAAAAAAAAGTAGCACTTCTGAGATATGACATGCTTATACACAATCTTGGGATCTTAATCGGTTAAAAAAATATATATAAATTGCCCTTATTTTTAACATTTTGCTATACATAATTTTTGTTAGTTTTTTTTTTCTTCTTCTGCACTGAATGATACTGAAAATCCCAATCAAGGGCAACACACTTGACATATTTATAGCAAATGATTTGTGTACTCTAGGTCAAGAACTGCAGCTATACATAATTTTTGTTAGTTTTTTTTTTTCTTCTTCTGCACTGAATGATACTGAAAATCCCAATCAACAGCAACACACTTGACATATTTATAGCAAATGATTTGTGTACTCTAGGTCAAGAACTGCAGCTACTAAAGTTGCAGAAATGTTCTCAGACAAAACCATTGGTAAACAATACTGGGCAGTGACTGTTGGAGTTCCGACATTTGAAGAAGGAGAAATTAACATTCCTATTGGGGAAGCTAAACTTGCTGGAGGATATCGAATTGCCACCAAACAAGACCTGATTGGAAAGTCTTCTGAAGTAAGGCAAAAATTAAAAGATAAATAAATAAATTAGTTGATCAAAGACAGATTATTTCTGTGCTTTGACTCAAAGAGCTTAAAACAACTCAGCATGTCTTTTGCACTTTTTAAGGACAATCCTAGTAGCAGATGTTCATGGCTTAAGTCTAAGAACTTGTATCAATGGGAGAAACCATATAACTCAAGAGAATAACCTTTTCAAAGTTATACCTTGTCTTAAGAGAAGTTCTTCAGAATTGAGAAGACTGAATACTGAAGAATACTGTTGGTAGTAGCAATGAAGTTCAGGTTTTCATTCTACAATTTTAGTATAAACTATTTATTTATGTATTTTTTTATTTAGATATTAAGAGCTGCTGGCTTTAAACATGCAAAGACTAAATTCAAAATCTTGGATGCAAATCAGACTACATGTGCTCTTTTACAAGTGGAACCAATCACAGGATTAAAGCAGCAAATTAGAGTTCATACAGCAGAAGGACTGAAATGTCCAATATTGGGAGATCATAAGTTCTCTTCTGACATTCGACAACCACAGGTATACTAAGTTCAATTATGAGTGGGTAGGGGGAGGCAGATACTATTTTACTTAGAGAGGTTTGTGCCACAGCACTGAGGTATATATGAAGTTTGGATTTTGAGTGGTTAAAAGGCTATGCAGTTTCATTTGTTAGCATCTTGAATGAAGTATCTGTCCAGACCAGAAACACTGAAAAGTTGCAGCAGCCCACCAACCTTTCTTGATCACCCTCCCTCCCTACGCTGTGGGAAACTGTGGTAGGGCATTATTACCAGTCAAGGGGAGTTACCATTCTTGTCATATTCAATACTACTGTAAAATGAATAGCTTATGGTATAAATTTGGCAAGATGGCATAATTATGTTTAGTAGCAAGGCAAACAGGTAGTCCCATTGTTTAACAATCATCATCCTTTTTTTCTCAAAGGTTTTACCTCTGCGTTTACTACAACTTCTTCAAATTCAAGGTGTAAAGAATAAGGAAAACCCCACAGCAAAAGGAAAAATTAGACAATGGCAAAGAGCACTGATTCCTCTTCACCTACATGCAAGACAATTAACTTTACCCAACTTTTACAAAGGAAGAAATATCATAATAAAAGCTCCTCTGCCTGACTATTTTGCAGAAACTCTACACAAATTGAAACTTCATCCAAAGAGAAAAAATATGGTGCAGGCTGAGGATATAACAGAGTATAACAGACTGAAGCAGCTTGGAAAGTCAACAAAAAAAATTGTTGGATTTTGAAGAAAACTGATAAGAGGAACCTAGGAATGAATAAAGCAGCAGTTTCAAGGAGATTCTGTTCCATCTTATCCATGATGCCTGCTTTTCCATGTGCAACATCCCCAAAACATTTGCAGAAAACTTTTCACCATCAAGGCATTTTTAAACCATTCCCAATTGAACTAAAATTAAAGGATTCCCTCTCCTTCACCCCTTGAGAAGGGAGTGGCCTTTTAAGATAAAGCAGGTTATTTAAATTGAAACTGAAATGTGGTTAATATATTAAGTCTCTTTGACTCATTTATAATTGTCCAAAAAATGAGATAAATTTCTCACGGTTTTTCACTTAAGTCAAACCTATGCCACATTGCTACAGACGTACACAATAAATGTTAATGCTATATTTATTTTCCATACGAAAAGTCTTATTAGTACCACCTTGAAAAGAGGTTCTATCAGAATATATGGCTGGATGACATGGCTGGAAGCTGGTATAAACTAATTGATATCAAAGTAAAATGGAAAACTGCTCCTAAGAAATTACAGTAGTAGAAAGGAATTACAGTTTGCTAATATGTGTTACCAAGAACTGCAGTGGGTTGACCGGCAGAGTGCCATTTCCAGCTCTGAGAATAACCAGAGGAAAAACTTAAAAGATCCATTGAAGTAATAATGCTCAGTAAACTAACATCAAGTACAAACTTGGATGTCTTGTTGTCTATTCCACATAATCAAAGTCTTCTGGAATTCCAAAGCTTTTGTCGATCATTTTCTTTTCCAGCCCAAACTTGCGTTCACACCAGGATTTGATTGTAAACACATTGTCAGTCCAGCGATTGGCACCTTCCTTCGACATCAGTGTTTCCTTTTGTAAGTTTTCTAGCACTTCTGGGTCACATTCACGATATCTCTCAAGCTCTTGTTCCAGTTCTTTACAAAGTTTTTCTTTTTGAGTCAGCTCTTCAAGAATCAAATTTCTTTCATCCTATTTTGCAAAAATGATCCATAAATAATTATCCTCACAAAAGGATGTTTTAAAATTTACTGAGTCTTCCAATTTTTTTAAATTCAATTAAATGAAATGAAATTTCACCAGGCCAAACATCTGAGATTGTTTTATTCAAGTGCATAACACAATCAAATAGTAGACAATTACAGGATAACAAATGAAGTCATAAAAATGTAAGCTACAACCTATTGACCAATAGACAAAAGATTTATAATTTGAGGTCTAATTAGATTGCTAAACAGAAGGTTGGTGATACTCACAGACTGTTCTCTGCCACTGCCTGCTTGCTTTAGTAGTTTTGTTGTAGAGGCAATTTTCTTTTCACACTCATTGACTTGCTCTGTAAGTTGTGTCAGTTTTTGTTGTCTCTGGGTTTAAAAAAGGAGTGTAGTTTGGAACTAAACTGTGCAATGGGGGTGCGTGGATGTAAATCTTGGAGTAAGAGGGGGAAGGGGGAAAAACATCACAACAGGAGCTTGAATGTCGGCAAGCCGGTGACAAGGATAGAGTGGGAGGTATTTCCTAAAAAATTTTGTTAGTACCAGGGAGAAAAAAGGTAAGAGACAAGAATTGATGATGATGATGATGATAATAGAGAGGAATGTACCCCTGTCTACCATAACCCTTCTGTTTATTTGGAACTATTTTAATCAGTCTCTTGGGGGCCTCTGATATTATACTCTTCACAATATTTCTGATGCCAAATCTATTGTCAACTTACTGTATGTATTGCTTTGCTTGGATAGGCCCAGAAATAAACAGAGGTACCAATTTTATCAGTATCCACTAGATTGTCATCCACCAAGCTTTGTACAACTTCCTTGACAGACATGGAAGCTTAACAACAACAACAAAAAGTTAACATCAAATCTACAGATGTCAAAGACAACAGAAGACATTTAGATGCACTGCATTTTGACTTACTAATGCCTTTCTCTTTTGGAGCGATTTTCTCCAACTCCTTGAGTAGAAAAAATTCCTTCTGTTGATGTGAAAAAAAAGGAAAGTCTCGGAAACTTGAAGTTTTAAATTGTTAATAATTTTGGAAACAAATTATTTTGGTAGATATCAGGAGCCCATTTGTTGCCTAAAGAGTCTACAGCTGTAATCGATCAACCAGATTGAAATATTCTGTAACGAAGCCAGATAAACATTACCGTAGCTGTTAATAGCTCTGAACTAATGCACTCTGCAGCTTACCCTTTCAAAGAAAAGCTCCAACATTCGTGTTCTCTTCTCTTCCAAACTCAACCCACGCTTTTTTGACTGAAAATAGTCGAAATTAACGAGTACTACGATATGAAATAAAACACAAAGAATAGCGTAAGGTAAGTCAATTTCAAAATGAATCTCAAATTTACCATTTTCCCACGAAAAAATGTCTGACAAAACTCAGTAGCGATTTCTTGCTTTATTCAATATGGCGGGTAAATTTAATTTTGGCGCCAGTCTTCAGACCGGAAGTTTTTGTAGTCCCAATTTAATTTCCGGTAAAACTGCAAGTTCTCATGGGAAGCAGAGTGATAGGCAGAAAGGATGTAAACATGGCGGCAGGCAGAAGAGTTCATAGTTTGTATGATTTAGCAACTTTTACAACAGTTAGGAATTGTGATTTATTCAAGTTAGAGTATCGCTCACTGCCGAATGCCGTTCAGTGTGACATATATCGAACGGTATGTATTTTAATCCTTTCGTCTTACTTTTTTTTCGCTTTGTTACCCCGACAGTTAATGTTTACAAAATTTGTTTAGCTTGTAACTCCATGCGGTTTTGTTGTTATTCAGCTCTTCGACTCAGGGAAGAATGAGGTATTGGTATCCGAACTAAGTGAGTTAGATGTCGTTTCAAAGGCTTTAAAAGCTGGAGACACAAGGTAAATATAAAGGTATCTTTTTGTGTTTACAATTAAGACACTGTTGAGAGCATCGTTTGAAATTTAATTTCATGCCAATTGTGTCACGTCAGATACTTGAACGGTTTGCTACCTGAAGTTCTTCGCGAAAATAGAACTGATGAATGATTTACATAGGCAGTAACTTTTTAGAAGAAGCTAATATTGAAACTGTTAAATTTTACTAAATCTTTTACAAGGTAAAGCGACCCATTTTCCGTCAGGCGGAATCGCTATAAAGAAAAGGTTAAAAAGAGAAACGCTTTGTTAGTATATTTCGATTCCACTCCACGAAATTTGATCTACAAATATACAATCCTATTTGAAATCTTAAGGTGAATTTAAATTTTCGCTGATGTAAAGGGAGAGATTTTCCAAACTTTTGAGTTATTTCCTCGGTACAGGAAATGCTTAACTAAACTGATTAAAGCTTGCATTTAACACGATAAAACACGAAAAGCTTCAAAACTTATTTCTCTTTGATGAAGAAAATCTACACCTATAAGACAGATGCATCCTGGCTCAATCAAAAAATTCAAAACAAAATAGCATCAAACCAAGACTACTTGGTATGAACAGGTAACAGGACAAGATGGCAAATACCTTGAATGCCACCTTAGGCTGAGGAAGTTGTCACAATAAATGTATTAAATGAAAAAGATATTCTTAACAAATAGCACCTATAACTTGTTTACTTGTAATAGCTAAGGCAGTATTCAGGTTCTTTTTTTAACTCCTAACTTCTTATCCATTTCACTGTTTACAATTTAGCAATAGTTGTTTACTGATAGATTAACAAATTACCTGTGGGCAATTTGCTGGGAATTTTGGTATAAATTTACATACACAATGTAATTAACAGATTACCTGTAGCAATTTGCTGGGAATTTTGGTATAAATTTACTTACACAATGTAATTAATTAATACATAATGGTAATAGGACTGAGGGGAGTCCACTTTGGTCTCTCATCATATGAGTATTAACAAAATCTGATGACTGTAAAGCAGGAATATGATTTGTTTATCAAGAGTATGATTACAGACAGAATTGGGCAACACAAAGGCCTGTTACCAATTAATCAAAACTATGAAAATTTAAGAAAGAAATAAGCATTTGTTATAAGTTTTTTTTTTTTATGAAAAAACAACAATTTGAAAATTTGAGAAAGAAATAAGCATTTGTTATAAGTTTTTAAAAAAAAACAACAACAACAATTAACCATGTGAAATGCACAACAACAGCGCATGCTTATGACAATTACTTTCCACTTTTGCAAGCATGAAGTGGCAACTATCCTATTACACTGTCCAATTACAAGCATGATGGGCACTGTCATATTAGTACTCAAATCAGGCTGGTTTATTAATGGTGAAATAGGTATTGACTAGGCAGCTGTCCAATGTAAATATTAGTGACATGTCTGGGTCCGAGCAGTTTTCAGCTAAGTATTGAAAGTGATCCTGGATTGCTTTGAGAAGACTCACCCCACCATTTCAACCAGTCAAATACTAAACTTAAAGCAATCTCAATTTGGTCAATTATGTTTTCCTGGGCTTCAAGTTGGTTGCCTGTTTTTACTTTGAATTCTCATTGGTCAATAATGATGTTAACCTTTGCTCTGATTGGCAGTTATGATTACCTTGGTTTTGGTTTTTTGATCCTCAGTTGTGAACTGCTCTGATGGTTTTTAAAATTCATCAACTGATGTGTGATCAAACTTGGTTTGTTATTTTTCTCCAGGGTCAAGCTTTATGCAGTGTTCCAAGGTTTGAGAGAAGAAGGATTTGACTTATCAAAAGTCCTTTCAGCAGAGTTTGTCAAGAGGTGTCACAAGGCATTCAATGAAGGAGAAACATCAGATCGACATCTCATTCAGAAACTGTTAAAAACAGGGATGTCACTTGGTATGAGTAGCTTCTGAAGTGTACTCCATCCCTTAAACCATTACATCAGGTTTTTCTAAGTGTATGGTATACCTTTAAGGTTCTTTGGATTAATTTCAGGAGCAGTTATACTTGCTTTTTTTATTTCTTCTGTTGACCCTTTAACTCCCATGAGTGACCAAAAGAGAATTAATATCAAGCAGACCAGTGATAAGAAAAAAGAAAATGTCAATTATTAGTTGATCCAATACCAAACTCTCCAAACCAACATCATGAGAATTGTGCGGCAGACAGTCAGGAGAATTACTGATAGGATAGTGAGAGAAAAATGGTTAACCAGTTTCATTGACGTTTTAGGTGGTTTCCTATCAGAGGCTGGATGGTATGATGATGCAGAGAAGATATTAACTGTTAGTCACAAGCTGTGTAACATTAGAGAACCAGATGAATGTAGAATAGCTTGTAAATTTCTGACAAGGTACATGTGGTACTGAATACGTAGGTATATAAATCCTACCTGTTAGAATGTTAGGTGCAGGTATAGTTCAAATGAAAACATGCATGGTAAACTTCTACAAACTGCATTTAGTTTAAGAAGCCCTCAGCTACAACAACAACTGCCTTGGGGGTCAATCCTCCAGAACATGTGGGCCATGGTTACAGTAGACATTCTAGATAAATAAGTATGTTTATAATTTGGTTCTTATAGTGCTTTACCATTCTGTAAAAAATGTTACCACATAATATTATTATTTATTACTGATAATGTAATGTAAACATCTTTCATAGACTGCTCCATCTTAGAACTGCAAATTGTAAATTTGACTCAGCAAAAGATACCTTTAGAGAAGCCACAGAAATGACAAGTAAGATAGCCAGCAAAAATGAGCTAGACATCAACTTGGCAGTTCTTTATGGAGAAAAATGTGGCCTGCTCTTTGCACTTAGTGATTATGAGGAGGTGAGATAAATTTGCCTGTCTTAAATTCAATTTAGTCAGGGTTGTCAGTAAGAATTGAGTTACTAGAATGTGATACAAACCAGGCCACTCTAGGGGTCATTATTGTCATGCTTCCATGCTGAAAATTTAGCCATAAACATTTGGAATAGCAGATGTGATTTTCAGAGTGGACACTGAAATGCAACACTTGCTAGCATACTTTGACAACCCTGTTTACTGTAGAGACCAGGTTTGAATTATATCAAGGAAAATGACTGTGAGGGCAAAAAGATAGAGGTGATATGTTTTTAGGGGTTTTATTTCACCTAGGACCAAAGTCTACATTATTAAATAGATTTGTCCTCTGAATAGAGGTCCTAAAGAAAAGGTTCCGCTGCTAAATAAATACTAGCAGATATAAGCTAAACACCTCTGAGATATGGAATTGAAAAGTCAAATTATTCTGGCCACAGCGTAAAGAGAATTTGTGTACAGAGATTTTGTCCTTGTGGTTACTTTATTCATTAGACTCTTTTGTCTTTAATTTTCATTATTCACAGGCATACAAATACAGCATGAAGGCCTTACAGAAAATTTGTCCTGGATTGCCCATGAAGGTAAATAGTTATGCTAAACCTATTAATGAATTAATTCATACTTTCATGGAGTATTAATGCAAGATTCTGTTTTTATAATACATCTCTAAGTGCTATATGTGCACAATATAGAAAAATAGAATAATCTTCCTAATGTTAGTGTATGGGAAATCTACAAAGATATGAGATAAGTTTTGATTCCCCAGTATCCAAAATCAGTTTCTTTTATAAAAGTCTAATTTCAGGCTTCTTTTTGTAGGCTGTAGTTGATATTCTAAGAAACGCATCCAAGGTAATGTGAGAGTTATTTTATGCTGATATTTCTTTTTGTCTTGTCTTTTTTCAATTTTGTGAGCATGTTTAATCAAATGATTCTGACAAGACAGAGGCACCATCTGCTTGATGGCAGTTGATTGAGGATGTTTGAAATGAAAGCTACATCAATTAATAATGCAGTCTTTCGGGACTATTATTACCCAGAAAATCACACCATGCAAAATCAAAATTGGTAACAGAAACCCTTCAGAAAATAGGCCAAAAAAAGCACCAAATGGAAATGTGGTAAACTGTTAAATCCAAAATGAATAAACCTCTAAAGAGTGACTCTGCCAAAAAAGTGACAAACTGAAAAACTCGCACATGTGAAAATTGTATGCATAATAAATTCTCACCATGTGTTTTCAAATTTTAAGTCTCAAAGCATGTGTGCTAGTAGCACGTCATACCAGTTTGGTTTTGTCTTGTTAACAATACAATCAATTTTTGTTTTTAGTCTGTGATTAAGTGTAGTCAGTTCATTATTACCAACACTGTAAGTTCATTGTGTTTGCTCTATATTTATCGTTAATAGTGAATTCAAATCTTGTTTTCCATTCTTTTTCAGGCTTGTGTAGTGAAGCGCAAATTCAAGAAAGCAGAACTTTTGATAAAGCAGGCCATGTTTTTAGCCAAGTATGTCCATTTTAAACTTAAATGACATTGTTGACATTTCAATATATCAAATTTCAAAGATGTTTCAAATGTCTTCAATCTGTGGTCTGATTTGGTTGAGTAGCTCTTATATTGTAAGTATTAATCACACATATATACTCATGATTTTACATGTGTTTTTTTTTTTGTTTTGTTTCAGGCAGCATTTTGGATGTGATCACCCAAAGTATGCAGATACACTAATTGACTATGGTTATTATCTCCTCAATGTAGATGCTATAAATCTCTCTGTCAAAGTATACAAGGTAAGGACACTACCTATCAATTTATGACAGTCATTGTTAGTAATAAATCAGCTTTGACTGAAAATTTTTATATCCTAACTTTTTTGGCTTAATTTTTGATTAATGAAAGGTTTTGAAAGTCAGGCTTTTCAAAAAACTTATCATTTATTTAATAAATATCTCATTGTGTCAGCCTATATACCTGTGCCATAACTCTGTCTCAGTATGATTGGCAGGAAACTCATCAGATACCTTTCAAAATTTTCAAGCGCACTAATCAAGCATCAGGTTAAAAGTCCTGTTTGCAAATTCAAGATATAAGCAGTGTGGCATTCTATTGCAGAAGGATTCCCCACCTTCATTGGTCACAACTTTTGATATAATTGTCACAATCACTCTGCTTCTTTGTAAATAGTAACTGTTACATTTTTAACAGATTTGTTGTTTGTGGTTTTTAGGAAGCTTTTCGTACTAGGTTTTATGTCTTTGGATACAACAACTTACATGTAGCAACAGCTCATGAAGATCTTAGTTATGCTTTGTATGTCCATGAATACAGTACAGGGAACTTTGAAGAAGCCAGGTAATATTTTTATTTTCTTTAAAAAGAACAACAACAACCACCAAACAAACAATTGAGCAAAACAGAACAAAGAAAACTTAGATCAATGTCAATAAATAAGCAACTACACACCTACCCCTCCCCTTACCCAACATTAGCCTTAACTTATCATCAATTGACTGTTGTTGGTCTATGGGAGGGGTAGGTGCACAATTGCTCAGATACTAACATTGTTCTGAAAATTTTTGTGCATATTAATTTACTCATACCAGACTTCTATAATAATGTCAGTATTGATTTCATAGAGATGAGGGTGGATTGTCAAAGAGAGGCCCAATTACTCTCTCAAAGTCATTCACAATTGAACAGGCATGACAGTCTGCACTCCCCAGTTTTTTTCCAAGCTGTCTTGCTACAGTTAACAAGTTATGATTTGTTTTTGAGTTTTGGAGAAGTTTGGATTGAGTTGTTCATTTTAATAGTTATATTAGTGGAATGGCTTTCATAAAGTTGATTATTTAGGTAGTAAATTCAGGAATACATACAATGAGGGCATGCTAGTCCAGATTACACAGTCACTGTAAATATGGAAATTTTGTTCTTCTACATATTGTCAAACAGATACCATGCAGAAAGAGCCATCAGTATTATCACAAAACTTTTCCCTGAAGATCATTTACTTCTTGCTTCATCAAAAAGAGTGAAAGGTAAATTTGAAATACTGTGTTTTGAGAAACATCTTAGTGTTGAATATAATTCATCATTACTTGTAGTAAATTATGTGAGGAAGCACAAACTACACATACAGTGGTCTGTCCCTGATAATAAGACACATAAGAAATGATATCATAAGAAATGCTAACAGTAAGAGTTTATTATTTTTCATTATTATTCAGCTTTAAAGCAGTTTACTTTTCTTTTCTCCAGCCCTTATTCTAGAAGAAATAGCAATTGACACTCCAATTAGACAGAAAGAAGAAGAAATTTTAAAAGAAGCTCAGGAGCTTCATTTAGCTTCACTTGATCTGGCTAGGTAGGTGTCTTCTCTGCCCATAATGGAGTGTCTTGAAGCCTGTTCAAAAAAGAAATTAAATGATCAACACCAGGCATTTCTCAGTAGTCATTTTAGTGGAAAAGTTAGATTATACACTACATATTACAAATGGCAGATATTTTATTAGCTGTGAAGTATTCAAGCTAAAAGAAGTTGAGCAGAAGTGTTTATTAGTAAGACTTCAATTTAGTATTTGGTTGCAAATAAAGTATTCAATCAGAACCTACAGCCTCTAATTTGGCATTGAGTAGCCAAAAATAGGAGAATATTCAAATTTTTTCCTGTTTAGCTTCATTCCTTTTGTCTTCTTCCTCTTCTTAACCCTTTCACTCCTGAGATCTCCTTAGTAATTCTCCTTACTGTTTTCTTTACAATTCTTATCAGGTTAGTGTGGAGAATTTGGTATTGGATCAATTGATAATCCTTTAATTAAATTTTTTTTTGTTCTCATCACTCATCTTCTTGATATTTCATTGATATTGTAAGGAGAAATTCTGTTTTGTTCACTCTTATTGGAGCTGAAGGGTTACTGTGTGTCTGGTATCTTAATGTGCATTTAAATTCCTGTGTTGAATATTCCACCATATGACAATGCTTTGAAATTAAGAAATGTTGCCTCCAGGAAATCATTTGGAGAAAACAATGTTCAAACAGCAAAACATTATGGAAACTTAGGACGTCTTTATCAGTCAATGAGAAGATATGAAGTAAGTAATTAAAAAAAAAAAACTTTCTTTGTATTTAGCTTAGGTTTTGCTTTGGGCTCAGTAACTCATTTCCATGAAAAAAGGAAAGAGGCAAATATTCTTCCTCCCCTTTGCCCATTATTTTCATTATAACTATTTCATTGATCTTTTTTTTTTGTCAAGTTGCCAGGGCAAAGAATATATATATAAAACAGTTAAGTTTTGGTCAGTTGTGAGGAACATCTTCTAGCTGTCACTGATAGTTTGTGAGATGTCTGCCAGCAGATTGCTACATCTTCCAGCTGTCACTGATAGTTGGTGAGCTGTCTGCCTGCAGACTCCAGAATTTAAGTCTGATCTTGAAAGATGACATTGCATCTTTTATTTTCATCAAAATTATCAGCATGGGCAAGTTAATAACCTGTAGGTATTAAAGATGATTGTTTTTTCCTTTCTTCAGGAAGCAGAGGTAATGCACAAGAAAGCAATTGAAATTAAAGAAAGAATACTTGGAAGTGAAGTAAGAACAATATTAGCTAAGAGTAGAAGATCCTAGTCCAGCAATGGTTCTAACTGAATTTCTTATGGGTTTTGTGGTGTTTTAGGACTATGAAGTGGCACTGTCATTGGGTCACTTGGCATCATTATACAATTATGACATGGAGCAATATGAAAGGGCTGAGCAGTTGTACTTGAGATCAATTGCAATAGGTTAGTTGATGACAGAGAATCATCTGTGTATAATTTTAATTTAAACTTTTCTATAGTCAATAAAAAATTAATTTTATATTGGTCTGTATTATATTTCTTCTACTTTGTAATTTATTATTAAGAGAAAGACAGGAATTGTGTGTTCTTTTGCAACAGGTAGAAAACTGTTTGGAGATGGGTACAGTGGTCTTGAGTATGATTACAGAGGACTTATTAATCTCTATGATTCTCAAGGTATGATCCAGTTCATAATCCTTTTTACACAAAGGAAAGGCATTGTCATAGTCTTTTGAAGAGAAATTTCACGGCTCAAACTGAATAAAGAGTTGAAACCTTGTTGCTCTTTTGATAGGTAATTTTGACTTTATGGAGAGATATCATCAAACGCTGATGGACTGGAAAGATCTGCGGGAAAACGCATCCAAAGCAGAGTCTGCTCATGACAAGACACCTGACCCATGGCCTACAGGGAAGTTTATACAATATTTTCTGAATCAGCCTGACTGATAATAATGTGACTTTTAGGAAATATCATTGATGTTTAGGCATTAATATTTAAGAAATTGTATCTCCTTGGAAAGCCCAAGAAATTGTGTAAAGATGACATTTGGGATTTCATTCAAAATTATCCTTACGGAATTTTATTATGGATATGCTAGCAAATGTGTAATATAAAGTCAAGATGACGTAAAACTACAAGAGTCATTTCTGCCTTTGTGAGTGATGCACCTGGTGTTAAACTATTATTTGGTGCATTTGCATTAACTAATTTTTGTATGTAAAACAAATTTCAATTTATGGGCCTTGTATATTTTTTTTGGTCGGTTGTAATTGTTGAAAAGAAAATTACGTAGTATATTACGCTCATTTAGGTAATTCTCGTAAATTTAGTCATGTGTAAACCAATGTAAGTATGAAACACGAAATAGAATAGTTATTTTAAAATTAACTTCTTAAACTTTCAAAAATAATTTAACAAAGCGTAATATATGCTTCTTTACAATGATATTGATATTTTAATACTACTGTTAGCAGAAAGAATTAAGTAAAGAGAAGCAGAAAGATTCATGCTAACACTACCAAGCAAAAGATATAGAAAGGTTTAAGGCAAAGAGAGTAGAAAAGATGATGGAAGATAAAGTCAAGAACAGTTAATTTGAACATGTTACTTACTTAACAACCAGTCAGGGATCAGAATCAGTGTTTCTCTGAAACATGGAAAGGGCGTTATAACACAATTTACCTTGAGTGTACGAATAAACGTAAAGGTTTGACAAATATGTTATTTACTACTAAAAAATGAAGGGCATAGTACATATAAATCTCAACCACCTTTGAGATCATGAAGAAAGAAAGCAATCACGCATCCTTTCTATACAACAGAATAATCTCTCTTAATTCTGCGTTCCTATTAATTTTGTAAGGAAAGTGTTTCCATCTTAATAGGAATGGCATCGTTATCAATCAAATTTTTAATTTACGTGAACGAATTGCTTTTCTCCACAAACTTTGCATTTAAATATTTTATTGTGAGCATATAAAACTTTCACAAACAAAATCAAATTGATGGGATCGAAATTAAATGGGTATATGTGTTAATAGTTGTAAAGTAAGACTTGTTTTATAAACGTTAACCTGTGTAGTGTATCAATAAATTAAATACAGTACAAACCAAAAAAGACAAATAAACATGATCATTATTCACTATGTTCTCAACAATACAATACAGCTTTGAAATATGGTATGTATGATATATATCACACGTGATATATATACCGCAACTTTTAAACTGCTTCTTTCTTGAATCACACGTGATATATATACACCGCAACTTTAAAACTGCTTCTTTCTTGAATCACATCTGATATATACACACCGCAACTTTAAAAATGCTTCTTTCTTGAATCACACGTGATATCTATACACTGCAACTTTAAAACTGCTCCTTTCTTGAATCACACGTGATATATATAGACTGCAACTTTAAAACTGCTCCTTTCTTGAATCACACGTGATATATATTTACCGCAACTTTAAAACTGCTTCTTTCTTGAATCACACACCGCAACTTTTAAACTGCTTCTTTCTTGAATCACATGTGATATATATACACCGCAACTTTAAAACTGCTCCTTTCTTGAATCACACGTGATATATATAGACTGCAACTTTAAAACTGCTCCTTTCTTGAATCACACGTGATATATATTTACCGCAACTTTAAAACTGCTTCTTTCTTGAATCACACGTGATACATATACACCGCAACTTTAAAACTGCTTCTTTCTTGAATCACACGTGATATATATACACCGCAACTTTAAAACTGCTTCTTTCTTGAATCACATGTGATATATATACACCGCAACTTTTAAAATGCTTCTTTCTTGAATCACACGTGATATACACTGCAACTTTAAAACTGCTTCTTTCTTGAATCATACGTGATATTTATACACTGCAACTTAAAAACTGCTTCTTTCTTGAATCGCATCTGATATATGTACACCGCAACTTTAAAACTGCTTCTTTCTTGAGTCACACGTATAGTACGTATTTAATATATATCTCACGTGATATATATACACCGCAACTTTTAAACTGCTTCTTTCTTGAATCACACGTGATATATATACACCACAACTTTTAAACTGCTTCTTTCTTGAATCACATGTGATATATATACACCGCAACTTTTAAACTGCTTCTTTCTTGAATCACATGTGATATATATACACCGCAACTTTTAAACTGCTTCTTTCTTGAATCACACGTGATATATATACACCGCAACTTTTAAACTGCTTCTTGAATCACATGTGATATATATCACTTTTAAAATGCTTCTTTCTTGATATATATACACTGCAACTTTAAAACTGCTTCTTTCTTGAATCATACGTGATATTTATACACTGCAACTTAAAAACTGCTTCTTTCTTGAATCACACGTGATACATATACACCGCAACTTTAAAACTGCTTCTTTCTTGAATCGTATTTAATATATATCTCACGTGATATATATACACCGCAACTTTTAAACTGCTTCTTTCTTGAATCACACGTGATATATATACACCACAACTTTTAAACTGCTTCTTTCTTGAATCACACCTGATATATAAACACCGCAACTTTTAAACTGCTTCTTTCTTGAATAACACGTGATATATATACACAGCAACTTTTAAAATGCTTCTTTCTTGACTCACACGTGATATACACTGCAACTTTAAAACGGCTCCTTTCTTGAATCACATCAGATATATATACACCGCAACTTTAAAACTGCTTCTTTCTTGAGTCACACGTATAGTACGTATTTAATATATATCTCACGTGATATATATACACCGCAACTTTTAAACTGCTTCTTTCTTGAATCACACGTGATATATATACACCACAACTTTTAAACTGCTTCTTTCTTGAATCACACCTGATATATAAACACCGCAACTTTTAAACTGCTTCTTTCTTGAATAACACGTGATATATATACACCGCAACTTTTAGACTGCTTCCTTCTTAAATCACACGTGATATATATACACCGCAACTTTAAAACTGTTTCTATTTTGAATCACATCTGATATATATACACTGCAACTTTAAAACTGCTTCTTTCTTGAATCACATCTGATATATATACACTGCAACTTTAAAACTGCTTCTTTCTTGAATCACATCTAATATATATACACCGCAACTTTAAAACTGGTTCTTTCTTGAGTCACACCTTGAGTCGCACGTGATATATAGACACCGCAACTTTAAAACTGCTTCTTCCTTGAATCACACGTGATACATATACACCGCAACTTTAAAACTGCTGCTTTCTTGAATTACACGTGATATATATACACCGCAACTTTAAAACTGCTTCTTTCTTGAATCACACGTAACATATATACACTGCGACTTTTAAAATGCATCTTTCTTGAATCACACGTAATATATATACACTGCGACTTTCAAATTGCTTCTTTCTTGAATCACACGCGATATATATACACCGCAACTTTAAAACTGGTTCTTTCTTGAGTCACACCTTGAATCACACGTGATATATAGACACCGCAACTTTAAAACTGCTTCTTTCTTGAATCACATCTAATATATATACGCCGCAACTTAAAAACTGGTTCTTTCTTGAGTCACACCTTGAGTCACACGTGATATATAGACACCGCAACTTTAAATTTGCTTCTTCCTTGAATCACACGTGATACATATACACCGCAACTTTAAAACTTTTTTCTCCTTGAATCACACGTGATATATATACACTGCAACTTTAAAACTGCTTCTTTCTTGAGTCACACGTGATATATAGACACCGCAACTTTAAAACTGCTTCTTTCTTGAATCACACGTGATATATATACACCGCAACTTTAAAACTGCTGCTTTCTTGAATTACACGTGATATATATACACCGCAACTTTTAAAATGCTTCTTCCTTGAATCAGATATACATACACTGCAACTTTAAAACTGCTTCTTTCTTGAATCACATCTGATATATATACACCGCAACTTTAAAACTGCTTCTTTCTTGAATCACACGTGATATATATACACCGCAACTTTTAAAATGCTTCTTTCTTGAATCAGATATATATACACTGCAACTTTAAAACTGCTTCTTTCTTGAATCACATCTGATATATATACACCGCAACTTTAAAACTGCTTCTTTCTTGAATCACACGTAATATATATACACAGCAACTTTAAAACTGCTGCTTTCTTGAATCACACGTGATATATATACACTGCAACTTTAAAACTGCTTCTTTCTTGAATCACACGTAATATATATACACTGCAACTTTAAAACTGCTCC